TGAACAAAACCCAGATTGCACAGGAACTATCAAAAAGAATCAACAAAGAATCATCCTACTGAAAAGCTTTTGCACAGCAAGAGAAACCACCAACACAGTGAAGAGACAATCCACAACTTGGGAGAAAATGTTTGCCAGCTGTTCCTCAGGCAAAGGATTACTATGGAGAACATATAAAGAACACAAAAAAGTCAGTCCTCCTAGATTTAAGGCCTACTCCAAAAGTGGGTATCTGAGATGAATACACATTTCTCAGATGAAGAAATACAAACAGCATGAAAAGGTGTTCAAAATCACTGGTCATTTGAGAGATGCAAATTGTTTTATTTATTTATTTGTTTGTTTATTTATTTTCTTGGTACCAGGAATCAAACTCATGACCTTGTGCTTGCCAGGCATGTGCTTATGCCACTGAGCTAAATCTCTGGCCCTGAGCGATGCAAATTAAAACAATACTGAGATTCCACCTCAGCCCAGAAAGACAGTATCAAGAAATCAACCAATAATAAATGCTAGAGGGGCTGTGGAGAAAAAGGAACACTTCTCCACTGTTGGTGGGAATGCAGACTGGTGCAACCACTATGGAAATCATTTCCTTAAAAGACTAGGACTGGAGGTCCCATTCAACTCAGCTATTCCCCTTCTGGGTATCTTCCCAAAAGAATTAAAAACATCATACCACAGGGATATATATGCACCCATGTTTATAGTAGCACAGTTTACAATAGCTAGATCTTAGAAACAACCTAAATGCCCATCGACTGAGGGATGGATAAAAAAGATGTGGTATTTTTATACAATGGAGTACCACTCAGCCATGAAGAATGATAAACTGGAGAGTTTTTTTTTAAACTGGAGACTTTTATAGGTAAATGGATGCACCTTGAGAACATACTCATTAGTGAAATAAGACACACATGTCTAAACATCATATTGTTTCATTAATGTGACAAACTGAAAGAAAAAACATGTATATGTGTATGTACATGCATATTAAAAAATAGCTAAGATAGTTATACTACTGATTTCTCTGAGTTCACTGAAGAGAAAGATTTGTGCTGGTAGTGTTCAGACAATTGAAGGCAGATGTCTTGTGCCCTGAGTGAAAGATTTAGGGATGACAATGTGCAATGTATGTACCACTGTTACCCACTGATTGATGAACTTTAAAATTTTGTTGTAGTTTTTCATCTTCTTTTTCTTTTCTTCTTCTTCTTTTTATTGTCTTTTTCGTTTTTATCGGTACCAGGGATTGAACTCACAACCGCACGCTTGCAAGGAAGGTGCTTGTGCCGCTGAGCTAACTCCCCAGCCCCTTTCTTCCTCTTCTTCTTCTTCTTCTCCTTCTCCTTCTCCTTCTCCTTCTCCTCCTCCTCCTTCTCTTGTTCCTGCTCCTGCTTCTGCTTCTTCTTCTTTCTTCTCCTCCTCCTCCTCTTCATATCTATGAATAAAACGGATTTTTAAAAATGTTGGAGCATGTGTCTATGTTTTGTGTGTGTGTGTGTGTGTGTGTGTGTGGTACCAGGGATTAAACTCATAACCTCACACTTGCCAGGCAGGCACTTAAGACGCTAAGCCAAATCCCTGGCCTGTGTCTGTGTATTTCTCGTGGGCCAAAGATACTTAACTATCTTAGGAAATGGCAGTATAACTTCTGTCATTGGCCCTGGCCTAGATCACATTGGAATGTGCATGGTAGCAGATCATCTACCCAGATTCCACAGCCCACTGGGGAGCAGCCATAGGCTTGGTGGGGGCTATTCACCCTGCATACATGCCCTGGGTCTTTTTTGCCTACTTTGCAATTACCACCACCACTACCACCACTTTTCTTCAAATTGAACCCAGGGATATTCTACCACTAACCTATGTCCTCAGCCCTTTTTCTATTTTATTTGGAGACAGGGTCTGGCTAAGTTTTCCAGGCTGGACTTGAATTTGCAATCCTTCTGCTTCTGCCTCCTGGGTAGCTGGGATTATAGGTTTGGCCATAGGCAGCTGTTCTGAGGTTCTGTTCCTCTCCTTCCTTCTGAGAAGACCCCAAACCACTGCCTTGGGGACCAGGATGATGCAAGCTTACTCTCCGTGAGTGTTACTGGTGTTCTGGTCAATAGTCAGCCCCGAAGCACTTTTACTGGCTCCCCTATCCCCGGCAGATTCTCAGCTTCCTTGTAGTTTAGCATCTATTCTGGTCATGGTAGGAAGGGGAAGGTCATAGATAAGTTTGTGTACCTAGGACAATAGTCACGTAGGAGTGAACAGTAAATAGAGAAGGTGTTTGAAGTTCTGGAAGGGAACCAGCATATGCAAAGAGAAGGACCTGGCAAAGAACCTGGTATAACTGTTGCAGTGAAGCTGGAGGAGTCTACAAGGCCTTGGGGTTTTCAATCCCGAGATAAAAGTATGGCAGGATACAGGGTATGGTAGTGAACACCTATAGTCCCAGCACTTGAGAGCTGAGGTAGGAGGACTGCTGTGAGTTTGAGGCCAACTTGTACTACACAGTGAGTTCGAGGCCAGGCTGGATTACAAAGCAAGACACTGTCTCAAACAAAACAAAACAAAACAAAACAGTCGGACATGGCAGTCATCTAAAGCTGCAGTGTAGTCATACTGCAGTTAAAAAGAAACCTTTGCTGCCAGTGAAGTGATCTTTAGGTTGGAGAAAGAGGCTGGGAGCCTCAGAGGAGACTTGGAATCCAGTGAAAGCCAAATGGTCACCCCTGGTTCATGATGACAAGATGGCAGGGCAGTGGGGTAGGCCTGGTGAGTTGACCTCTAGGAAGTACTAGAGTTAACATAGCACCACAGGGACCCATCACCCAGTCATCTTCACAAACTTTACCTGCTCCCTCCTGCAGAGCCTACCAATGGCAAAGGACAAAGGGTACTTCTCTGAAACCCTGCTGAGGACTAAGGCTGCCAAGGGAGTATCAGTCTGAGGGCAGCCTCCATAGTGCCCCTCAGTGATAGCACAGAACTAATAGTTGCTGCCCTGCACCTCCAAAACTAGGGTGGGCCCCCAGACCTACCTAGGAGGGCCTGTGAAGCTTCCTCCTAAACCCCATACCTCTTTAGGACCTGAATTCCTGGTACAGAATGTTTCATTACAGTTTTTTGCCCTGCCTATCTTCAGACTTGTGGACCAAAAAACTCTGGAAGCATGCCAGGGTTTCTACTGGGTGTTTATTCATTTCCAGGCCAATTCTGGTTCCGGAAAGGAGTGCTTTTTATGTTGCTTGGGGCACAATATTTTCTATGCATGGGTGTAGCCACCTCATGTTCTCTTTTATCTCAGTCAGCAGGTACTCAAGGAACTCCAGACTGGCAGGAGGGGAAGTCCTGTACTGGGGCTGGAGGAAGAGGGGGATACTCATAGTGATTTGTGCTAGGGTGGGTGTAACTCAAACTCTTTGGAACCAAGAGAGGGGTTTGAGGAAGACTGAGTCCTGAAGGCCTTCTGGGGGAGGTCTTGCTCAAGTTGTGAGAGGAGGTGCTCCTGGGAGGAACAGCATTTAATAAGGTTAGGAGAGGGAAGCAGGAAAAAGATCTAGTGCCCTAGGCTGGGCTGAATCCTGTTGGACTCCTTCCTGCCCCAGCCCCTCCTACCCACTGCAGTCCTCTTACTCACTGCAGCCCTCTTACCCACTGCAGATCCAGGGCCACCTGTGAAGCTTTCCCTCCCTCTGAGGTGCACCAGACTAAGAGGCTATCAGGCTAGGACTCCTCCAGGTCTTCCCTCCAGCGCTGACAAAGGATAGATGCTGAGGTCCAGGGCAGGAAAATGACAAAGCAGACATAGACTCCACCCGTCAGCCCATTTTCAGACTGGAGAGAGGATTCTGGGCAACTAACCAGAACTGTATTCTAATTTCAAAGACTGAAAAGCTTAGGTCCAGGAAAGCCCTCAGAGCAGATCAGAGGTGCACTTGGAGCCCAGGTCCATGTTCCACATATGGGAGAGGGCACTGGAGCAGAACCAGTCACAGAAGCTCCCATCCCACCCACCTTTTTTTTGTAATGGGGATTGAACCCACAGCCTTTGCACTGAGCTGCATTCCCAGTCTTTTTTATTTTTTGAGACCCAGTCTAAATTGCTAAATTGCTTGGGCTCAGCTCAAACTTAGGATGCTCCTGCCTCAGTTTCCTCAAGAGCTGTGATTAGAGGTTTTCCTCACCATGCCTGGCTGAGAGTTCATGGTTTGTACCTCCATTCTACAGATTCCACGTACTGTTAGTGGAAGGATCAGATTTAGGATCTTTAAATAAGCTACCTCGAACTGTCCAGTCAGCAGAGCCAGGCCCTTTGTGCCCTGGGAAGACAGAGCACAACACATTTTGCTCTAAAACTGACTGCTCAGAGCAGGTGTGGAAAATTAGCCCCTCCCAGAGGAGGGAACCTCACATGGCCTCTTTTTTTTTTTTTTTTTTTTTTTTTTTTAATATCGATACTTGGGATGGAACTCATGACCGGGAGCTTGCAAGGCAGATACTTATGCCCTGAGCTAAATCCCCAGCTCTTCTAGCCTCTTGCTAGAGCCAATCACAACTTTCTCTAGCCTTACACGCATTTTTTGTTTTGTTTTGTTGTTTGCTAAGACAGGGTCTCGCTATATGCTTCAGGCTGGCCTTGACTATGTACTTCTGGATGGCCTTGAACTCCTGGCAATCCTCCTGCCTTAGCCTCCTGAGTGGTGGCATTACAGACATGCCTAGCTCCTTCCACTGGTTCCTGGTCTTCGTTCCCAGTTGTGAGAATTGGTAAGTCACAGTGTAAAGTAGCTCCACTGGAACAAGAGCCATAGTCCCTGAGCCCGATTAGTTGGGGGAGGGCGGAATGGCTCAGGCTGCCTCACTTTTTTCTGGGCCACTCCACGTACACATGCCCGCAGGCCACTGAGACTTAGATTCCCAGAAGTTGTAGGATCCAGATTTCCAAGGCCAGGCGGAGTCAGAGGCTGAGAGCACGCAGTTAGGCACGACCCCGCCCACAGCTCCGCCCCGCCGGCCTCCGCCCTCGGGTCACTGTGCCCGACCGAGCGCGGCTCTGCGGGGCGGCAGGTGAGCTGTCTCTCGGTTCCCAGCGCGCACAGCCGTTTGCGCCCCGGAGAGGCTGGGCTTCCTCGGGACTCGGCCGAGGGTCAACTGCCCATGGGCTTTCGGAACCTCCGCTTCACGTTGTTCTCAGCCAGGCCCGCACCCCCGAAGGGCTGTGACTGGCCTCGATGGAGCTCCTTCCGGTCCCTGCTGCTTCTGCTACTTTTGCGGCTGTCTGCGATGACCTCCATAGACCAGGACTGGCGGTGCCCGCGCACGCCCTACGCTGCCACCCGCGACTTTAATGTGAGGTATGTGGTGCCCTTCTTCTCCGCGGGCAGCCCAGTGCAGGCCGTGGTGACCTATGAGGATGGTCAGGATGGCAGTGCTGTGTTTGTGGCCACACGCAATCGCTTGCACGTGCTTGGGCCTGAACTGCAGATTGTCCAGAGCCTGGCCACTGGCCCTGCTGGAGACCCGAGCTGTCAGACCTGTGCAGCCTGTGGACCAGGCCCCCACGGCCCACCAGGTGACACAGACACACTGGTGCTAGTGCTGGAGCCTGGGCTGCCTGCATTGGTCAGCTGTGGCTCCAGCCTGCAGGGCCGCTGCTTCCTGCATGAGCTGGAGCCTCATGGAACAGCCTTGCACCTGGCAGCACCAGCTTGCCTCTTCTCTGCTGACCGAAACCTGCCTGAGGACTGTCCTGACTGTGTGGCTAGCTCCTTGGGCACCCGAGTAACTGTGGTTGAACAGGGCCAGGCTTCTTACTTGTATGTGGCATCCTCACTGAACGCAACGGTGGCTGCCAGCTTCAGTCCCCGCTCCGTGTCCATTCGGCGCCTCAGGGCTGATGCCTCAGGATTTGAACCAGGCTTTGCGGCCCTGTCAGTGCTGCCCAAGTACCTGGATTCCTACCATATCGAATACGTGCACAGCTTCCACTCTGGAGCCTTTGTCTACTTCCTGACCGTGCAGCCTGCCAGTGTGACAGACACTCCTGGTGCCCTGCAAACGCGCCTGGTACGGCTCAATGCTCTGGAGCCGGAGTTAGACGACTACCGGGAGCTGATCCTTGACTGCGATTTTGCACCAAAACGCCGCCGCAGGGCCCCAGAGGGGAGGCACTCCTACCCAGTGCTTCAGGCAGCCCACTCGGCTCACGTGGGTGCCCAGTTCGCCTCTGAATTAAACATTGCTGAGGGCCACGAAGTGCTATTTGGAGCCTTTGTGACCGGTAGGGCTGGTGACTCTGGCATGGGCCCCAACTCTGTAGTCTGCGCGTTCCCCATTGACCAGCTAAACACTCTAATTGGTGAGGGTGTGGAACGCTGTTGTGGGTCTTCTGTTATCTCTGGTCCTCGAAGAGGCCTCGAGTTCTTCCAGACACTCAGTTTTTGCCCTAACCTGGTGAGCAAAAAGAAGGGGCCCCAGACAGTTTATCTGGTTATGGCTGGACATGGGCTGGTTCCCCTCCATCATGATGAGACCCTGGGAGGAGGCAGGCAGGCAGGCAAAGAAGCATTCTCTTCTCTCCAATTTCTAATTCCTGGGACCAGTGTGAGAGGTGGACCAAACAAAGACCACACTAAAGCTCATCTTCCAGCCAGGGAGGGAGCAGGCTGGCCCTACCTTGCTGCCTCATTTTACTCTTTCATCTTCTCAGCTATCACAGCTCTGGGGTTTTTAGGTAGTTTCCCAGGTTATGTGAGGATGGGATTGTATCATAATTATTGCTCTGCCAGCACAGCTACCAAATTCTGGATAGAATGATAAGTGTTCCATCCTGTCTGCCCATCACGCATGCCCTCAGGGACACACACAGAAAAGTGCATACGCAAACACAAGTATCCACACAGGCAGATACTTATATATTCATACATTGCCAATTGCCAGCGCAGTTTCACTTTCCATAGGGAGTGCTTGTTTTGTTTTACTTTCTAAAGGAGGTGGGCAAAAGTTGTTAGAGAACCTCCCCCTATCCCACCAAGTTTTAGGGAGCCCCTCAGACCTTGGAAGTGTGGGGGATGCTTTTTAGGGACTCTGCATGGCCTGTGCTTCAGTATGATCGCATTCTTGGTAGGCTGATTAGAGGAGAATCCTGGGCACAATGGGACGGCAGTGTGGCCCTGGCTTCTTCTCACCCCAGTCTGGGCAAACAACTATAAACATCTGGGGATGAGTAAAGGCCTAGTTTTATCAGCTACTTAGGCTCATATGCCCAGGCCTAAAAAAAAAAAAAGATTTTAGTTTTTAGTGCCAGTTACACTAAGCGCTGCTGGTTAGAATCGGTTCAACTAAGATTTTATGCCACTACAGTGTAACTGAGACCCAGTCCCACGCAAGTGGTTTTCTGAGTCAGGGGCACCTTCTGATAGAACGTGCCCCACTCTTTCCAGCCGTGCTGTCAAAGAATAAGAATGGAAACAGCTGGGTGTGGTGGCACATGCCTGGCTGAGGCAGGAGGATCACTGAGAGTTCAAGGCCAGTAGGAACTGGATAGTGACACCCTGTCTCAAAAAAAAAAAAAAAAAAAAAGACTAGAAACAAACAGGATATTTGACCTTGATGCCTGGGGATGTAGCTCCATGGCAGTGATATGTGTAAAGTCCTCCTGGGTTCAATCCCAAGCCTCACCAAAAATAAATAAATCAGAAAAATAAAACAGCTACCCTGAGAACAAAAGTCAAACTGAGTCTTGAAAGCTTTTCAAATAATTCCACCTGAGATTATAAGAGTTTAGGTCTTCGATCCCTGGTACCAAAAAAACAAAAAACAAAAAAATATTATGAGTTTAGGCCAAAGAAATGGGTTGAATGGAACACTGGATGAGTCGTCTTTCATCAAGCTTTACCAGACAGTGACTCCTCTGAGTCTCTGGCCACTTAAGGCTCTCTTGTGACCTTCTCAGCTCACTCCTTTCTAACTCTAATGGAGGTCCCAGAGATGGGAGAATTTATACCCAGAATGGAGTGGGGATCTTCAGCTTTCTTTCCTTGGTTGAATTCATCTAGATTGAGAGGCCAGGGGGGAGGGAATTCCTTGGCCAAGACTGGACAGCCCTACCTGGCTCCATCATCTTCCTGCTGGGAAGTCAGAAACTCTTCCCAGCTTGGTTAGTCTGGAAGTAAAAAGACTCCTAGCATGGCTGGGCAGTGCCAGGCACCAGGAAGATTATTAACCTTAGGCCCTCCCCACAGGCCGGCCAGGCCGCCAGGAGGTGTGTGAACCAGTGTTTGCCCAACGACTTTGGGCATGCAGCTTCTGGGGCAGCACTGACCGTGTCTCATAGTGAGAATAGGGCCTGACCTACATGGTTTCAGGTGAGGTTCAGGTCCTCCACGGACCTGAATGTTTTTAGGGGTTTTAAAATCCAGAGCAAAGACCCTGGAGCCTGGAAGCAAGCAAACAGGGTTGTGGCCCTGGTTGGGTCAGGGCCTGTTTTCAGCCCCAGAACCCCACCTGTCCCTGAGTCATGGTGAAAACACCTGGCATGCTTTTGGCTAGGGCCAGGCCTCTCTCCTCAAGTGAAGACAAAGTCCCAGTCCCCACCCACACAAACTACAGACTCAGGATATGGGGCAATTCTACACCCAGCTCTGTGCCTGCTGTTCCTCTACACACCCTGCTCTGCCCTGAGGTCTCAGGAGTGAGTTAAATCTATGTGTCCTTGAGGAGTGCTCTCAGCAATGGCAAGGGAGTCTTGAGCACCCAGGGTTGGTTACTGAGCCTTGCCTGCATCTCAAACCCAGCCCCAACACCTCAGATTCACACACTGTATTCCTACTTTCTCAGAAGCTTCTAGACTAATGCCCCAGAAATTCAGTCCTCAAATACCACCAACTTAAAAACAGCGAGGAGCCTCTGCAATCTCCTAGCCTCTGCAACCGAGCCTAGCACCCAAGCCACAGGGCCTTGCTTTATCTCTTCTGTACCTGAGGGAGCTACAAGTAGCAGCTAGAGGTGCTGAAGGATCTTTGGAGTCTCAAGTAGAAGGCTCAGATTCTCAGAGTGCTGGCCAATTAACCTCAAATTTCACCCTCTTACACAATTGGAGGAAACAAGCTAGAAGGAAATGGGATTTGCTGAGGAGCACTTGCAGAGGCAGAACCAAGCCAGCAGGGGGCAGACAAGGACTCTGGTTAAGAGTGCAAATTTTCATTTGGCTCCTCTCCTGAGGTGAGACCTCTCTGCGCCTGTTTACACTGTTCAGGTTGTTTGTGGGGTTGGGTCTCCAAAACTCAGTAACTCATTCCTGCAATGGATATGGCAGGATAAAACAAGGAATAGGGGAGCTGGCCTCCCGGTCTGAGCCTCCTTCCTTCCCAGCCTTTGCTACCTCTGAAAGCCCCATGAGGAGGAAAGGGGAGGTAACTGGCGGGCTGAGCACCTTTTCTAGTCAGGCCAGGTAAGGAGTGGCAGTTAGGGCTGTTGTGATCACTGACAGAAGCTGAACCCTCTTTTTCTTCCCTGACTCTCCTTAGCCATTCCCCGAGGCTCCTAGCCCCAACATTAGCTGCCACTACTTCCCTCTGCTGGTCAGCGGCAGCTTCTCACGGGTGGACTTATTCAACGGGCTTTTAGGACCAGCGCAGATCACTGCCTTGTATGTAACACGCTTTGACAATGTCACAGTTGCCCACATGGGCACAGCTGATGGACGGATCCTGCAGGTAGATCTCTTACCTCACAATCCCCGGCCCTGTTGTCCGGTCCCCATGTCTATTTTGCTTACTGCTGATCTGTCCCAGGTAGAGCTAGCCAGGTCACTCAACTACTTGCTGTATGTGTCTAACTTCTCACTGGGCAGCAGTGGACAGCCCATTCGGCGAGATGTCAGTCGCCTCAGGGATGACTTACTCTTCACCTCTGGGGACCAGGTAAGGAAGGCAGGGTCATGGCTTGGAGTCAGGGTTGTGGGGCCATATAATCTAGGGAAATTTTGACACATGGTTCCCACCACCCTAGTATACAATGACCAGGAGAGTCCCTCCTTTAGCCATCCCTGATCCACCTATCTGTCACCCCAAGGTCTTCCAGGTACCTATTCGGGGCCCTGGCTGCCGCCACTTTCTCACCTGTAGAGGCTGCCTGAGAACACAGCGCTTCATGGGCTGTGGCTGGTGTGGAGATGTATGTGGAAGACAGGAAGAGTGTCCTGGCTCCTGGCAACGGGATCACTGTCCACCTATACTTACTGAGGTAAAGCTTTCTGGCAGGGCACAGGTAAGGGGGGATAAGCAGGGCCTGTGGTGGGGGTCAGCTAGTCTTGACCATGATGTGGCTGAAGCCTAGAATGCCCTCCCTATTTGCAAGAAGGACATTCTTGGCAGAGGGGAAAACATTCCTCCCTCTTGGGAGGCAGGAAAATGGGTGAATGCAGTCAAGCAAGTATCTCAGAATGGCTAGAGTGTGGTGCAGACAGGGGATATGGCAGGGCAGAAGCAGAGGGGGATGAAGAGAGCCCAACTAGAAACAAGGATTCAACCCCTCTGTTTCCTTGGCTTCAGTTCTATCCTCACAGTGGGCCCCGAAGGGGCAGCACAAGGCTGACCTTGTGTGGCTCCAACTTCTACTTGCGCCCTGATTCTCCAGTACCAGAGGGAACCCATCAGGTCACAGTGGGCCAGAGTCCCTGCCAGCTGCTGCCTCAGGATACCTCAAGCCTCAGGTACAAGTTGGGCTTTGCCCTCCCTCTATTGCCAGTGCGGGCGACCACGTAGCCCTTTCCATGTGAACCCGTGTGTTCTGCTTATCAAGGTTAGGGAGTAAGGAGCAAGCCATAGTGGCTCCAACCACCACATTCCCTGTCCCTTTTTGATCCTGCATGTGCCCTATCCATCTGTTTAGTCATAGTTTTTAAAAAAAAAAAAAAAGTTTTTTTGAGACAGGGTCTTACTGTGCAGTTCAGGCTGGTCTTGAGCGCACTGTATAGCCCAGGTTTTTCTCAAACTTGCAACAATTCTCCTGCCTCAGCCTCCCAAGTGCTAGGATTACAGGCATGCACAACCATGCCTGGCTAGTCAGGTTTTAGATTAAAGGTTCTTGCCTGGCCCAATCCTCGAGGAAGGCACAGGTAAACAGATACCATCCTCGGGCTTGGAAGAGCCCTATGACTTGTGGCCAGCATGTACCAAGGCTTTGTGATTCCTGGCTAATCTCAAGCATTCCCTTGTGCCACAGGCCAGTACTCCAGAAGGACTTCGTAGAGGAGCTTGAGTGTGAGCTGGAGCCCTCACACACCCAGGCAGCAGGGACTACCAATGTCAGCCTTTCTGTGACTAACACGCTCCCCAGCAGGCACTTCCGCATAGATGGCACCTCCATGCTGGGAGGTTTCTCTTTCATGGTGAGGCCTCTTTCCCTTGTGGTGCACCTGGCCAGTAGATGGTGCAAAAAGGGCAAGGCTTGGGATAGAGGGCCTGTTCCAGCTAAGATATCTTCATGCCCTCTTAGGAGCCAGTGCTAACAGCAGTGCAACCCCTCTTCGGCCCACGGGCAGGGGGCACCCGTGTCACCCTTGAAGGCCAGGGCCTGTCTATAGGGACCAGCCGGGCTGTGCTGATCAATGGAACTCAATGCCAGTTGGAACAGTGAGTATCACCAGGCAAGGAGATTGGAAACCAGATGGCCCCATTAAGGGAAGCCTTACTAAGTAGGTAAACCTGGATCCTGTAAGGGAAGAGAGGAGACCACTCAGTGACCTGGTAAGGGACCAGTTACAGGAAGGACCTTCTCCCCTCCAGTGCAGAGGCAAAAGACCAGATCACAGTCTGTTGGCTCATGCCAACGCTGTGAGGAAGCTGTTCTCTTCCTTCTCTCATGAAGGGCTTACTGGGACCCAAGGAGTTTGGGTCAGCGGGGAAACATCCATCAGAGGAACTGGAAGGGGCTCACAGAAATGGCTCATGGGAAAGGGGAGACTGGCCATCATAAGTGCATGTATGTTGGCTGAGGATGCCCCTGAGCCCAGTCTCTCATTCCTGCAGGGTCAGCGAGGTGCAGATTGTATGTGCCACGCCCCCTGCTGCTGCTACGGCCAGTGTCCCCCTTGGCCTACAGATAGGGGGTGCTGAGGTGCCTGGTTCCTGGACCTTCCACTACCGGGAAGACCCCATTGTGCTGGGTATCTCCCCCAACTGTGGCTATGCGTGAGTGTCACTTCTTGCACACATCAGCCTCTAGGGAATGAAAAAGCCAGCCTTAGAGAGTACCCAAAATAAACCACTCTGCTCTTCTGTATAGTGGCTCCCATGTCACCATCCATGGCCAGCATCTGACATCAACGTGGCACCTAAAGCTGTCATTTCATGATGGGCAGAGGGCCATAGAGAATAGGGTGAGTGGGTGCCATCCAGGAGGGAGGCAGGCTAAACCAGTCCTATGAGTTCTAACCTCACCTATGCTGGCATGAGGAATCTGGGGTAGCTACAAGTGGGGTGCCTGCCTAACCATTCCCATGTGGGTCTCAGCAGTGTGAGGGGCCATTTCCGGAGCAGCATCGATGCCGTCTGCCTGAATATATGGTCCGAGACCCCCGGGGGTGGGTGATAGGGAATCTGAGTGTCCAGGGAGATGGAGCTGCTCACTTCACACTGCCCAGCTTTCGATTCCTACCCCCACCTCGTCCACCCAGCGCGGACCTAGTCCCACTGAAGCCTGAAGAACATGCAGTTAAGTTCCAGGTAGGTTTGAGGGATGGGACAGTGATAGGGAGGGATTATAGAATAGGGGCCAGGCCACTGGTCTGGCCCTCATGGCTGTCTCTGCAGTATATTGGGCTGGACGCTGTGACTGACTGCGTTGGTGTAAATGTGACTGTGGGTGGTAAGAGATGCCAGTACGAGTTCCGGGGAGATGTGGTGGTCTGTCCCCTGCCTCCCTCAGTGCAACTCAGCAAGGATGGTACCCCACTGAAGGTATGCAGCCCAACTGGCCCCCATGGGAAACATGGCTGAAGGCCTGCAGGCTAGGCCTGAGTTGCCATCTGCTTCCAGGTCTGTGTGGATGGCGATTGTCACACAGTGGGCAGAGTGGTCAGGGCAGCCCCAGGGGGCATCCCACAGAATATCCTCCTTATTGTCCTGCTGGGCTTATTCCTGCTTGTGGTTTTACTGGCTGCTGCACTAGTCTTCAACTGGTGGCGGAGGAAGCAACAAGGTAAGCTCCCTACTCCCAGGCTGACTGAGTTCCCGCCTCCAAAGAGTGGCATCTCCAAGCTCCTGTGTCCTTCCTCTGCTCAGGCTTTGGGGGTCTCTCACAGCTCCCTGGTGGGGGTTGGCTCCCAGGAACTTGGGGCTGTCTTTCTACAGTCCTTTCGCCCAACCTGGATGACTGGGCAACCCTGGGCCAGACTGCTGGAGCAGTGCTCCTGCCTGTGCTCGACTCAGGCTCTGACTACGGAAATGACCTTGGTAAGATGTAGAGGTGCTAGAGTCTAGGGCCACACCACTCCACAAACTCTCATGCCTTCTCTTCCACAGTACTCCCTGCCCTTGATGGTCTACATTCTCCCACTGGGCTTCATGGAGGATCCTACTCAGAGGAAGCTTCCCATGTCCCTCTGCTGCGGACAGAATCTATCCGGCTCAGGGACTTGAACTCTGCACTCCTGGCCGAGGTCAAAGATGTACTGATTCCTCATGAACAAGTGATCATTCACAGTGACCAAGTCATTGGCAAAGGTATGGGGCCTGGTGGAGCCGAGGCAGAGAAAGAGAGTGCTAAGATAACATGGGCTCAGGGATCCGCTGAGGAAAACTCTAGTCTGCCTTTCTCACCAACTCATGTGACCTTGACTATTCCACAGGGCTCCCTTTGCTCATCTGTGAAATGGGATTTAGAAAAATTCTTTTTTTTTTTGAAATCAGGGATCAAACTCATGACCTCTTGCTTGCCAGGGAGGCACTTGTGCTGCTGAGCTAAATCCTCAGTCCTAGATTTAGAAAAATTCTATCTTCAGTGGGTTCTGGTATAAATTAAGTGGATGTGGGAAAGCTGCAGTCTACCATACTAAAGATGTTGCCTTTTTATTTTTTTACTTTTTTCTTTAGTATTAGAGATTGAACCCAGCAATTCCACTCTGAGCTACATCTCCAGCCCTTTTTTATTTTTTATTTTGAGACAAGGTCTTACTGAGTTCTCCAGGCTGGGATGGAACTTGTGACCCTCCTGCCTCTGCCTCCCAAAGATCTAGTAATGCAGACATGTGTCATTACACCATCAGTTAGAGTTGTTTAGTAGTCTGAGGTCTGGATTCCAATGACAGGGTGTGCTGTGAATCTGGGCACCAAGCTCCCTCTCACCAGCTTCTCTTGACAGGCCACTTTGGAGTTGTCTACCATGGGGAATATACAGACGAGGCCCAGAATCAAATCCACTGTGCCATCAAATCGCTCAGTCGTAAGTGGGGTAGAGGCTGGGGAGGGGCCCCAGACTGGAAGGCTCCCTATTTCTCTGTTAGGAACTTACTGGGTGAACCTGAGCAAAGAAGAAAGGCTTCTCCATTTTCCCCATCTGACCTTTGGAAAAGAGCTCCTCGTTCAGAGTCTGATCTAAGCCATTTCCCAGGCATCACAGAAGCGCAGGAGGTAGAAGCCTTCCTTCGAGAGGGGCTGCTCATGCGTGGCTTGCACCACCCAAATGTTCTGGCTCTCATTGGGATCCTGCTACCACCTGAAGGGCTGCCCCGTGTGCTGCTGCCCTATATGCGCCATGGAGACCTGCTCCATTTCATCCGCTCCCCACAGCGGGTCAGTGCCCAGCCCCCAGGAGCAGGGGTGGGGGTAAGCAGCAGCTGGAGATGGAGCTGTTCTACCCTTGCTTATATACCCACTGTGCTCCCAGAACCCCACTGTGAAGGACCTCATCAGCTTCGGCCTGCAGGTAGCCCGCGGTATGGAGTACCTGGCAGGACAGAAGTTCGTGCATAGGGACCTGGCTGCTAGGAACTGCATGTGAGATACTTGGGTAAAGCCAAGGGGCAGGTCATGAGGTCATATAGCTGCCCAAGGACTCTTCAGGGAAGGGGCCACTCTAGCTCTGGGCATATCTTCCTTTCTCTCTGTGCCTGTTTTTTAGTCTACTTAGTATAAACTTAGCTCTGAAATTCTGTCAAGGCCTGGAAGAGATGGATTTACAGCCTGGGGGGGTTCAGTTCCAATGTGATTTCCCCCTCCCAGGCTAGATGAGTCATTTGTGGTCAAGGTGGCTGACTTTGGTCTGGCCCGAGATGTCCTGGACAAGGAATACTACAGCGTCCGTCAACACCGCCATGCTTGCCTACCTGTCAAGTGGATGGCACTGGAGAGCCTGCAGACCTACAGATTCACCACCAAATCTGACGTGGTGAGGCCCCTTCTGCCCTAGGTCCACGTGGCTTCCACGCCCTAGAGGTTGGCCTTGCCCATTCAGTTCCTCATGATCTGAGCCCAGGGTATCCCCAGTTAGGCAACCTCTACAGCTCATTGTCCACCTCTTGGGTAAATGTGAAGTGAAATCTGACACCTACGGAGGCAAGATAAGATAAAAATTCATTGGCTCCTCCCAGGACGTTCAGAGCTTGGCCCAACTCCAACTGGGTAGGCTGAGAAGGAGACCCATGTTGTACAAGATTCAGGAATGAGCTCTGAGTGGAGGGTGGGGTCCTGCATTCCCAGGTAAAGGACTCTGGGAGATAGAGGACCTGTGGGGCCCATCTACTCCCCAATTTGAAGTGAGAGCTGAGTCCCTCATTTTCTTTTTATAGTGGTCATTTGGTGTGCTGCTATGGGAGCTGCTAACACGGGGTGCCCCACCATACCCCCACATTGACCCTTTTGACCTTATCTACTTCCTGGCCCAAGGTCGGCGCCTGCCTCAGCCTGAATATTGTCCCAATTCTCTGTGAGTACATGGAGGTGGGGGGAGAAGGCAGGTAGGCCCCTGAAATGAGGAGGGATCAGGAGGTGAGAGTTCCCATCTTGTTTTCTGCCTGATCCTTTGATTGACTAGGTAGGAGATCCTCTCTGGGTCTCAGTTTTTCTTATCTGTGGACTTCCCCCCACTCCTCAAATTCAGGGCAAGATGCTGAGAGGGCCTCACGGTTGCCATGGCAACAGGATTCCAACTCATAGTCTGGGTTGAGGCCAGTGGCTTGCTTCCCCAGCTTCCCCCTTTTCCTGATAAGGGGGCTGTTTTCTCTCTCTCCACTTATTTAGCCTCAAGGAAAGATTCCATTAGCTCCCACAATGGCCCCTCTGCATCACCAGATCAGGGTTTTCTCACTGGAGGGAGCTTTAGATTCCCTATTTCCAGAAGAATGGCAGCAGCCATGCTGTCATCAGTGCTGCAGGGTGGGTCTGGCTCCCTGAGCAGCATGGATGCCTCAGCTGTGTTCAGGTCTGTGGGATCCGAACAGGAAGAACCAGGTCACAGGTAAAAGTGGTTGATGACTCTCTAGTCCCAGGCCATACTCCAAAAAATGTGTGAGTAACACTGCCTCAAGCCCTACCTGTCATGGGTTTGACCTTTATGATCCACTTCAGTAAGGCAGGTGATTGGAGGGACACTGACTTCACTGCCGGTCTGCATCCAGGGTGGGCTCCCTAGACAGATTCGTGGCGATTTCTGTGTAGGCTTCATTAGGAACTTGGGGTGGGGGAGATAAGGCTAGGCAGAGAGAGAAGGTGGCTATGATGCAGATTCAGGAAAGGAAGCAGCTCATGCATGGGACTGCTTGAATTGGGCTGGCGCTTCAGTTTTCTGAAATTGAGACCAAGGGGCCAGGTGTCTGTACCAGGCATTCATCAGCCACTGGCCATAGCTGTCCCTGGTGGGGGTGGTGAGCTTGCCAGAGGCTGTTCCCTTGGAAGTACCAAGAGAGAGGTTCTGCTGAGAATCATCACTGTGCATACTCAGTCACTGGGAGAAAGAAGGGGATCCAGATAGCACACTACCGCACTAGTGATCTTTATGCCAGGGCAAGTCCCTGCTTCCTCACTGGTCTTAAGTTTGCTCATCTGTGAAATGCAGCTGACAACAGTACTATTGTCAGAGAGTGTGAGGCATGTATGAGATACTATGTGCAGGACACTTAGACAGTGACTTAAGGTAAGGGTGACATTTCCAAGATAATTAAGCAGGCAAACCTGGAGAACTTCTCTTTCAGAACCATGGTGCCACTGGTGCTGACCCCAAACGCTGCTCCTTTAGGTCTCTGGCTCCCCATTTTACTTCCTTTCTGGAATCTGCGTGAGATAATCATAACAGCCTGTGAGCTGGGCCTGCACTAACTACTTCATAGCCATCCCCTCATCCTGTTCTCCTGTTGCTCTGTGCTCAAAGGAGAAGTCCGAGGCACAGAAAGGCTAAAGAACTTGCCCAGGATCACACATCCGGAGCACCAGATCTGAATTTTTTTTTCTTCTCCTTTTCTTTTTTTTTTTTGCAGTACTGGGGATTGTACCAGGAACTATGCACTGGGCTAAATACCTAGCCCTTGCTATTACTTATTTTGATACAGGGTTTTTTGCTTTTTGGTACCAGGGATTGAACTCATGACCTCACGATTGCTAGGCAAGCACTTAAGCCACTGAGCTAAATCCCCAGCCAATACAGGGTTTTGATAAGTCACTAAATTGCTCAGGGTGGACTCAAATTTGTGAGTGTTCTGCCTCAGTCTCTCAGATCAGTGGGATTATAGGTGTGCACCATTTTTTTTTTTTTTGGTCTTTTTTGTTTTTATCGGTACCAGGGATTGAACTCACGACCACACATTTGCAAGGCAGGTGCTTACACCGCTGAGCTAAATCCCCAGCCCCTCCATTTTTAATCTCTGAGGCAGGGTGGACCTGTATTACGGTGGGAAGGCAGGACTATATCAGTGATCATAGCAGTGAGGAGAACTGTCCCTGATGGGCACTTCTGGGCCCTTAGCCCTGCCATGTATTCTTTGTTAAGCCTTACAAGGGGTTAACAGCAGATAGAGAGCTGAGAGCCCTGGGTCTGCCTTGAGCCCTTGACCAACCCCCTACCCCTCCTGCAGGTACCAAGTCATGGAGAGATGCTGGGAGGCAGACCCAGCAGCACGACCCACCTTCAGAGCACTGGTGGTGGAAGTGGAGCAGGTTGTGGCCTCACTGCTTGGAGACCACTATGTGCAGCTATCTGCAGCCTATGTGAACTTGGGCCCTGGCACCATGGACAAGGGGAATGTGCTCCTGGAACATCCACAGTCCTCGCCTCTGCACAGGAGCATGTCTTGGTCCCGACCCCTCTCAGAGCCGCCTCTGCCCACTTGACTCAGGTCCTGGGAAAGCCCATGGGGGCTCAAAGCAAGGGCTTTGAGGTAACCCCTGGTGGCCTCTGGGCCATGCCTGACTGGAGGAATGGGGTTTTCACTTTGTGCCTGCTCTTTAACCTTTGGAGGGGGAAGGAGGGCACACAGTCTCTCACTGCAGAGCCAGCCTGTGAGAGCAGCCCTTCTGCATCCCATATTTATGGAGCACTTTCTATACCATGCCTTCTGGGCACAAAGGACTCAGCAGTGACACAGAGGCACTCACTTTTGAGTCAATAAAAAATGAGTATCCTTGTACAAACTGTGGAAAATGCTGTAAGAGAAAGATAAGAGGGGATGGAAGGCTGCTTTAAATCCAGAGGTGACTAGAGAGGTTGAGGGAAGCCTCCCAGGAGGTGACACCTTTTTTTGAGACAGGATCTCACCATATAGCTCAGGCTGACCTTGAACTATGGGGCTATGCTGGCCTCAAACTTGTGCAATCCTCCTGCCTCAGCCTCCCAAGTGCTAGGCCTACAGGTGTGCACCACCATGCCTAGCCAAGAGGTGACACTTTTGTTGAGGCCCTATCAGTTGGAGGGAAATCTGCCAGAAGCAGAGTTTGCAGAAAGTTTTTGGCAGGGCAACAGCATGTACAAAAGCCCTGCCACTAGAAAGATTCTGGGTCAATCAGATGGTTACAGAGGATAGAGGAGGTGGGCAAGGCCTGAAGACTATTGAGACCCTGAAGACTATTGGGTCAACAGCAGCAAGGATGGTATCTGCTGAGGCTCAAGCTGTCTGTCCTCACCCCAGCACTTCTCCAAGGCTCCCTTCTCCATCCAGAGCGTCCCCAATCAGGGCATGAACACCTGCCCACTTCCCAACCCTGCCAGCAGCCTGGAGAGTGAGGAGCCAGCAGCAAAGTCTTGGCTGCACTTTGGAGGAACCAACTTACACTATGTTTGTACTCACTCGCCATGCCACTGAGGAGCATGTTTCTTTGGAGGAAGAGAAGTGGCTCCTGCCCCTGCCCTGCCCTCACACCCTACCTACTGAGTTCACCTTAAGCAGGGCAGGCTCTCTCCCCTCTAAGCCCTCCGTGCTGTGTCCTGTCTATATGGAACCCTGGGTTTGCAGCAAGAGCTCCCTACTAAGCAGAATGGGGTATCTCCTTGGGACCAGGGATGCCCAGGTGTTCTCTACCCATACTATAGCTCAAGCTGTCACCCCAGGCCAGAGAGCAGCTTAGTCCTAGGGATCCAAAGGGCCCTGTGGACAGGTGAATAAGACTTAAAAGGGGATCTGCTGGGGCTGGGGATTTAGCTCAGCGGCATAAGCGCCTGCCTTGCAAGCAGGCAGTCATGAGTTTGATCCCTGGTACCGATAAAAAGGAAAAAGACAAAAAAAAAAAAAAAAAATGGGATCTGCTGCATGTCAGAGGCCCCAAGATGAGGGCCCTGTGAGCTAAAGATTGACAGAGACAGACAACTTATTTATGGCTACATCTCTGATATATCTCAGAGCAGGCTTAGAGGAAGCAGTAGACTCACATGCTAGGCCATTGAACCTTGTGTGTGTGTGTGTGTGTGTGTGTGTGTGTGTGTGTGTGTGAATATGGTAGACAACTGTGTTAGCCCTGTGGCTGGGAGAGAAGTAAGTGGGGTATTCTGGAGTACCCCAAAGCTGTGTTCCCTGTAGCAATGGGAAAGGACTGTCCTTGGCCCTCCAACTTGAAGTCCTCATCCTTTACCCATCTCAAAGATCTAAGGGTCACTCATAGTTCAAGCTGTGCATAGTGAGGAGAAGGCCCAAGGGCTCCTTCCAAACTGGCTCATCTGTTCCCAAGAGGGTTCAGAGAGGAGAGAGGTCTCTGGGCAGGAAAGAAGCTTAGCACAGAAAAGGGTCACAGAAAAGAGGGACAGAGATGGAAGAGAGAGAGAGCTCAAGGTATGTTAGGTTTCCCCAGCAGCTACAGTGTAAGGCTTTGAGCATGTTTCCAGGCCAAGGACCTCCAGAGTTCTTTGTGGAGGGGCTCCAGTTAAGCAGGTACTTAGGGTCTTTAATTATGGCACAACTGTCCCACCCCCAACTTCTGTAGCCTCCAAGCTCTGAGCTCCATTTTCAGAGCCACCTGATTTCCCCAAGCCCATCCAGAGCACCAGGAAATAATATTTCAAATTGGTGACTGAGCTGCTAGGGAGGACAAATAGGGAGGGTCAGTCCCAGGCTTCTAGACCTGGTGGGGAAGGCTGAGTTGCCAAAGTGTTAAGTAGCTCCAGAATGGCTGGTGGTCAGCACAGAGGGAAGATTGTCCTTGGCCATGGTAGGCTTAGGATGGAATGAGGCAAGATTTCTCTCAGGGTTCTGGGAGCCCAGTCTTCCCCTGGAGAGTGATCAAGCACAAGTGGCTGCCCCTCTGCCTCATCTCTACCCATCACAGCCCGGTCGTGTTGGGGACAGGCAGATCCCAGTACAGGCTGAGAGAGGCGAGGGTGGCAGCTGGGACCAAGAAAGCAGCAGATGACTCACAGTCTCTCGACTGCCCATTGGTGTTTCTCTTGTCTGGCACCTGAAGGGCATGCAGGGGGTAGACTGGCCCGTTTTGATGGGACAGCAAGTCTAGCCCGAGATAATCTTTATGCTTCAGCCCCAGCCTCTCAGGAAATTTCCCAGGAACCCAGAGGCTTTCTGGGGGCCACACCTGAGGACTCCAGATATAGCTGCATTCCAAACCCACATCACTGTTGCTCCACAGGAGCTCAGAGGTCAGCCCACAGTGGTTCCTGTTTTGAGCACAGGTGGTGGGAGCTGAAAGAAGTTGCTGGCTCCTTGGTGGGGCTCAGCATAGGCAGAAACACAGGGATCGGCATGTACCAGAGTTCCCAGTGCTGGGGTGCCCTCTCTTATCTGCTCCCTTCCAGGTTAGTTTAGCTACCTGCACACTCATGGACAGGTATTTGGGATGTGGGGGTTTAGGGTCTGGGATATATCTTTGATGGCAGGGGCTTGAAACAGCTGCTAGCCAAGATGACAGGACTCAACCTGATTTGAACCTCCCTTATGACATGAGATCCTCCTGGGATGTTACACCCTGGATGTGGAGAATTAGAGGACCTAAAGGAGTTGACTGCACTCCGGGGATCCACAGCAGTGACAACTTCCACCAAACATCAGCCTACTTGATAAGTCCCTGAAATGAGTACTTTGGGTTGCTCCACTCAATATGCCAACATGGATTTGTGGCCCCTGATCCCTCTGATCAAGTCATGTTTGTTTTTTGTTAGTGGTGGTTTGGTGTTTTTTTGTTTTTTTGTTTTTAAGACACAGAGTCTCCCTGTGTAGGTTAGGCTGGCCTTGAACTCACAATGTAGTTCAGGCTGGCCTCAAACTCATGGCAATCCTTCTGCTTCAGCCTCCCAAGTGCTGGAGCTACAAGCACACCACCATGCCTGGCCAGTTGTCTGTTCCTATAGTCATTTCTGCTCTCCACGGGGCCTGGGTTGTGTAGGGTCTCTAGAAGAGCGGCTCTTCTCACATCCCCTCTTGAAGCATGGTTGGAGGTCTCTTTCAGGCAGTCATAAAGCCATGTGTGTTTCTTGCAGCATTTCTTCACCTTCCCCCAGCACTTATACTGACTTCTGGATGGAAAGGGTCCTCCAGAGGGTATGAGGGACTTACCAGCCCCTAAGCCAGCTGTGGCAGCAGTCAGGGCTGTGCTGTTGCCCTCCCTCTGGGCTGGTGCGGCTGGCCATCTTTCACGCAGAGTTACGTAAGCTTGAGTCAATTGGGACTCAGAGCAGTTCATTGTGGGCTATTTTTAAGCTGCAACACATCACAGCAGAGGGGTCACTGCACCGCCGGCTTGCAGGGAAGGTTGTTTAAACATCTGTTATTTAAATTTCCCTGTGTCTTAGAGCTCAGAAGCCCTAGCCTCCCAGCACTACTGGGTTTTGCCTTCCATATCCCAGATTAGGAGTGGATTATCTCCCCTCACCCACCCGTAGACTCCCTGCCTGTTTTCCTTTGAGGTTAGGCAGTGGGCCCACATCTTTTACAGCACAGTTCTGTCTCCACAAAATAGCATGTCCTGACTGGGAGAAACTTCAAGGAAGCAGGAGGTCTAGGGCTTACAGGTCACTTAGGTAGTTACAGTGATGGAGGTAAAGAAAAGGAGGCACACAGTGCCAGTGTGGAACTACAAGATTGGGGACTGAGAATATATACTTTCTTCTTTCTGGCCTCAGTTTCCCATCAGCACTGAGAAAGAGCTGGACCACAAGATCCTTTGGGATCTTTTCAGAAGCCTGGCTTTGTCTGAACTCTGCTAGCTGGTAGGTGCTCCCTCCCCAGACTCAAATGCTACCCATCGGCTGCCTCAGGAGCAAAGGAGCTGGTGTGTATGCTCCTGGGCGGGGGACAGGGATGAATCTTTGAGGGAAATGAGCCTCATTTTCACATCCTTTATAAAATAGATGACTACATTGGGAGACTTTAAAGGCTCTTTCTTTTTTTTCTTTTTTTTTTTTTTTTTTTTGGTCTTTTTCATTTATATCGGTACCAGGGATGGAACTCATGACCACCTGCTTGCAAGGCAGGTGGTTATGCCACTGAGCTAAACCCCCAGGCCCCTGAAGGCTCTTTCTGAACCCTGGGTTTTTGGATATGGCCAGAGCCTTCCTAGGGCACTAGGAGTGGAAACCACAAGCACCAGAAGAGCACAAGCCCAGAGACTTGACAGAGCTACCCCCTCCTGAGGCCTGTGTTGGAGAAGTAGACCTGGTAGGCTATTAGCGCTCCCAGGAATATAACCATTTGTACCTCTCTCCTCCATGACCTACCTTCCTGCCACTTCTCTATCATCCTAAAGAACTCCTGGGTGATAGGGTTTCACTCTGATCCACAGTGGAGAAGGGCTTCCAGAGTGACTTGACTATCTCCCCAGGCCTTGGCACCTTTTCCCAAGGGGGTGAGGTAAAGATGAGGGGGACATTAATGCCAGAGCTGCCTGTACAGGGTTGAATCTATCTGAGCTCCTTCCAACTTCTCCCTGCACCCCACAGCCCTCAGACTGGGGAATGGGCTCAGCCTGGGGGAAGGGCTCTCTAAGTTGCCATGGCAACATGTTGGCCCTCCTTACTTCCCAGAATCAGAAATAGAATTGGACACCCTTCTTCCTAGTGAGAGGCTGTTTAAAAACAGGTGGGGGGTGGGCACAGGGGTACTATCCCCAGGGAATGAGCGGGAGGGAGTCCATATTGATAACCTACATACCTGCCCTGCTGCCCTTCTGCTTGTCTGAATGAAATGGGAATAAGCTTTGACCAGTTAAGAATTCTCAATGCAATGACTCGGTCTGGCCCTGCAGCATGTGTCCAAACCACCAGGTTCCTGAGAGGGCACTGGCTTAGTGTTACCAACTGGAAAAGTACCCCCCACACAACTGAACTACTTGCTAAGCTATCCAGAGTAAGAGCAAATCCATGGGTGTGGGGCTGCAGCACTAGACAGAAAGTATGTGGGTTCCTCTCTGGTGCCTGCCTGGCTTTGGCATGACATCCGGTCCTGGCACCATAGCTTCCTGGGGTTGCCACAGGTCTAGAGCCTGGTAGCCTAACTTTGGACTCTGGTTCTACTGTACACTAGCTAGGGAAAGGCTCTTCTCCCTTTCTGGGGCTTTATTTTCTTCATCTGTAATAAAGGTACAGTAGTACTCAGTTTAGAGAACTGCTGTGAGATTTGGTTGTATGCTCTCCATATTATGCTGGCACAGAGGAAGGACCTGATCAATATCAGTCTGTATTGTTTTGTTTTGTTTTTTGAGACAAAGTCTCACTACACAGTTCAGGCTGGCCTCAAACTCACAATGACCCTCCTGCCTCAGCCTCCTGGGTGCCAGGATTACAGGAGTCTGCCACCACACCCAGTCACATCATGGTTATTATTGCTCTAAACTCTTTTGCTTTCCCAGAGGGAAAACCCTTCTTTCTCCTCAGGCCAGACTATTCAACTGACCCTTGTCTCTTCCTTCAGGGGACCCCAGGCCTGTTGCTTACAAAGGACCCTCACCCTGGAGAGGAGGGCCTTGCCTCACTCTGCAGGAGTTACAGAATGGGTCTATCAACAAACAGGAAGGGGATTCTCCAGGTAGTTCTCTATCCTTCTCAGTTCATCCCAGGCACAGCCCAGCTCCAATGTTGCAGAGGCACTAGAAGTTGCTACTAGATCAATGTCATGAAAAAATAACTAGCTTGCTAACACCAAAGTGTAACATAGTTAATAATGTCCTGAAAGTATGTGTGTACACGCATGGATGCACACATATACACAGCCCATAGAGACCTGGGCTCTACCACCTTTCCTGGGTCATAGCATGAAAGAAAACCATTTGACTCCCTGGTGTCTGAGCTGTCTGTACTGATTCTTAACTAAAGGCTCCATCCGAAGATGGGGAAAAGGCCTAGGGGGCCTGAGACGTGGCTGAGTCAGGTTTGCCCAGGGCCGAGTCAGAAAGGTGCAGAAGCAGTGTGGTGCTAGCTTTGGTCCCTGGTCACAGAGCCTCTCACCCCACAACCAACTGCAAGCACTATTTTTAACCTCTGTGAAAACACATTTCTTCAGAGGACAAGCCTATCATTACATTTTCCACAAACCTGTTTCCTAAGTGGAAATACTGAGGCCTGACAGGACACAGCCCTGGAAGACAAAGGGAGGAAGAGGGAGGAGGGGTGATCCTGTCCCAGGTCAGAATCTCCAAACCCAAGCTCCTGACAGTGGATGGCACCGGAACTACAGCCTAGGACTGTCTTCTTTGGCTACGGGGCAGCTCGAAGGCTGTAGCTGAGATCAGGAAGGATCCCATGCCTCCCTTCCTGTTTGTGTCCCCATCTAAGAAACGGGGGGTGGGGGGGTTATTTATATTTCTTACCTAACCCATGTCTGGGTCTTTTTCCAGTTTTCCCAGCTCTGTGCCCCTGTGTATTCAGCCCTGCACCTGCAATGTACCCACTATGTGTCTTCCATGCCCCATTTTGTAGCTAACTCTACAGCCACTGTGTCCCAACCTTGGGCTCAGTGCTTTGCCCCCTTCATGCAAAGGTTAAGCTGACACAATGTGACAAGAGGTAGAACGTTTTGACTTGAAGATTCTGAGCAGAGGTTCCGCCCTCACCCCCATATTGGTCCAGGGCTTTAGGGACATGTGGCTCTGGGGAGGGGGCTCTATGAGGCACAGGCAGAGGAGAACCATCTGGAGCAGCAGAGATTGCCAAGGAGCCTCTGTCCCTAGAGCTGGAGCTGGGAACACAGTGGAGAGGAGCCCGGGCCTGCTGGGCCCCTCACCCTCTTCTAAATCCTGGGACTAAATAGTGAAGGAGCTTTGCTCTCAATCCCAAAGGGCCTATTTCTAGGACTTTCTCAGAGTTTCCTGCCTATCCCTCTGCCCTGCCCTTACCTCAGCCTGTCCTGAGTACTGTCCTCCTGCTGAGGCTGGCCTAAGCACAATGGACACTGGCTGAGTAAGGTGAGAAAAGGTTGGCTTATAGCTGGCCAACTTCAAGGGACCCATGAGCTTCTCTGCCTGACAAGTAGGGGCCACAGGGCAGATCCCTACTCTTCAGGGGTGGGGCCCTGGTTTGTCACACTGTCACCCCTCCAGGTCACTGGGGGCTATGATGTGTGGTGTTGCCATAGCAATGAAGTAGAGGCAGGGCTCCTAGGGCATGGAGCAGGACTATGGAAGCCACCAAGAAGGCAGGGGGCCATGATCCATCAGGCCCCCAGGGCCAGCCCTCAGCTAGCGGCCAGCAAATGAGGGGAGGCCTCAGAGAATCCCAGGGATTGGGGATAAGCTCAGAATCCCTCAACTTCAAGCAGAGGTTGTCATCATTCACCGAGGCTGCCACTGATGAAGCCCGTGACCTAGATTTCCAGGCCCACATCCCTGAATCCATTCACCAGGTACACCAGAACCCTGCTCAGCTTAGCTCCCCATGCAGCTATGTGCAGCCCTCCCAGGACACCCCAAGACTCTTCTCAGCTAGACTGTTTCCAAGACACATCATGGGAGCCCAACAGCATCTGGTCATGGACGATGGGACTCTGCACCTGCCCCTGTGCATGCATAGCAACAGCACTGGTGACATGACCCAGCATGGATCCTGCTGCTCCCGGCTTCAGGTGCAGCTTGGGCGGGAGGGCAAGGCTCCAGCTAAAGTCTTGGTAGGCTGGGGCAAGGGCCCCTGCAACATTGACTATATGGCCCCTGTAAGCACCCGGAAGAGTCGACGGCTACCTTACTTCCTTTCAGGAAAGAATCGTGCAGCCGAAGACCAAAGTTTTTCGGCTTTGGCTCCAGCTCAAGATCAGGAGCAGGGCAAGAGCCCAGGTCCAACCCAGGCTTCCACCCTAGGCAAAACTTCTCCACTGTTACCAGCTCCTCCAACCCCAACTCAGGCTACTAATTTAACTGTGGAACTAACTCCTGCAGCTGGACCTGACAAAGGTACCCTTGACCAGCCAACAGGTAACACTGCAGTTACCAAAGGCCTATCTCAAGACGTGTCCCTTAAGAGGTATGACAATCAAGGTTCAATCCTTTCGGAATCTGTTAACGTGGTCACATCTGGCCAGGACAAAGTGAATTTCGACTCTAATGGGGAGCCTCCCAACTTGGTACCTACTCCGAAACCATTCCCAGATCATGCCCAGGGACACAATGTTGCCAGAAGGCAGGTGCAATCTGAGCAGCCTGAAAATCTGGTAGAGAAGCCCATGGTCTATACCCCCAAACCAGGCCCAGAGCCTCCAGGTACACCCCAATCCCAGCATAATAACCAGAAGATTCGCAGTTCTCAGCCAGACAGGCAACTCCCCAGCATCTACAAGAGCAACTGCTCCAGTGTGCCACTGTCTGCCTACCAAGTAACCTGCCAAAAGCAGTTACCACCTCAGTCTCCCAGGGAAGTTATATCGATACCCCGCTCCAGTGCCCCTACTTGTCAGCGCCAGGAAGGTGTGGAAGACTCTGTGCTGGTGTTCGATATGGCTACAGGCAACACCAGGATGGGGCTACTGTGCCACGATCCTATGGGCTCACGGGCAGTGCTGGTGGGCCTCATGCCCAGCCAACCATCTATCTGTGCCCCTGAAAATATCCTTTCCACAAAGCCACCAGCCGGGCCCATTCTCTCTCCTGCCAGCGATCATTCCAGCTTCTGGTCTACCACAGCTGTGTTGTCCAGCCCTGTGCCTTCTAGCCTCTCATCAGGCAGCTACCGAGAGGTGACCCTGCTTCCCAAGGAAGCCAGGCTCAACTTGGAGTTACAGAACCCCCCTGGTATTGAGACACCTGCTTCAGCTGGTACACTCACTGGACCTGTTCCACCAGGAAGATCCCTCCGATTTGGTGAGGAGATACAGACTTATGCTCCTGATCCCAGCTTATCCAAACCTGATACCAAAGAAAATGACCTTAGTCACACCATCCGGATGTTGGAGTCTTCCAGGATGCCGGATGCCTCCAAGGTCCAGACTAAGAAACAGCTGTATATGAACTCTGCTTCACCAGCCAATACACAGGTGGTACCCACGTCTCAGTTCCAGCAGGATGTAGACAGCAACAGCCAGAAAAACATTACCACTCTCTCCAATAACCATCAGGCTGAAGATGCTAAGCAGGTCCCCATTACTGGCCAGACCTTCCACAATGCACAGAACCTCCTTGCTAGACAGCTACCTGTAACTGAACAGGGCTTTCCAACTGGTCAGCCCCACTCTACCAAGCAAACCCCCCTTAATAGTCAGCCTCCTTTCACTGGGCAGTCCCCTCTTGCCAGAAAGCTTTCTTTCACTGAGCAGATACCCTCCACCAGGAAGCCTCCCATCATCAAAGATCCCACCTTCTCAAGAGGACACCTCACCTCTGAGGAGCCTGGCCAGCCCTCCACCCAAGATGGTGTGTCCTTGGGCCTGCCTACCCATGCAGGGATCGTTCAAGTGCCTCTGACCCCTGAGAACACCTGTAGCTATGTGGATAGAGACAAAGTAGGCATTGGTAGCATTCAAAACCCCAGCCTGCATCTGCATCCTGGCAGCTGTTTAAGGGTCCAGGAGGAACAGCTTTCTCTGATCACATTAACTACACCTGGCACTGGCTGCACAGTCTTGCCCATTGCCATGGTGGGCACCAAGCATCAGAGTGGGAACCAGTTCAGTCCGACAGGTGATGATATTACACATTCATCAGTCATTGCACACCTTGGTCCACTCCGTGGGGCATGCTATGAACTGGTGTCTGCCGTGGATACCCTGCCAAGGCGGTCATCAGTGCTTTGCCACCACGCATTGGGCCCCTACCAGGACATGGCAGCAGTAGTGATTGATACGGGCATGGGATTCTCCAAATGTGGACTGGCTGGAGAGGACCATGTCCTCACTGTGGTACCCTCACAAGTTCAGCTGCTTCAGCATGCAGCCCAGGGCCAGCCCCGGTATGCAGTCCCTGAAAACCAAGACGGCTCCTACCCAGTGCTGAACCGAGGGGTGGTCTCCGACTGGGATGCACTGGAAGTGCTATGGCAGCACCTGTTCTACTGCAGGCTAGGGGTGCAGCCTGAAGAGCTGGCTGTGCTTGTGGCTGATTCACCCATCTCACCGCGTACCAACAGAGAGAAGGTGGCTGAGATACTCTTTGAGCATTTCCATGTGCCAGCCATGCAGACAGTGCATCAGGCTCTGCTGGCACTTTATGCTTATGGGCGTACCACTGGGCTGGTATTAGGCAGTGGCCATGGCACCTCCTATGTGGCACCCATCCTCACTGGCCAGCTGGCCCCTTCTGACACCTACCGTCTGGATGTGGCTGGTACTGATCTCACTGACTACCTGGCTCAGCTACTGCTGGCAGGTGGTCACTCATCACTCAAGACAGGGCTGGTCCACCAGATTAAAGAAGCCTGCTGCTATGTGGCCATGGATATGGCAACTGAGCTGGCCAACACCAAGGCCCAGACCCCAGTGGATTTTGTGCTCCCAGATAAGCAGGTTATCACACTGGGTTCTGAGCGCTTCTGCTGCCCAGAGGCTCTCTTTCGGCCCAGTCTGCTAGGCCTTAACCAGCCAGGGCTCCCACAGCTGGCCCTGCTAAGCATCAGTCGGCTAGAGACCAAACAGCAAGAGCAACTGCTGGCCAATGTGGTACTAGATGGGGGCAGCACCCTGCTAACTGGCTTCCCAGAGCGCCTGAAACAGGAGCTAGGCCCTCAGGCCTCTGTGCTGGGCTCTCCTCACCGTGCAGTTGCTGCCTGGCTCGGGGGCTCCATCATGGCATGCAGGGACTCCTTCAAGAGCCTATGGCTCAGCCGCCATGAGTACGAGGAGGAGGGCCCATGGGCTATCTACAAGTATCAGCTGTGAAAACATAAAGTTCTGGTTCTGCCTATTTTGAATACTGGTGTGTGTTTCAGGCAGAGGGTGCAGAGGGAAAGCAGGAGTCCAGGCATGGGAGCAGGGATGGAGGCCTTGGCTCTCCCAAGGTATACTCTACCTCTGCACTATGGAACTCTATGGGCCTGGGCAACCTGCCCTTTCTGGAGAGCCCCAAGACTCCTGGCTAACATTGGCTTTGGTCTGGCCTGACCTTTACTGCACCCCAAGGGCAACCACAGATAGTAGTGGCTGTGGGTTTTGCCCCGTTACCCTGACAACAAAGTACAATTACCCTTGATTGCCAGCTAGTTGCCATGGCAGTTTCAAACATAATGTAATAACCCACACAGCCTGCAGTGAGTCATGAAGTGGGGGGTGGAGGGAGCCCCTTCCCCTAGCTGCAGAAGGAAAGACTGTTTGCCCTTCTTTATCTTGGGCCCTCTTCTGATGACTGAAGCCAGCAATATGGACAATAGCCGAGCAGTTCGAAAGATAGGTGGGGGGTATGGGGCATTGACTCCAAGCAAAGGTCCCTTTTAGAGCTAGGTTTCTCAGGGAAGATTGTCTGGTAACATGTACCTCCTAGAATCTGAGTCTTAGCTAGAGCTCTATGCTGAGATGGGAGTGGGGGGTAGGGACCCCTCTCCATTGGCCAGAGTATAATAGCATGAAAATACTGGCCATTGGTCCCTTGGACAGGTAGTGGGTAATGTAGGTAAGACCTGAATCCTGGATGGGAGGTGGAATGACCTGGCCATTGGGAGTGAGGCTCTGGCTTGCTTTCAGGGCTCTGAGGATATTGAGGCTCTTATCTTGTCCCTTGATTTTCTAGCTTTGGTGGGAGTCAAAATATATAGTGTCTTCCCCTCTCTATCCTCCCAACTCTAGTATCTCCTGCCTACAAGGTGGCCACGTTATAGTTCTTATGAGGGTTTGCAAAGAGGCTATGGAGCATTGCTGATGCCACTCTCTCTGTTCTAATCTCAAAATCTGCCTCATGCTTAAGGGCCTCCTGCCATCCCTGTGGCCAAGTGTGAGATAGAAGTCATGTCCCCTGACCCTGGCAAGCTCTGAATAGGGACACTAGAAACACGGCTTAGAGTTGGTTCAGTCATGACCTGGAAATCTGAAAGGATGGCATTCAGCCAGAGGGTGGTTGGAGTTTGAAACTGAAACACCCAGACCAGTCCTACCCTGCCTGTGCTTCCCTGGCCAGAGACTGAGGGACATGCCATGACTTTGGGTTACTCTCTATAAATGACAAAGATCTACCTACCCTCACACACACCTAAGAGCAAGCTTGGTAAAAACCAGTGATGTATGATCACCATAGACCCTGCCTGCCCGAGTTTAGTCCAGCCTTTTTCCATGTCCTGCTCTCACGGACTGATTTGGCCTCCACAATCCAGAGACTCATATGAGGCAGGAAGTAGATCCACAGCTCTAGGCGCTGGCTACAGCATCCACACACATGTGCCAGAAGCACGCCTGGGTGCACACAGAATGCAGACCCATGTGCCCCTGGGTTGCCACTTCATACTCTGTGCTGTTGCCATCTCCCTTAGCAAAAGAAAATATATATGTGTGTGCATGCACACTGCCACATGCTCTCACCCACATGGCACACACTGTGCACAGGACCAAGAAGAGGTGGAACACTGCCAGCAGCAGCAAGGCTCTAGGGAGCCACCCCTTTTCCTGACTGTGAATCCCCATTCCAATTTCTCCTTGAATCCATGCCTAGGTAACCACGACCCTGAAAAAAGAAAGAAAACGTGTATGACACTTGTAGGGACAGCAACCCATGGCTTGGCAACCCCGTGTAACTCAGAGTCCCTTTGTTTTAAGGACGGTGCACACATGACAGAAAGGTCTGAGTGCCAAGCCATTTATTCATTTTTCAGACATTAGCTGAGCACATTGAGATGAGAAACAGACTCTGCCCTACACATCCTAGCTCCAGGAGATTCTTACTCTGAAGTGGGGGTAGGTATTATGACCCAGAAACACTCAGAACCCAGTAAGCCCCGAAGTGGCACAGCCTTGTCCAGAGATGACCCAAAACCACAGAAGAATATGAATGGTTCTCCAATATCCTCTCTGGAGGAAAGTTTTGTTTTGTTTTGGGATAGGGTCTTGCTTTGTAGCCCAGGCTGATCTTGAACTCACAGTGTAGTCCAGGCTGGCCTGTGACAATCCTCCTGCCTCAGCTTCTCAAGTGTCAGGATTATAGGAATGTGCCACCATGCCTGGCTTTGTGGAAGAAGGTGTTGAGGGACCTTGTTTTAGATAGTCACTTCGCACACTGCCCTTCAGTCCCAGCTCCAGCTTCTTCACCAGTACAGTCCCTCCTGTCATCAGCCACAGTAGCCACCTTAAGGAAGCCTCACTCAACCTAGCTGAAGATTTGGGGATGCCCTCATCTCCCTATACCACTGGCAGGGCCGGAAGGCTAAGTGGGAGGGGCGGGGCAGGACAAAGCCCAGCTTCTGACACGGAAGGACCTAAGCTTGGCCTCCAGATGGTTCACAGAGCTTTGTGAGGGGAGTGGGGCTGGTGTTGAGTTCATATACGTCCCTGCCAAAGGACAGAGTCTTGGCCAAAGATTTCCTTCAAAGCTTCTTCCTAGCGGTTCTGAACTTCCTCCTTCTTCACACACCAGGCCTGCTGGGCCTTTGGTGCCATAGTTCTCAGGTGTCCCCATATTCTAGCTCATGAAGCTGCTCCTGAAGTGTTTGAGGATAATTAAACTGAAAAGAAAACAGACTCCACATCACTGGTGATTTTTTTTCCTCTTTCTTTTTTTGGTACTGCAGATTGAAAGCAGGGCTACATCCTTAGCTTATTTTATTTTACTTTATTTTATTTTGAGACAGGGTCTAAATTGCCCAGGTGAGGACTCCTGCCTGGATCTCCCAAATCCCAGGTAATTTCATAATTTGGACAATTCAGCACCATTAGGAGGAGGAAAACTGTGCCAGCCAGCTTGGCTGGGACTTACAGTTGGGGCAGACTTTTGCTTTGCAGGTGTTGGGGGCTCGAATGGTCTGGAGCTCTTATACCTTGCCTATATCAGGATGCCTAGCCAGAGCCATGCCACTTTTCCAAGTGAATTTCATCCTTTGGGTATGTTTTAGGAACTGGGCAGAGTCCCAGTCAGCTCTAGAACTCAGACTGCTCCCCAGTGCTCCATGTCCTGGCCTCGACACTGGGCAGAAGGCTCCTGGGGCCCCAGCTGCCGCTGTTGGGTCGGGAGTTCGAGTATCCAAGGGAACCGCGGAGTGTGGCAGAGGCTCAAGAGCTGCACCGCCAACCTGCTAGCGTTGGTCTTGGGATGGGATTCCAGTCTCCAGCTCCGTCAGGGTGGGGGCGGGCCGGCCAGGAGACCCCGCCTCCAGCCCGCCCCCGGCCCAGGGTGCGAATCCGCTGCCTGCAGGAGGCTGGCGATGCAGGGTTCGCGAGCTGGAGCGGCTGCAGCTGGCGCCGCGTCTGCCCCGCGTGCCCGGAGCGGATTCAGCTCTCGCCGCCCCCGGAACCCTCGGCGCCCTGCTGAACCCGCGGCAGCCTCCTCCTATTGACCGACTGGCGCTGCAGGTGTGGAGCAGGGTGGGCTGGGACGAGGGGCACGTCCTGCACGGATACGGGGTCCTGGGGGGCTGGCTCCCTGGTTTGAGGTTCCGGGCGCAGAGTGCACGGGGAACCGCGAGGGCTCAGGTCCCCGTAGGGTCACTGTGCGCGGGCTCTGCAAAGCGGGGGTGGCGTGCGGGGTCGAGGTGAAGTTCCTTTGGGCTTGGACGGCTCCCAGGGTCGCGAGGGAAGGCCTCTGCGTCTCCGAATTGTGGGAGCATTAACACTCGAAAATCGGAGGTGTCCCATGAGGGTAGGGGCCGAGGGCTGAGCTGTCCCCTCCTGGCTTCCAAAGCTGCGTCCAGCCCCTCCCAGCTGCCCCCGGACCCCCTCCCTCCTGCATGGCAGTCACTAATTTCCATGACAACGAAGAGTTCTTTATGGGCGACAACCCGGAGGGGGGCTGGGCGGGGCTGCTGCGGGTTGCGGGTGGATGAGGCTCCAAAGCCCCTGGGGAACCTGCACCCCCTCGGCCAGGTGCCAGCTTCAGAGCCTTGTGAGGGCCCCTTAGGGGGCCTGGGCGCGGACCCACGTGCGCGGCGGGGGTGCGGGGCGCTCCCGTTCTTGCCGGGAGGTGCGGGGCTTGGCGCTTACACGTGTGCCTCCCGCATGTGTGTTGCTGTGCCAGCGGGGGCGATCGAGCAGCACTGGGGAAGGGGGTCAGGGTGGCACCACGGTGAGGCTGAGGCCCCAGGCCGGGGCTGGGGGTACAGTTAGAGGGGTAGAGGTAAAGCTTGAGTTTCTGCTTCCCCAGGTGTTAAGGTCTTGCAGAGACCCTGGGTTCTTAAGCCACAGCATTCCTCCCCCCCCCCCCCCCCCCCGCGCTGCCAACTGCTTTTGTCTGCGTCCTGGTGGGCAGCACCTGCTCCACTAAGTTTCCTTGCTAGGGAGCAGTGGCCTCTGCCCTTCTCGAGAAGCTCAGAATCTGTACCAGCCTAGCACAGTCTACCCAGGCTTTGAGCCCCCCAGGATTATCTTCAAAGATATGGTGTTTTCCCCTCCCTCTCAGGTGATTCTTGTCAGCTCCAGTGACTTCTGGACTTCAGTTTCCTCAACAGGCAAATTAGACACCATTCACCTCAGAGTCAGGCTGGTCTCCAGGATGGGGCAGGGGTCTCCCTTTTCCATCATTTGGTGTGGACTCTCAGGTATCCTAGGCTGGCATTGCTCATGACTGTTGCTCCTCTCTGGCCCCATCCCTGGTAGTTGCTTGTCTTGGAAGAAGGCCACAGAGTCTGTGGTGTCTGTTCAGGGAAACTAAGTCATGGGAGTTGAGGTGTTAATGCAGGTACTGTTTCTGGCTCCCCTGACAAGATCTTGCAGGGTGGTTAGTGACAGGATGAAGCTGAGCTGCAGGAGAGGCTCTGGAGGCAGCAGAGGGAGGGTGGCTTTGACTGGGGGACCTGGATACAGCTGGGCCAGCTGACAAGGAAAGCAGCCTGGTCTCTGAGACTCATTTCTACTCCCTCCATGCTTCTGCCTTCAACATGTTGGACCTCCTTTCCCTAAGCTGCCCTTGTGACCGCAGAGGCTGGGGACTGCCACAGCTGGCCTCTTCCCCATCAAGAGACCCCAAGAAGCCAGCCTCTTTTTGCTTTGCTTTCCACACTAAGTTCAGCATATTTATGGGGGGACATAGGAGGTTTCAATCTCAAAAGTCCAAGTACCAGGTTACCTTCTTGCCCAGGGATTCAGAGCACATGGCTATGGTGGCCTTAGGGTATTGCTGAGTACCCCAAAGCCCCTCTAGAACCTCCTACTTACCTTTCCCTTGCTCTACTCTGTCCTTTTTATCCTGTTACCTCCTTGCTCTTCTTCCATCATAGACTTTGCCTTTGTCTCTGTCTGTGTTCCTCTCTCTTTTCTAGAGTTTCTCTTGCCCCCATCTTCCCTTCTTTGATAGAGACCAGGGTTGCAGAACCCATGTGGAAGGAGACAGGCCAAAGTGTCATGGGAATCTTAAATAAGGGACCTTAAAAGGGGGGGGGGGCGCTGAGGATTTAGCTCAGTGGCATAAGCGCCTGCCTTGCAAGCAGGCAGTCGTGAGTTCGATTTAGAAAAAAAAAAAAAAAAAAAAAAAAAAAAAAAAAAAGGGACCTTGCTAACACATCTCCCTTCCCCCCTCCTTGTTTTAAAACTTCCATCACCATAGCAACCCTTTACTCTAGTGCTTTCTGCAGTTCCCCTCCTCCAACCAAAGAGAAGCAGGGCCTCCAGTGGATTCACCTTTAGAGGTTCAAAGATTAGGACCCCATATTCTGGCATGGGGAACTATTGGCTCTTAGCTCTGCCTGCATGTTGAGAGCTGAACTTTCTGGAGGAAGCACTCGTCCATATGCTAACCCCCAAGACTGGGAAAAACCCTTCCTCTATGCTCTCTGATGAGATGAAGGGAGTCAATCCTAGGAACTGTTGACCATGGTTCAACCAGGGTAGCTTCCTGTCCAGTCTCCTGAAGCAGATGAACAGTGAGCTGGACCTTTGACTCTGTCTCCTGATACCAGACTCAGTGAGGAATCCCTTCCCTGGATGCTATGGCCGAAGCCTCAGCTGTGAGCTAGGCATGGATTGGGCCCCCAGCATGTCCATTTCAGCAGGGGAGTCAGCCCTTGTCCCATAGAAAAGAGAACAGGGGTGGTGACAGGCTGGTGTTCACAACTTCCACTAAATTGGGAGGTGTTGCCTAAGTGGCTGGAAGGCAGCTGGAGGCCTTCTGGGCCCCACCTAACCTCCGTAGATTTACTGCAAACTCTAGAGCTTCACATGGCAGGGGACCAGGGCAGTAAAAACTCATTTATGGCTGTGAAAGATGGGCCCTGAACCAGGCTGATCCGAGTGGAGGAGAGGAGAGGACTCCTAATGTCCGGGCTTCTTGGCCTCTGTTTCACTAGGGCTTCCTCAGGGTCAGACTTGACTAGGGTGCAATAGAGCCCCTAGAGGACCCCTGATTACTAGAATACAAAGGGCCTGAGGCTCCAATCCCCAAACCCAGTGATTAGTCTTCAGGAGCAGGCAGTAATTGGGGAGTGCTGGACCCTTTGGCTCCCTAAGAGCTAACTAGAGGGCAGTTGCAGGGCCAGGCTCTGCACTCTTCCCAGCATTCCCTTGGGTGGTCCCAGGTGCACACTGTTTATTTCCTGTAGGTAGAAAGGTGGAAACCAAGTCTCCAGGGAAGTGGTTGCTTTGAGGCTTCTATGCTCTCAGGGGCCAATATGATCCCGATCTGTGGTAGAGTGCAAATCCCTTGGAGTTGGGAGGCAGTTCTCCATTGTTGGGTGTTGGGTCTGGGGTATGGGAATAAGAAATGTAGACCCTTTCTGCCCAGGCAAAATTGTTCTTACTGCTATCCTGTGGCTCCTTCTCTAGTTTTGAGATCCAGACCACTCTTGTTGCAGACAGCTGCTACGAGCTTGGTTTATACAACATGTAGCTTCTCAGGGGTAGCAGATGGTGGAATGGATGGAGGTGGAGGGGACCACCACTAACTAACTGGAAACATGGCCCCCTTTTCTCCACTCTTCACCCTGGAATTAAGTCTAGTGGCACAGGCCAGGGCAGGCTGGGATCAGGGCAGTGATACTAGTAGGTTGGGGAGGCAGATCTGTCCCTGTTCCAGCATTAGACCTGCGGGACATGGTCCTAGGCTGACCATACCATAGCTTTCAGTGGTAGGCACAGACTCCAGGGCCAGGCCTAGAGCCCCATGGGCATGAGTGCATATACAGAGCCCAAAGCTGAGACCAGGATCAGGGACAGGCATACATAAAACCTACCACCCACACCATGCTGACAGAGCTGCTAGCTCTTGGAATGGGGGCTAGGGGTTGGGAAGGTGTCTTAGAGAAAGGCCATTTTGCGTCTGGCCTTGGAGCATCAGGATTGTTTTAGGCAAGTTGTTTTGTGGACAATCTTATGATGTCAGAAGTAGCAGTGAAAAAAGATTCACCCCAGGTTTTAACACCTCAGCTTGCATGAAGGCTGCTCCACAAAAAAGCCAAGGTTGTGTAGGCCTTTGCCAGGGATCACACTTTCAGCTCCTGATAAACACAAAGTTGGAAAGTCACCTGTTGTTGCTAGTTTTTGTTTGGTTTTATGTTATAAATAACTGCTGTGACAAATAGAATTCTGATGGGAGATTTTAGGGGGAAGGCATTTGTGTCAGAGGGAATGGTGTTAGCAAAGCAACTGAGCTGGGAGACCTACAGGCTAAGGTAGACATGGTTCCCACATTCAGCCTGGGAGGGCAGCTGCTGCCCATCAGATACATGAAAACTGATTCAGCCCTCCTCTCCTGGATGTCATGGCATGGGAGTGGGTGTAGTGAGTAGCCACACCTCTGCTCTTAGCTGTGAGGATGAAATTCCAGCCTGTGCCCCTCCCCAGTAGATGTGGAAGCAGGGCTGTGGCCATGGTGGCAAAGACATGCAATTGGTAACGATCTTCAAAGCCTCTTTCAACTGCTTCTGAGGTGCCTCACTATATAGCTTAAGTCCTACCTTTACGGCCCAGATGAAGGAAGGATGGAATTTGTTCACTAATGTAGAGGGCACATTAAGAGAAGACCAACAGGACTGTGATCCCTGGGAACTGAGTGACTAGTTTGTGCCTGGGGGAAAGTAAGGAACAGCCAGGGCTGGCCATAGTGTGAGACTGGGTCCTGGTCTTTGACCCCTGCTGGAATAGTCCTTGCTAAGTTGCCTTCACTGAGGATACCTTCTCCTTCTTTACTACTCTGAGATTGAATACTTTTAGGCGGGGGAACATTCAGGTACTCAAGCCAATGCTCCCCTGCCTCTGAACAAGGGTTGTGGATCCCTTTTCTTTTGGGTGCTAGAGCAGCAACCCAGCACTGTAAATGAGAGCTGGGCTGTAATCAGCAGGATTGCAGACCTGAGAGGCACCGTATCCTGGGTGCAAAGAGTGCCCAGAACCTAGTGAGCCAGCTGTATCTGGCCAGGTCCTTGTGCCTGGCCCTGACATCCAGGTCCCCTGTGGGCCCTTCCATTGAGGTGTTTGTTAGGCAGGCTTGTCTTGCTCTCACTGACCATCACCCCTCTATACCTCCTGGCAAATCCTTCCCCTCAAGACCCGGCCCAAATGCTGCCTTTCTACCAGAGGGTGCTTCTGTCTTAGAGGAATCCCCCACTGCCCCAGCATGGTAGCTGAGCAAAACATTTACTAAGTGAACCAGTGTCATCATAGTAAAAATTCTAACAGACAATTAATAAATACTATAAAAAGTCTGACCTGCCCCTTTCATAGCCAATTCATTGTCTCAAAAAGAATTATTATTTCTTCAATATCCTTCCAGAAAAGAGTTTGTGAAGTCAGGCAGGTGTGGTGCTTACACTTGTAATCCCACCATGTGGGAGGCTGAGGCAGGAGGATCACAAGTCTAGCCCAGCCTGACCAATTTAGCAACTTGGTGAGACCTTGTCTGAAAATGTAAAAATAAAATAAAATAAAATAAAATAAAATGGTTTGGGGTATTGTTTAGTGTGAAAGCCCTGGGTTCAATACCACCAAAAGAGGAAGAAGAGGAAAGCAAAAAAAAAAAAAAAAAGTTGGTGAGCCTACACCAATATATGAACTTTTAAAAATATATCCAAATAGCAGCACCTTCTCCCCACCATTCTGTCCCTTACTTTTTAAATGAACATCTCTCCTATAGCAGCACACTTTGTTTTTCATAACAACTCTTTAGTGTGAGTGGCCCTAATTTTTATTAACTTCTTTATTGTTAAGTACACTAAAAAAAAAATCTAGGAATGTCCTTCAAATTTGTATGTACATTTTTACAAATTATTAAAAAGCACAAATCTGTGTAACTATCACCCAGATCAGAAACAGACCCTCCAAACCAAGGATAGTAGTACCTACCTGTAATTCCAGTACTCGGGAGGCTGAAGCAGGAGGATCACTGTGAGTTCAAGGCCATCCTGGGCCACATAGTAAGTTCAAGGCCAACCTGGACTGTGTAACAAGACCCTGTCTCAAAAGAAAAAAGAACAAAAAGAAAAGGATCCTCTAGAAGACCACCATGTGCCTCAACTCAGCTTTTTCCCTCTCTCTGTCTTTGATTCTGTCTCTGTCTCTACTGTTAATTGAATTCAGGACCTTGCACTTGCTAGGCAGGTGCTGTGCCACTGAGTTATATCCCCAGCCCCCTTCCTTTTTCTTAGAAGGAACCGTTTATTACCTGACTCCTGATGCTTATTTCTTAGTTTTTTTAAAAAAATTTTGTTTTATTTTTTGTTTGTTTTTGTTTTTGAGATGAGGTTTCTCTATGTAGTCCAGGCTGGACTTTAACTCACTATATAGTCCTGGCTGGTCTCGAACTTGTGGCGATCCTTCTGCCTTCACTTCCCTAGAAATGTGATTACAGGCATGTGCTGCCACACTTGGTTCCCTAGCTTCTCTTTAGAGTGCTACTTCTGTGTTTATATCCCTAAACAGTAGAAGGGAGTTTTACTTAGTTTTGAGCCCTATTTCAATAGAATCATACTGTATTATTCTTCTGTGGTTTTTTCCCCCTGAACTCTGTCCATAAGATGCATCATGCATCATGCATTTGGGTATAGCTATAGCACCTTCATTTTCATTGCAGTATAACATTCCATTGTGTGACTACAGCACAATCCATCCTGCTGATATTTGGGCTGTTTCCAGTTTTTGGCAATTATGAAGATAGCCATCATGAGCACTCGCATAATCGTCCTAAGGCACAAATGTATGCATATATATATATGTATATATATATACATGCACATAGGGTATATTTATTTGATCAAACTATTTTTCAAAGGGGAGAGTTGCCATCTACCAGAGGTGTTTATATTGTCCACATCTTCAGAGATGAATATCTGGTAGGTAGATGGTTATAGCCCCTTTATTTATGAAATAAATAGCTAAAATTTAAAGAAAGTATTTGATAAGTGTTTTTAAATATATAGAATGCAATATTCCCTGATATATCAGCTTAATATAGTTTTTGTCAGAGGGTGCCATTGTAGTCCAGGGAGCCACACTGAGTGGCTGGACATAAGACCAGAAAAGCAGGAGAAGGCACACAGCCTTCCTACCCTTGAGCTTGTGCCATCTCTTCTCTGGTCTGGCCTGAGGTAGATACGATGTTGTGGGGAGACCTGAAGCATGCTTTGTCAGACTCTGTCTTGCCCACAGCTTAAAGCCTGGCAATGCCGTTTGGGTGTGTGACTCTGGGTGACAAGAAGAACTATAACCAGCCATCGGAGGTGACTGACAGATATGATTTGGGACAGGTCATTAAGACGTAAGTGTCCTGTTGGGCAAAGATGGGTGGTGGGCAGGGGCTGCCTGGGAAGGGGGAATGGAATGTACTCTGGGCAGAGGCCAAGGCTGATCACATGACCCACGGCTGCAGTGAGGAGTTCTGTGAAATCTTCCGTGCCAAGGACAAGACCACAGGCAAGCTGCACACCTGCAAGAAGTTCCAGAAGCGGGATGGCCGAAAGGTGCGGAAGGCAGCCAAGAATGAGATTGGCATCCTTAAGATGTGAGTGTGAGGCTCAGGGGCAGGGTGGGATGGGGCTGTGGGGATCCCTAGAGGGCAGGTAGCCGCCGGCAATGGCAGTCTCTAGTGACCAAGTCTATGCCATAGCTGCTGGCTGTTGTTCACTTGCCGGTCCGGAGACTAACTCAGCTTTAACCACTGGCTCCTTTCTTTGTCCCCAGGGTGAAGCACCCCAATATCTTACAGCTGGTGGATGTGTTTGTAACCCGCAAGGAATACTTCATCTTCCTGGAGCTGTGAGTGAGGGTCTGGGGTCCTACGATTCCCAGTCCCCAGGCTTTTACCTGTTCTGTCCTCTACACCTGAAGAAAGCCCCTTTCCAGACCCTAGGTGTCCCCAGCCCCTGTACCTTGCCCAGCCAGCTGCCTGGTGCACGAAGCCCTCCCAAATGCTGTTACCTGACCTGATCCTTCCCACACCGGGCTCAGGGGCTGGTGTCCCTCAGGGCCACGGGGAGGGAGGTGTTTGACTGGATCCTGGACCAGGGCTACTACTCGGAGCGAGACACGAGCAACGTGGTGCGGCAGGTCCTGGAGGCTGTGGCCTATTTGCACTCACTCAAGATCGTACACAGGAATCTGAAGGTGAGGCCAGGTCCGGGTCACTTAGTAGCTGGCTGGGGCTGGGTTGGTCAGGACCTTGGGGCATTGGTTCTGCCTCTGAGGCTCTCATGGTCTTTTCTGCTCACCTACATGCATTCCTGGTGGGAGCAGTTGGAGAACCTGGTTTACTACAACAGGCTGAAGAACTCAAAGATTGTCATCAGCGACTTCCATTTGGCTAAGCTAGAAAATGGCCTCATCAAGGAGCCCTGTGGGACCCCCGAGTATCTGGGCAAGCAAGGATGGGGAGTGGGGGGAGGGGCAGACATCAGGGAGCCTCTTTGGGTAGGAAGAAGTTCCTATCCCAGGAAGAGGGTGTGGATGGCACCAGACCTGGCCAGGCCATACTGACAAGCAGGTGGACATTGTGTTTGTAGCCCCAGAGGTGGTAGGACGGCAACGGTATGGACGGCCTGTGGATTGCTGGGCTATTGGTGTCATCATGTACATTCTGTGAGTGGATGGGTAGACAAATAGGCTTGCAGCCAGGTTAGGGTGGAGGGCCTGTGTCTGTGGCCATGCTGGGTGACCCTGCCTCCATGCAGGCTTTCAGGCAATCCACCCTTCTATGAGGAGGTAGAAGAAGATGATTATGAGAACCATGACAAGAATCTCTTCCGCAAGATCCTGGCTGGTGATTATGAGTTTGACTCTCCGTACTGGGATGATATTTCTCAGGCAGGTGAGGAGTTGCCCAGCATGTGGGTACAATGTAGGGGAGTAGGGAGGGAGACATTGTTGTCAGATTCTTGTGCTGGATTTTGCTCCTGCCCCCAGCCCATTAATCAGCTCTAGAAAATGAGGTAGGGTGCCATGCCTATCCTCTCTGGCTTTATTTCCAGCCAAAGACCTGGTCACAAGATTGATGGAGGTGGAACAGGACCAGCGGATCACTGCAGAAGAGGCCATCTCCCATGAATGGTGAGCAAGGCAGGGGAGGAAGAAAGGACTTCTGTACCATTTATACCCATTCTTCAGGCCTTAAGTGAGTGGTGTTACTTAGAGCCCAGGCTAGTCCAGAGGCTTAGCCTGGTACAGTTTGGATCCCATATGGTAAGCAGGACAGACTCTCCACAAAGAGCCATATCCACATGCGCTTGTATCCTTTTCAGGATTTCTGGCAATGCTGCTTCTGATAAGAACATCAAGGATGGTGTCTGTGCTCAGATTGAAAAGAACTTTGCCAGAGCCAAGTGGAAGGTAAGGTTTGGTAACCAGACTGTTTCTCCAGTGCTTCTCCTGGCACAATTGGTACCACATCCCTGCCGCCATACATGAACTTTTCATAGGCCACCAGGTGTGGCTGTGGCCACTGTCATTACCTTAAGCAGAAGTAATGATTGATGAATGGTCAGAGGCGGCTGGGGCACCATGGAAGGGGCTAGGTTTGGCAATTGCCAAGAAATGGATCCAGCAATTCTCACCACAAGCCTTTCTCTACTGTCATCTTTCAGAAAGCTGTCCGAGTGACCACCCTCATGAAACGGCTCCGGGCCCCAGAGCAGTCTGGCACAGCTGCCTCCCAGTCTGCCTCAGCCACAGACACTGTCACCCCTGGGGCCGCAGGTGGGGCCACAGCTGCTAGTGGAGCTGTCCCTGCCTCAGGGGGCAGTGCTGCTACAGCCACAGGGGGAGATGCTGCATGTGCTGCCAAGAGTGATAATGTGGCTTCTGCAGACCGTAGTTCCACTCCGGCCACAGATGGCAGCGCCACTCCAGCCACTGATGGCAGCGTCACCCCCGCCACTGATGGCAGTGTCACCCCAGCTACTGATGGCAGCGTTACCCCAGCCACTGACAGGAGTGCTACTCCAGCCACTGATGGGAGAGCCACACCAGCCATAGAAGAGAGCACGGTGCCCACCACTCAAAGCAGTGCTGTACTCACTGCCAAGGCAGCTGCCACCCCTGAACCGGCTATGGCTCAGCCAGACAGCACAGCCCTAGAGGGCATCACAGGCCAGGTTCCACCCTCTAGTAAAGGGGCAGAGGCTGCTGGCTACGTCCAGGAGTCTCGGAATGAGACCAGCTGAATGGGTAGCCTGGAGGTGGTGGTTGGGGGACTGACAGGAGGGTGGGATAGTTGATCAGGGGCTTCTCACTGTACATAGAGTCACTGGCATGATGCCCTTGCTCCCCCAAGTCCACCATCCCAGTGGGGCATGCCTGGGGGTCACAGGAGAGCAGTCTCATCTCCTGTGTGTATGTGTGTGAGTGGTGGGTAGGCCAGAGGCAGGGCCAGCCCCAGCCCCTGCATGGATTCCTTGTGGCTTTTCTGTCTTTTGCTAGCTTCTCCAGTTTCTGTTGCTTGTGGGATGCTGCTCTAGGGACACTCAGGGGGTCCTTGCTCTCCTCCTTCCCTTCCTGCCTCATCATGACCCCAGGCAGGTCCTATAGGTCCCATATTTTCCTAAGCCCTTTATGGATGGCCTTGCCCTAAAAGCTGGTCTTCCAGTGAGGCCCTGTCAGTGGTCATAGGCTCCTGAACATGAAGGTGTGTATGTGACATGTGGGCTGCTCTAGGAGTAGATGTTGGCCAGTATAGAGAATGCAGAAATCTAGGGCATTATGTTTTAAATCAAGACAGGTCACATGGGTGGGGGCACTGCATACTAGCTGTGGGGGTGCTCAGAAGTAGGAAGAATGCATAGGAGGGTGGAAGCTTCCACATTTGTTGCTGGGAAGGCCCTCTTAAGACTCTTGTGTTATTTTCTGCCCTGCAGCGGATTGCCCTGCACCTTGAACTTCATGAGCTTTTAATGGAAAAGAGGAGCAATTAAGATGTGGCAATAACACCTGGGATAACAGAGTACAACCCCAGTATCTTCTTGTCTAGCCTTGCTGGGTCCTTACCCTGGGCCAAACAGGGAGGGCTGGGTGATATCCCCATGCTCTTCCTTGATAGCCATCCTGCAGAGGCTCGACCCTTAAGTCCTCTCCATCCTTAGGAGGCTTGCCGCAAAGTGGGTTTGCCCTTCACTGGGGCAGATTGTCTGCCCTCAGTTTCCCAACATGGAGAAGATGATCCTCCTCTGCTTACTTTGATCAGAGGTCTGGGTGCCTCTGAACCATGTTAAGTTGCTTTTGCTAAGATGAGGAAGTAGAATAAGACTCCAGTTCCCTGAGGAGGCTCCAAAGAGGTGCCCTTTGTCAGACCATACCACAGTCTGGACAGGCAGCCACACTGTTCCTCGCCCTCGCTCGGCACTCTGGTGGTCCTGCCCTTCTCCATGCATGCCTATAGGTCTGCTCTGGTATGTGAAGGTTGGTGGGCTGACTGTGTGCCTGCTGAATCTGGCAAATAAATGTCACCCTGCAAAGCCTCTGGCCACCCTCTTGCCTTTGCTTCCTCTGTCTTACCGAGGAGGAGTCCCTAGAAGGCAATGGGAAGGGGAGACTGAGAGAAAGTTCACAGGTAGTGACTGATGCTCAGTGGGTTGCTTGGGCTGAGAGTGAAAGGCACTACATCAGTGCATTCCTTAAAGGTGATGGTGAGGATCCTCTGGACTCTGCATTTTGTGTGTGGGGTGAGTCCTGGGCTAGGTTTGGGCCAAGGAATATCCCCTGGGCTGAGAGTTCCAAGTATGGGTTGCATTTCCAACTCTGTTAACCAAGAAGCCTTTGTCTTAATTTGGGGATAGACTTGGAACTCACTCAAGGCCAACCACCAAAGAGAGAGAGCTCCAAAATAGGCCTGGGAGGGGATGTAGGGTGGGTATTGCACAAAGGTTCTGTGCTGTATGTTGATTCCTGCTTCTTGTGAACACCTATGTTTTCTACATAGGCCCAAAAGATTTTGCTCTGTCTTCTTCAGCTGGAGCAGATTAGCTGTATATGGAGCTCTGCATAAGGTGTCTGGGGAGAGGAAGTAACATTGCAAAAAATAGCATGAAAAGCCCTATGGAGTCTTGTTTCAGTTCAGATCGGCCTCAGTGAACTCAGCAGGGTTTCTGCTTTCTCAGGGAGGACCTCAAAGATAACCTCTATGATGTGGGAATAATAAAAAGGGTTTGTTAGTCCCTGGTCTTTGAAGTATCTGTGTCTCCAAAATTGCAACCTTACTATAGTTCTGAGCATGAGGAATCCTGGGAGTTAAGGTCTAAATTAAGGTACTGGCACTAGTATCTCCAAACCTGGGGATTACTGGATAAAACCAAGATTAACCTAGGGTATACCCTGAGTTGGGACCCATGTGACCGTCTTGCCAAGATTACTTGTAACTGAAGGCTGAGAGCGTGGGGCCTTATTCTATTTGGGGAACTAAGGGGTGCCAGCACACGGTCTATTTATGCCCAGAGCCCTGGGTACCCATCGAGACCATTAACTCATTCCCTAGCGGCTGCATTCTTCTTGACTGTCCGGAAGTGCAAAAAGAACCAAGGTGAGGAGCCCAGGCCCGGTCCCCCTTGCGCCAGCTGTAGCTTGGAACCACAACGCCAAGCTTTGCCCGGGAAAAGGGCCTAGCTGGCAGCGCAGACGCTTTACCCCCAAGCCTACACAGCGTTCCAGTCTTCTCCAGAGACTTCAGGCAGCTACTGCGCTCAGTCCCTGCGTCCTCCATAGCTTTTGTGCCGCTAAGCCCTGCCCCCCCTGGTCCCGCCCTCTGAGAAATTTATCCAATCAGGTCCAGAAATAAAGGTTGCCGCACCTTTTCGGTGTCGTCATTTCCGGTCCTCTCCGGGAAGTCGCACTGTGGAGCCAAATTTGAAGCCTTCTGGGAGGCGGGAACGCGATCTGCCCGCTGGACCTGTAGCGGTTTTCTTAGCTGCCTGGGCCGCTGGCCTCCTGCCATCATGCCTATCCGTGCACTGTGCACTATCTGCTCCGATTTATTTGACCACTCCCGTGATGTGGCCGCCATCCACTGTGGCCACACTTTCCACCTGCAATGGTGAGTGACTGTGGCCTAGCTCCTGGCGTTCTACTTGATACAGCTTCGGGGTGGGGGTGGGGGCATCAGGCACGCAGTTAATACGTCCTCGCAGCCCAGACGGATGATTGAGGGCCCCTTTAGGCAGAGTCCCACGGGAGCGTTCCCACCTGGGTTTAAGTGGGTCAGGCGGAGGTGACAGCTGAATTGAGCCTAGAGTAACGAAGAGGCGGTGGGGGCACAGTGGGAGGTGATTGGTTTTGTGAAGAGAGTACCAGTTTCTTTGATCACCTGTGCAGGGATGAGACTTCAAAACTTAGCTTTGCCAGGTGTGCTTGTAATCCCAGTACTTGGGGGGCTGAGGCAGGAGGATTGCTGCGAGTTTGAGGCCAGCCTAAACTGCATAGTGAAACCCTGTCTCAAAAACAAACAAACAAGGCCAGCCTAAACTGCATAGTGAAACCCTGTCTCAAAAACAAACAAACAACAACAAAAACTGTTAGCCTGGCAGAGATGAATTTTCACTATACTAATGAACCCTTTCGTTTCTTAAAGATAGAAACCTGGTGGTGGTGTCTGAGCCAGGCATGGTGGCACACGCGTTATTTGGCACCTGGGAGGCTGAGGCAGGAGGATTGCTGCGAGTTTGAGACAAGCTAGGGCTACATAGTGAGTTCAAGGCCAACCTCAATTACTTACTGACACTCTGTCTCAATAAACAAAACAAGAGGAACTCTGGTAGCCTCTGGCAGCCTTTAGTGATTTATTGTGGTTTGCCTAGTGGTTTAGATTGATTTTATCCAGACTCATCTCATTGGCCAGACACCCTAGTGTTATTCACTATCCAGCAAACCGAGCTTTACATGAAAGGCAAGGAAATGCTTCCCTATCAAAGGATCTTGCTGACTGTGTAGGATCGTTTTGTTGAGTGTACAGTTAGTGGGGAAAGATTCTAGCAGTTATTGACAGGCTGATTTAGAACTCCAGCAAACGAGATAATGCAGAGGGACCACTGTAAATGGTGGGAAGTAATAATCATAGGGGGCTTGTGAAAAAGACACAAAGGGTGGTGCCTTACTCCTTGCTTGGAAAGCTTTGTTTAAATTGCTCATGTGTTGATAGACCTTGAGTTGTTTCCACATTTTGACTACTGTGACTAATGCTGCTCAGAACATTGTTGTACATGCATCTGTTTGAGTCCAGTTATTTTGGAAACATACTTGGGTGTCAAAAAGCCAGCATTTATGGTAATTCTATACTTAGGTTTTTGAATAATTGCCACACTATTTTCCACAGCAGCTGCATCCTCCTACAGGGACTTGTCCTCACACCCCTCACACAGGGACTTGAACCTAGGAGCACTAGACCACTGAGTTTCATCCCCAGCCACTTTTTTCTTAATTTTTTGAGATAGGGTCTCACTAAATTGCCCAGGCTAGACATAAGCATTCACTCCTGCCTCAGCTTCCCTCAGTGCAGGAATTACAGGTTGGTTGGCTGTCTGGCTTGCTTGCTTGTTTTTCTGTTAAAACAGTTTTCACTACATTGCTCAGGCTGGTCTCACAACACTTGAGTTTTTGATGATGAGGATCAAATCTGTGTTCTCTGTTTTTCTTTTTCTTTCTTTCTTTCTTTTTTTTTTTTTTTTGTACTAGGGATCAAACTCATGCTTGCTAGACAGATGCTTATGCTACTGAGCTAAATCCCTGACCCCAAATCTGTTTTCTTGCATGTTTCGCATGGGCTGTGCCACTGAGTCATATACCCTACCCCATACGTTATTTTAAATTTCCACCAAAAATACATGAGAGTTAGAATTTCTTTACATCTTGATAATACTTGTCATTGGTCTTGTTTTTGTTTTTCAATTCTGGGGACCAGACCCTGGATTTTCACGTGCCTGACAAACACTCTACTACTGAACCAATTCCCTTATCCCATAGCTCTTCCAGTGGGTATAGCATGGCAATTCACTGTTTTTTAATGGTGGCAAAATATGCAAATCATAAAAATTACCATTTTTATAAGTATTAAGTATACAGCTCAGTGGTATTATATGTATTCACCCTGTACTGCAATCATCACCATTGTTTTAAAACCTTATTTCATTTTTCCCGAACTGAAATGCTGTACCTCTTAAATGGTAACTCCCAATTATCCCTTGCCCCAAAGCTCTAGTAGCCACCATGTTACTTCTCCATCTCTATGAATTTGATTGCTTTAAGTACCTTATGCAAGTATTCGAATCATATATGTTTGTCCTCTTGTGTTAGGTTTATTTAGCATAATGTCTTTGACTTTACCCATATGTAGCGTGTGTCAGAATTTTTTTTCCCAGTGCTGGAAATGAATCTAGAATCTTAGGCTTGCTTTACCACTGAGCTACATTCCCAGCCCTTTTAAAAATTTTTTTGGTCTTTTTCCTTTTTATCAGTACCAGGAATTAAACTCACAACTGCACACTTGCAAGGCAGGCACTTATGCCGCTGAGCTAAACCCCCAGCCCACCTTTTTAAATTTTTGAAACAGGAGTCTCAGTAAAGTGCCTAGGCTGGTCTCAGACTTACGATGCTTTCATTTCAGTCTCCCAATAGCTGGACTATTAGTATACCCTACTATATCTAGCAGAATCTCTTTTTCACTCTTGAGTAATATTCCATTGTATGTGTATTTCACTTTTGTGTACCCATTTGTCTATCATGGATATTTGAATTATTTCCACATTTAGGCAATGCTATGAATGTTGGTGTACATTACTTTACACTTTCCAGACAGGCACTTATACCATTAAGCTATATTCCCAACCCTTTTTTTGAGACTGTGTTCAATTCTTCTGGGTGGAATTGGTAGGTCATATGATATCCTAAGTTTAACTTTTTGAAGATCTACCATACTGTTTCCACGGTGGCTGTGTCATTTTGCATACCTACCTACCTTCAGTGTATGTATATGGATTCCAACTCTTTTTCTTTGTTTAAAGACAGGGTTTTGCTGTGTATTCCAGGTTGGCTGAGCTTACAATCTTCCTGCTTCCATCTCCCACATGATGGAATTACAGGCATGTGACACCATGCCCGGCTATGTTTTTAAAGTAATAACTATCTTAATGGGTATCTTTTCTTTTGTTATATGCATTTATAATTATAATTATTAGTTTCCCTCTTAGTCCCTCTTTTACTGCATTTCCTATGTTCTGGTACGTTGTATATCCGGTTTCATTCATCTCAAGGTATTTTAAGATTTCCTTTGTGATTTTTTTCTTTGACTCATTGGTTGTTTTAAGAATGTGTTGTTGAATTTTCCTTCATGACTGATGGCCTCTTTCTGACTCCGATACTCCTATCTCTGTTTCTTTTTTTTTTTTTTTTTTTTTTTTTTTTGGTGCTGGGGATTGAACTCACAACCTTGTGCTTGTCAGGCAGGTGCTTATACTGCTGAGCTAAATCCATGGCCCTGTCTCACTCTTTTTTTATTGTTTGTTTGTTTGTTTTTTCCCCAGTATTGGGGATTGAACCCAGGCCCCTCACCTAGCTACATGCCAGATCTTTTTAGTTTTTGACAGGCTCACACTAAATTTTACAAACTTGTGATCCTCCTGCGTCAGCCTCCTCGAGTTCTTGGATTACAGGTGCACACTGCTTTGCCTGGCTCCTGTCTCACCCTTATAAGGACCCTTGTAATAATCTTTCCATCTCAGGAGTTGTACAGCACATGCTTAGTGGGCTGGAAGCCCTGGGGTCAATCCACAGCACCACAAAAGAATAACAAAAACAAAGAAACAAAAAAAGTAGCAACAACAAAAACTCTTAATCATAAAATTCCTCACAATGTGGTATATTCACAAGTTTTAGATATTAGGACATGGACTTTTTTTGGTACTAATACATAATTCTACCCACAGTTTTCTTTCCAGAACTTCCATTTATACATGTGCTAGAGTTTCTCAGATTATTTTCTGTGTTTTATCAATTCTATATTTTCTTATCTTCTTACTTTTTTTTTTTTTTTTTTTTTAATCAGTGCCAGGGCTTGAACACAGGACTGTGTGCTTGCAAAGCAGGCACTTAAGCCACTCAGCTAAATCCCCAGCCCCATCTTCTTACTTTTTAATATTTCCTTTAGCTGTGTTAAATCCATATATTGGCTTCTTAATTTTGGCCAGTTTTTAGTTTTAGAATTTGCAACTTTCAGCTGAGTGTGGTAACACATGTCTGTAACCTTAGCACTCAGGAGGCTGAGGCAGGAGGATCACTGTGAGTTCAAGGCCAGCCTAAACTACATAGTAAGTTAAAGGCTATTTTCAACTACATAGTGAGACTTTGTCTCAAAAAACACAAAAACAAACAACAAAAAAAAAAAAGATTCTGTGACTTGCTGTTTGTTTTTGTTTTTCTTCTTTTGAGATGCAGTCTTACTATGCTCCCCAGGCTGGTCTCTACTTCATGAGCTGAAGCTGCCTAACTTTATTGGATTCTTTTTAAATCTTACGTGTCACCGTTTCATCGTTAATTCTGTACTGATATTGCAGACATGGTTTTTTTTTTTAGCATAATGTGTTTGGTCTGTAATTGACAACCCCAGTACCTGAGGGCTCACGTGTTCTTCTGTTTTGTGCTCCTAATCCTTTCCCCTGTGTGCTGGTTTACATTTTAAGTTTATTGAAGTATAATATAGTCACAGCAAAGTACAAGTGACCTGCAGAATTTTCACAAACAAGCACATCCATGCAATCAGAATTCAAATCAAGAAAGGGATATTAGGGTCAGGGGTTTAGCTCAGCGGCACAAGTGCCTGCCTGACAAACACAAGGTCATGAGTTCAATCCCCAGTACCAAAAAGAAAAAAAAAGAAAGAAGATATTGGGCCGAGGCATAGTTCAGTGTAAGAGGTCCTGAGTTCGATCTACAGCATTGCCTGAAAGAAGAAGGAAGAGAAAGGAAAGGGACCTGCTGGGATTACAGGTATGTACCACCACCATGCCTGGCAGGAACTGCTTAAAGTTTAAGGACGAGTTGTTGCTAGACCATGTTGATGGATGATGCAAAGCTGGGCTGTTTTGCTTTTACCACTAATCCTTACCTTAGAAGTGTAGTCTTTAGGGTCCTATCTTAAAGTGGGAGTTTAAGGGAAATCATATTGTTTGATCAATCTTGCATGCCTCTATCTGGTAACCTAAGCAACTATTTTGAAGATAACAACATATGGTATAACAACCATTGTTAAATTTCTGTCATCTTGTTTTGAAATCCTATATCGCTATTGTCTGTTCTTGTTATTTTGCTTTGTTTTTGGTTTGCTTCTTGATTTTTTTTTTTTAAATAAAAAAAAAAAAAACAAAAACAAAAAACTGAAGTTATAATCAGTCTCATCTCTGAGGGGGGCTTTGACTGCCACCCTGACCCACAGTCAAGTCCAGAAGGTTGGTAGAAGTGTTTCTGGCCGAGCCTATAGGCCTAGTTGGTCTGAATGCTGAATACCGGTCAGGTTTTGTGGGAAGTGCCATATCTGCCTGTGGTATTGTCTTACCCAGTGGCAGACACTGGGTTGAGGAGAAACAGGATCTCTGGCTAAATCATGGCTCACTATTCTTTTGTTCTGGTTTTTATTCTAGCCTTGTTCAGTGGTTTGAGACAGCACCAAGTCGGACGTGCCCACAATGCCGAATCCAGGTGAGAGTATTGGGGGGCTCACCTCAGCAGGGCATTTGCTCCTTGCCACAAAGCACAAATGTGGGAAGATTTCTGAAACTGAATAGTACCTCTGACCCTTTTTGCCTTCCTTGTTTGAGACAATTTAAGCCTCATGTGTACTCTGAGTTACTTGGAATGTGTGCTTGCACCCAGAGGTAGCTGGCAGCTAGACTTGTTGTCTGGGCCGGTCTCCCCCTGGGTGTACCTGGCCTCCATTCCTGCCTAGAAAATGCCCAGCTCCTAGAATGGAGGCGTCTTTTGAGCACATGTCACATGTATTTGCAGCAGCAGGACTTCAGTAACCAAACCAGCAGTTCCAGCTTGCAGAAATTGCAGGGATGAGGAAAACTTCTGAGTCCTGAGGATATACTTTGAAAAGTTAGGCCTAAGAACAGAGCTACCATGCATGTTGACCTTTCCTTCTTGCCCAGGACCCTTCTAAGGAGTCACACTTTCATCTTGTTCTCCCATCCAGGTTGGTAAAAGAACCATTATCAATAAGCTCTTCTTTGACCTGGCTCAGGAGGAGGAGATGACCCTGGATGCAGAATTCTTAAAGGTACTTAGAATTGATCTTGTTCTGCTGAACTCCAGAGCCCCTGGAAGCTCCCTTTCTGCTTCTGCACAGAGAGGCCTAGAGCATGAACTGGGTCATGGAGGGAGGACTTGGTAGAGATTGTAGGGCAGGAGTGAGAAGAGTGGAAGACCAGTGAAGATGAGGCGCAGTCAAGGGGGCCACTTGACTATGGCCTTTCCTTAGGATTTTGGAGCAATTCTGACTAAAGGATCAAAGGACCGTCCAAGGTCTCCCTACCTTGTGTAGGATCTGTAGCCTTCCTGCTCAGCCCATTTAGCTGCTGGGCAGTTAGTGACAGATTTACTCCCCAGGCAATAAAGATGTGTGGACCCACTATTCGCTACCTGGAAGTGCATCTGAGTTGCCTGAGGAACTTAGTATATAGTCAGATGCCTGAGTCTTCCCCAGAGCAGTAAGAGGACAGAGCCCCGGAATCAAGATTTGTAGACCAGGGGAAACTCACATTGCAGTGAAGGATGAGTGGGTTCCTTCCTGTTTTTGCTGTGAAATTTGGCTGCTTTTTTTTTTTTTCTTTCTTTCTTTCTTTCTTTCTTTATTTTGTGCCAGGGATCTCATGTCACCGAGCTAAACCCCTGGCCCCTTTTTTGTGGTTGTTCTTTTTTTTTTTTTTTTTGTACCAGGGATCAAACTCATGACCTTGCACTTGCCAGGCAGGTGCTTTATGCCCCTGAGCTAAATCCCCAGCTTTTTTTTTTTTAAATGAGAGGGCTGAATTGGCAGAAAGCTCTTTTTTATTTTTATTTTTTCAAATCCATTTTATTCATGGAAAGAAAAAGAAGAAAAAAACAAAATAAAGTTTAAAAGTACATCAATCAAGAGGCTGGGGATTTAGCTCAGCAGCATAAGCACCTGCCTTGCAAGCAGGCGGTCATGAGTTCAATCCCTGATACCAATAAAAAGATTAAAAAAAAAAAAAAGTGCATCAATCAGGGGTAACAATGGTCCATACATTTTGCATTGCCATTCCCCAAATCATTTACCCAGAACTCAAGACATCTGCCCTCAATTGTCAGAACAATACCAGCATAAATCTTTCTCTTCAGGGAACTCAGAGAAATCAATAGTATAACTATCTTAACTATTTTTTATATACATATACATATGCATATGTTTTTTCTTTCATCTTGTCACACTAATGAAACAATAGAATGGGTTTTTTAGTAATGGAGATCAAACTCACAACCTCGCCTTGCCAAGCAGGCACTTATACCGCTGAGCTAAATTGCCGGCCCAACAATACAATGTTTACACATGTGTGTCTTATTATTTCACAAATGAGTATGTTCTCAAGGTGCATCCATTTACATATAAAAGTCTCTAGTTTATCTTTCTTTATGGCTGAGTAGTACTCTGTTGTATAAAAATGCCACATGTTTTTTTATCCATCCCTCAGTTGATGGGCATTTAAGTTGTTTCTAAGATCTGGCTATTATAAACTGTGCTTCTGTAAACATTGGTGCACATATATCACTGTAGTATGGTGTTTTTAATTCTTTTGGGAAGACACCCAGAAGGAGACTAGCTGGGTTAAATGGGACCTCCAATCCTAGTTTTTTGAGAAATTTCCATACTGATTTCCACAGTGATTGCACCAGTTTTCATTCCTACCAACTGTAGATGAGTGTTCCTTTTTCCCCACACACACCCCCAATGTTTGATATGAGTTTCTTTCTTTCTTCCTTTTTTTTTGGTACCAGGGCTCAAACTCATGACCTTGTGCTTGCCAGGCAAGCACTTATGCTGCTGAGCTAAATCTCCAGCCCTTCTTCCAGAATTTATTATTGCTTGATTTCTTAATACTAGCCATTTTTTCTGGGGTGAGGTGGAATCTTAGTGCTGTTTTAATTTGTATCTCTCAAATGGCCAGTGATGTTGAACATTTTTCACGTAGTTATTTGCTGTTTGTATTTCTTCATCTGAGAAGTGTGTATTCATCTCAGATACCCTCTTTTTTTTTTTCTCAGATATCCTCTTTTGATTAAGAAGATTTTTTTTTTTTTTTGAGTACCAGGGATCGAACTCATGACCTCGCACTTGCCCAGCAGACACTTATGCCACTAAGCTAAATCCCTGGCCCAAATACCCACTTTTGGATTGGGTCTTTAAATCTAGGAGGACTGGATTTTTTTTTTTTTTTTTTTTTTTTTTGAGTTCTTTAAACGTTCTCGATAGTAATCCTTTATCCGAGGAACAGCTGGCAAACATTTTCTCCCACATTGTGGGTTGCCTCTTCACTGTGTTGGTGGTTTCTCTTGCTGTGCAAAAGCATTTCAGTAGGTTGAGATCTCATTTGTTGATTCTTTGTGATAATTCCTGTGCAATCTGGATTTTGTTCATAGTCTTTGCCTACACCAATGTCTTCAAGAATTTTACCTACTCTATCTTCCAGCAGATTTAATGTTTCTGTTTTAATATTAAGATCTTTGATCCATTCTGATTTTAGCTTGGTACATGGTGAAAGCTATGGATCCAGTTTTAATCTTTGGCATGTGTAGAGCCAGTTTTCCAGCAGCCTTTATTAAAGGAGCTGTCTTTCTTCTAGTGAACATGCTTGGCACTTTTGTCAAAGATAGGGTAGCTTAGTGTGTCTGAAGTTGTTTCTGCATCTTCTAATCTGTCCCATTGATCTTGAGTTTTTTTTGCCAATCCCACACTGTTTTTATCACAGTAGCTTTATAGTATAATTTCAAGTCAGGAATTGTGATGCCTCCTGCCTTGTCTTTGTTGCCCAGGATTGCCTTTGCTATTCTAGGTCTCTTCTAGTTCCAGATGAATTTTAGGATTGTTTCCTCTAATTCTGTGAGATATGCTATTGAAATTTTGGCTGAGATTGCACTGAATCTGTATAACAGTTTTGGAAGTATGTCCATTTTCACTCTATTGGTTCTTCCTACCCAAGATCACAGGATATCTCTCCATTTTCTAATATCTTCATCAATCTCCTTTTTCAGAGTACTGCAGTTTTCAATGTAGAGTTCTTATACATCTTTTGTTAGATTGATTTCTAGGTATTTCATTTTTGAGGAGATGCTATTGTAAAAAGTATTTTTTCCCTGATTTCCCTCTCAGTGAGTTTGTTATTTGTGTACAAGAAGGCAGTTGATTTTTGATTGTCGACTTTGTAATCAGCTTTGTTACTAAGTTTGCTTATTAAATCTAGAAGTCTTTTGGTAGAGTTTTTGGGATCTTCTAAATAGAGTATCATATCATCTGCAAATAACAATAGCTTAACTTCTTTGTTTTCTATCTTTATTCTTTTTCTTTCTTTCTCTTGCCTAATTGCTCCAGCTAAAGTTTCCAGGACTATGTTGAATAACAGTGAAGACAGTGGACATCCTTATCTTGTTCTGATTTTAGAGTGAAAGCTTTCAGTTTTTGTCTATGTAAGATGATGTTGTCTATTTGTTTGTCATAGTTTATGAGACTGAGTTAAGACCATCTATTCCAATTTTCTGTAAGATTTTTATCATAAATGGGTGCTGGACTTTGTCAAAAGCTTTCTGTACATCTGTTGAGATGATCATATGATTTTTGTCCTTGGCTCTGTTAATATGTGTATTACATTTATGGATTTACATATGTTGAACCATCCCTGCATCCCTGGAATGAATCCCACTTGATCATGATATACAATCTTTTTGATGATTTGCTGCAGTCTGTTTGCCAGTATCTTATTGAGGGTTTTTGCATCAATATTCATTAGGGAGATTGGCCTATAATTCTCTTTCTTAGTTGGGACCTTCTCTGGTTTTGGAATCAGAGTAATGCTTGATTCCAGGAATGAATTTGGGAGGATTGTTTCCTTTTCAATTTCATTAAAGAGTTTGAGAAGTAGTGGTGTTAGATCTTCAGTAAATTCTTGTATGATTTAGCAGTGAATCCATCAGGGCCTGGCCTTTTCTTTGTTGATAGATTTTTAATTACATCTTCAATTTCGTTTATTGATACTGGGTTATTTAGGATTTTTATATCTTCTTGATTCAGCTTTGGTAATTCATATGTATCTAGAAATTTGTTCGTTTCTTCTGTATTTTCTATGTTGTTAGAATACAAGTTTTCAAAGTAGGTATAGATGATTTTCTAGATTTCTACAGGGTCTGTTGTGATTTTGCCCTTTTCATTCCTAATTATAAGGATTTGAGTCTTGTCTTCTCCTTTTTTTAAGGTTAGCTAAGGGTGTGTCCATTTTAGTGTTTTAAGGAACCAGCTCTTTGATTCATTGATTCTTTATATTGTATTTTTAGTCTCCTGTAAGTTTTCCTCTTAAGACTGCTTTCATTGTGTCCCATAAGTTCCAGTATGCTGTATTGTTGTTATCATTCAAATGTAAAAACTGTCTGATTTCTTCTTTAATTTCATCTGTGACCCATTGGTTGTTCAGTAGGGTGCTAATTTCCATGTGTTTATGAAGTTCTTGCGGTTTCCTTTCGCATGGATTTCCAATTTCATTACACTGTAGTCTGATAGTATGCATGGGATAATTTCAGTTCTTTTACACTTACTTAAGCATGTTCTATGAGCTGGTATGTGTTCTATTTTGGAGACTGTCCCTTGTGGAGCTGAGAAGAATGTGTATTCTGATGTTGTGGGATGGAACACTCTATAGACATCTACTAAGTTCATTTGCTCAAAAGTCTGATTTAGTTCTAAATTTTATTGATTTTTTTTGTCTAGTTGATCTGTCTTTTTGCGACAGTGGGGTATTGAGATCTCCCAATATAATTAATTAGTGCTTATTTGATATTTCATGTCCATTAGTAATTGTTTTATATAGCTAGGTGCACTGGTATTTGTTGCATATAGTGTTATGATTGTTAATTTCTTCCTCTTGGATTGTTCCCTTCATGAGGATGTAGTGACCTTCTTTATCTCCCTGAATCAATGGCTTGAAATTCACTTTGTCTGCAAATAGAATAGCTGCACCTGCGTATTGTTTTCCATCTTTTGACTTTCAGTCTATGAATTTCTTTTTGAATTGAGTGTGTTTCTTGTATGTAACATATTGGTCAATCTTGCTCCTTATTTTTTGGTACTGGGGATTGAACTCATGACTTTGTGCTTGCAGGGTATGCACTTACACAGTTGAGCTAAAACCCCAGCCCCTGGATCTTGCTTCTTAATCCATTCTGCCAGTCTATGTCTTTTGACTGGTAAATTGAGATAATTAACATATATCAGTTAAAATTGATATATATAGGCCAGGCGTGACGGTACACTCCTGTAACCCCAGCACTCGGGAGGCTGAGCCAGGAGGATCATTGCAAGTTTGAGACCAGTCTGGGCTACAAAGTAAGCCCAAGGCCAGCCTGAACCACATAGTCAGGCCCTGTTTCAAAAAGACAAAAAAATCCTGATATATATTGACCTATCCTTGTCATGTTGTTTTCCTATTGTTGGCTCCCCCTATCTTTTTTTTCCTCCCCCTAATTGTTCGCCTTTCGTAGTGGATTTTTTTCTGTTGAGGTTTATGGAGCTGTAGTCTTTATTATCTCTGTCTATAATATCTTTCACAACAGTTAGGAGTGCTGTTTGGTGGTCATGAATTTCCTCAGATATTCTTTGTCATGCAAATATCTTATTTCTCCATCAAATTTTGGAAAATAGTTTTGTGGGATATATCAATCTGGGTTGAAAGTTATTTTCCTTTAAAATTTGGAATACTTCATTCTAAGCTGTTCTTGACTTGAGAGTTTGCTGAAAGGTCAGCTGTGATTCTGATTGGTTTTCCTTTATAGCTGGTTTGTTTCTTTTTTATAGCTTTTAAGATTCTATTCTTATGTTGAATTTCTGAATCTTGACTATGGGATGTGTGGATGTAGATTCCTTTTGATCATTGCTAATTGGAGTTCTATATGCCTCACTTATTTGTATGTCAAAATTCTTTTTCTCTGCCAGGAAAATTTTCTGTCACAATGTTTGTGAATGTTTTTAATATTATTTGTGGTATCTCCTACTTGTTCATTGACTCCAATGAATCTGTTTTTTGATTTTTTTTTTTATCGGGGTACCAGGGATTGAACTCATGACCAGGTGCTTGCAAGGCAGGTGCTTATCCACTGAGTTAAATCCCCAGCCCCTCAAATGAATCTTGACTTATTCTTCTTTTTCTCATCTATCAGCTACTGAATTGATTTCTCATGGTCCTTTGCTACATTTCTTTTTCTGGTCACTAACTGCAAGCCTGTCTTCACTATCTGAGATCCTGACCTCACATCAGCCTAATCTGCTTTGAATACCTTCAGTGGAGTTTTTATTCTCCTAGATATCTGCTTGAATCTGCTTAATGGATTCCATTTGTTTTGCATGCTGAGCTTCCGTAATTTGCTTAAGCTCATCTATTTCTTTGTCTGTGTCTGCTCTAACATTGCTAAGCATGGTATGTATTTTGGTAATCTCTGTAGTTATCTGAGAGATTATTTCTGATTTCATTTTTTCCAGAGCCTCATTCAATTATTTTGTGGTTTCCACTTCAAAGAGACCTGGTGGGGAGCTTTCAGATTGTCCCACCTCATTGCCCCCTGGGTTTGCCTTTGGTGAACTGGATGTTTTAGGTTGCATCTTGTTTAAGTGTCTTCTCATTTCTTTTCTTTTTTAGTTTAATTCCTAGGGTAATGCTTGCCTATGGTGAGTTGCTTTATTGGTGGTATTTAGGACACTCAGGTGGTGATTATGTCTCTAAGGTTATGATCCAGGTGTTGCTGGTTTTGGGGTTTTGAGCCTGTTGGAAGATCTTACCTCTTCAGCTTGTTAGAGATGAGAAGTTGTTGTGTGGCCCAGTCCCTTTTCTTTGGCACTGAGCCAGTCTTTTCTGTGATCCTTAGTTAATCTCAGTTATGGGTTATTAGGGCCAACAGCTGTTTAGAACCATTATGTCAGTTGTGGCTGTAGCATCAAACACATCCTAAAAAACAACAAACTGAGCTAACCCTTAATTTGCAACTTTTAACCGTATGAACTAGATTTGTGAATATATAACAAAATGTAAAACAAACCAGATAATTATATGCAATATGTAAGTCTGTAATATGTCAATTTTGCCCTCGGGGTTAAACTTTAAAATGGATTAGGAGAAAATAGAAAAGTGGAAAAAGAGAAAGAGATGATAAGTAAGGTTGGAGGACAAAGGTGGGTTCCCCAATTTGGGGAAACTGGTGCAGAAGAGTGAAAGGAAAAAAGAGGTGGAAGAGATAAAAGGTAGAACAAAACAGAACCTCACCCACAAAGAGGATAGGAACCAGTCTCATAAAAAAAGAAACCAAAAAACAATGAAAGAGAAAGAGAATAAATAAACTGAATAAAATAAAACAAACATGAAAAGAAAAAAAGAGAGAGAGAGAGAAAAACCCCAAAGCGTCCACTTCCAGGATTCTGTCCGGGTTCACTAGTAGACAGCCTGTGGAGATAAAGTCCTGAATCGTGCCACTCTATCCCAGCAAGCCAGCCGTTGCTTTATGGTAGAGTAGTAGATAGCCTTAGTTGGCCTGCTTGAGACCAGACTCATTGGGCTTGCTGTAGTCTAAGCAATTTCCATGGGTCTACACCCAGCTAGGAGCTGCTGGAGGAAGCTGGCAGCAGCTTATCCTGCCCAGCTCCAAGATGGCTCTGGCCCAATTGCCCTTTCCTGCGGGAGGACTGAGTCCTCTGAACTCACCACCAGCCATGCAGTCCTCCACATCCACCACTCCCCCTGCTGCTGCATCTCTCTGTAGAGGCTTCTGAGGTCACCAGCCACCACTGTCAGGGTGACTGTGTCCCTAGGTTCCAACAGCTTCTCTAGCGTAGTGAGTCCAGCTCCAGGCAAAGGTACCACCAGCTATCACCTTCTTCGTTGAAGTTTTCCTTTTTACTCTGTGGGCTTCAGTTCACACTGCACATTCTTCCTGGGTCCAGGAGACCCACTTCGTTCCTTCTTGACTTCCTCATGGTGCTATATTCCAGTGTCTGGACAGTGAATCTCAAGAAAAGCTGTTTTCTCTGCTGCTTACTGCTCCACCATCTTCCCATAAGTCCCCAAAAGCTCTTGAGGCGGTTGGATTAGGGTTCACAAGTGATCCCTGGACTTTGAGAGCTAATTGGCTGGGCATCTGTCAGATCACAGTTCACTTGTCCGTAACTCCAGGTGTCCTGCTGTCCTTGCAGTCTCACTGCTTCGGTTTTTGTGTTTTAAGCCAGCATATTTTTATCCTGGTAACTGCTTCTAGTGTTAAGTGATGTTCTCCCTATGATGAAGGCAACAAAGGCAGCTTCATTTCTTTTGAAACCAGGTCTGTAAAGCAGGGAGGCAAGATCATGAGTTGTTTGGAGCAAGTGCCTGGAAGACATGGCTGGGGTATGGAAGGAGTAGGGGCTATGTGCAGTGGTGCAGCAGCCTTGGGCTGGTGTGTGTTCTTAGAAGCACGAATCCTTTCCTACTCAGCACTTCCTCTACCAACTGTTCAGCCTTACTGATAGCTCAGCTCCAGAAGCTCTTGCACACAGAGTCTTGGGGGAGAGTTGGGGGACTTAGCCACTAGGCCTTAGTTTGGGGTCACGTGTGAAATTCTGAGTCTCGTGTTGAGCTTGGAAGGGTGATCTAGAGGAAAGTTTGCCTGAATTCTGTCCAGCTACCTCTTTGGACCTTGATGAAGTGTTCACTCCTGCAAAACCTTGGCTTTCCTGGTTATGGAGTAGCTACCTCTCTTGTGCAGAGGTGTGAGTTCTCTGGACTCCCACATGGGAACTGGATTCACTTCCACCCTGGCCTCTCAGTCGTGTGACAGTGACTTGGGAACATATTCAAAGGCTTTGAGTGACTCACTGATCCCTCACAGCCAGCTTGTCAGAGCCTAGCACATGTGAAGTTTCATCCAGGGCTGCAAAACTGCCCTGCTTATCAGTACTAATTGGGTTCTGGGCCTGGAAGGTTTGAGCTTGGAGAAAGGTACACTCTGAATCAAGGAGGGTGGCCCAGGGTCCTCAGTCATCCTTCTTCTGTGTCCCTAGTGAGCAACCTGATGCCCAGAGAGCGTGAGGCTGGTACAGGCCAGGGAATGGAAGCCTCCTCTGTCCGGACTGATTCACAGACCCTGCTCTGCTTCTTTTCCCTGTTTTACTCCTTTCCCTGTCCCAGTCCCTTGCTGCTAAGATTAGTTTCCCCCATCTTACCTATGTCCGTATTATTTGTTTTGTGGTACTAGGATTGAACCCAGGGCTGTACACTGAGCTACAAGTCCATGCACTATCCCCCTTTGTTTATTTTGAGATATCACTAATTTACCCAAGGCCCAAACTTTGGATTTTTCTGCCTCAGCCTCCCAGAGTGCAGAGATTACAAGTGTATACTACCATACTTGGCTTTACCCATGTTTTAAAAAGGCATATAAAGATAAAACAAAGCTTATGTCTTCACTGTTGGCTTAGCTTGAGCTTTGGTTTTATAAGCTGCATTCTTCTCTACAGTACTGTTGGCCCATCCTGGAACTCCTTGCAGCCTTTGGGAGGCCATGTAGAGGCAATTGTGATGCATTCCTGTCACTTTTGTCTTGCAGAATGAACTGGATAATATCAGAGCCCAGCTTTCCCAGAAAGGTGAGTTACCAAGGCAGGGGGCCCACAGGAGCCCTTTGCTTGGATATTGGAGAAGGTGCCCCAGGAGGAAGGCCTCCAACCTTCTGGCAGAGCCAAAAGCTGCCCCAAGAGTTCTGCTAACTTGTGACTGCCAGAAGAGGAGAGGGGAGGGGAGGATGTGACTGATGCTGTCTGCCTAGGCCAGGAGAGCCTTCTCTCTCTGTGTGGGGCTTCTGACCCAGGACCCAGGCTGAGACAAAGCTGCTGAATGGACAAAATATCTGCAGGAGAAAGTTCAGCTGCTAAGTTTGACAGGAAACTGCTTGAGTTCTAGAATAATGAAGGGAAGGAAAACAGTGAAATCTTCCCAGCAGTTCAGCTCCAAATTGGTGCATACCAGAGAGAGAAGTAGGTCACCTGACTTTGTGGCCAGAGTAATACTTACCTGGCTCAGGGATGAGGAGCTGGAACTCAGGTGTCCAGGTTGTCATGCTAATGGGCAGATGGGCCTAATCTTTCATCCTCCCTCCCTGCTCTAGAGAAGGAGAAACGGGACAGCCAGAACATCATCGACACCCTGCGGAACATGCTGGAAGAACGCAATGCCACTGTGGAATCTTTGCAGGCGGCCCTAGATAAGGCTGAGATGCTCTGCTCCACACTCAAAGTAGGTCCAACCATTTCACGGGCACAGAGTTGGCAGGAAAGTAGAGCCCCAGCTCTGGGCTCACCATTCTGGGCTTGTCTTCTGGTTCTGCCTCAGTCAGTGCCTTGGTTTGTGCAGTTGTGAAATAGAAGCAAATAGCTTCTCCCTGAGGCTCTCCTATCCTGTGGCCATCTGACCTACCAGTGCATCCTACCCAGCATCACAGAGGGGTGTTCAATTAAGACCTCGGTGAAGCTGGGCCGTGTTTCCAAAAACAGCTCATACTCCACTGATGATGCCAGCCTGAAGAACCTTCCATTAGCACTCTAGTCTAGGCTGCTCTCTGGAGTGGGATCAAACAGAATACAGGGAAGAGCAAGGGCCTTTGAAGTTGCCTGTGCTGAGCTGACCAGGCAGATCAAAGCCCCTTAGAGTGAGCAGCCTAGACCCAGATGAATTTTGTATCAGCCTGGCTTGGTGAGCCTCTTGCTCTCTACGGGGCATAAGGTGATTGATCTGAACCCACAATTGATATTCTGGCCTTGTAGGCAGGAGCAGTCCTTGCTGGATGCCATTTGAAAGGGAAAAGGAGCCATCTTTGTGAACAGATAAGGCCCCAGAATATTCATTCTCTCTGCTCCTGCTTGGGGGCTGGGCTGGATCACATGGCTTGGTCAGTGAGCTGAGTGGCGGGCATCAGCTTGCACCTGGCTGCATTCTGAGGGCATTCCCAAGTCTGAGAAAGAGTGGCCTCCTGCTGAGGATATCCTGGCTAGCTGTTTCTGGCTCAGTTTCTTGTATTGACAGCTGTCTATGTGTCTGGATGGTTGCTACTGAAGCCTGGGTTTGCTCTCTAGACTTCTTCACTACCTATACAACATACACAGTGAGGCCCAGACCATGGAACTTCGGCAACCCACAGTGGCCCTGGCAGTGAATTGTGCCTATGATAAGTGTATCTTAGAGGAAGCAGGCATGGACAAGAAGCAGCATGGCCTATGGCCTTTTAGCAGCAAAAGGGTAGGAGTCATATGTTATCCAGGAATGTGGAGGTATGTAGTTATCAGCATTTTCAAAGGATAGTGCAGGTAGTGCTAAGGCAGCATACTCCCACTGAGTTAAGCCATGGCTCCTTGTAACTTCCAAGCAACATGTATGGGTGTTTTGCTCCTCAGAAGCAGATGAAATACTTGGAGCAGCAGCAGAATGAGACTAAGCAAGCACAGGAGGAGGCCCGCCGACTCAGGAACAAGATGAAGACCATGGAACAGTGAGTGTGGAGCTGGTACCTGTGCTGTATCTTCCTGCTGGTGGCCCCAGGTGGGATGTGTCTCAGGACTGTGCCAAGGAGTGTATTAAGCAAAGCCTCCTTTCTTTGTCTCTGTGGACCCTGTTTTCCATGAAAGAGGGTGCCACACTCCTTCCTCTCCCATTGTCTGTACCCAGATCTTTCCTGACAGATCTTTCCCTCCAGGAACCTTACTACAGGAACCTTTCTACAGGAAATCCCTGACCTTGAGGTCCTCCATCAGCTCTTCTTCCTCGGCAGTACCTCTGGAGCTGTGCTCAGCTCTACTGTGGAGCCTTTCCTTGGGCACACCCACCTGCTGAAGCATCCCAGCATCCTAGCATTGCTGTTGCTATAGCAATGGCAGCGAAGGGAAGCAGACTATCAGCCTCCAGATTTCAAATGCCGTGGGCTGGGTGTGTTTTTCAGGATTGAGCTCCTACTCCAGAGCCAGCGGCCTGAGGTGGAGGAAATGATTCGAGACATGGGTGTGGGACAGTCAGCGGTGGAACAGCTGGCAGTATACTGTGTGTCTCTCAAGAAGTATGTACTCTGGACTCTCTCGGCATGCCAGGAGTTAGAACGTGAGATTCTATCCATGCCTCTGTTCCCTGTCCTTTGTAAAACAGATTGAGTCAAGTGGCAAGCTCTGTAGCTATCCCCACTCTGCTTGACTCCCCCTCTTACCAGTTGTGTGATCTGAAGCTTTTGGCCTTTGACCCTCACTCTCCTGTATGGAGGAATGCCTCATAGGATTGCTGCAAGAACTGCAGTGAAGCCAAGCATAGTGGCACAAGCCTGTAGTCCCAGTGCTTGGGAGACTGAGACAGGGGGATCACTGCAAATTTCCAGGCCAGCCTGGGCAACATAGTGAGTTCAAGGACAACCTGAATTACAAAGCAAAAACAGGGTCAGGGTTTAGCTCAGTGACATAAGTACCTTCCTGGCAAGCTCAAGATCCTGAGTTCGATCCCCAGCACAAAACAAAACAAAAATGGCAATGTTGTTGAATAAGTCATAGAGCTTACATAGGTCTCCAAGCTGTAAGCCCCTTTGTGGGTATCTGAGTTGTTTCCCATCAGCACTATTACTGATCTTGCTGACTTAGATCTGAAACTGCTCATATTCTTCACCATGGTGGTGTGAGACTGGAGGAAAGAGGCCACTTGAGTGACAAGCAGAGGGTCCAGAATGCTTTCTATAGGGACCAGGTGGTGTAGAGAGCCCTCTAGTGAAGCCAGAGCTTCCTGCACAGCCTGTCAGTCACCCACATCTGCAGGCCAGGTGGGGATCTGTGTGACCAGGTCCCATTGAGTTCTGTGTAGGACCTTATGTGATGCTACCTGGCCCCTACTGGACTCAGGTATGAAAAGATGACCCAGGTTGAGCTGAGAAGATAATGAGGCCTTGTGTTAGGTTGTTGCTGTGGCTGGGTCTGCCTGTCAAGGTGTCATCTTTTGGCATCTCTTTTTATGGCTACTTTGCAGAGAGTATGAAAATCTGAAAGAGATGAGAAAGGCCTCAGGGGAGCTGGCTGACAAGCTGCGGAAGGACTTGGTCCTCTCCAGAAACAAGGTACCTGCGCAGTGAGCAAAAGATGAAGAGGGAAAGATGGTCCTTTTGTCATAGTCTCTGAGGTCTTCTGAGCTAGCCGGGGGCCTGAGACGATAGCTGGCCCCATGGGGCTGGTGGGTGGCTACAGGGACTGATTACTGGTCCTCACTGGGCATTGGCTCTTATCATGTGCCTTGTCCCCTTGGGACAGCAGGTGGTGGAGGTAGCCCACCATGCTGCACACTGATGGTCCTTTCTGCTCTTCCTGGCTCCTGGTATCTCTCAGCTGACTGGGGAGCACAGGCCCCAAATATGACATCTCAGAGGCCTGCATGTAACACCAGGCTGAGGTTGCTCATAGGCTATCTGTTTTCACTTCTAAGATGATGTAGCCACAAGATACAGTGTCCAGAGAGCACCTTCACTCCAGGCAGTCCTGTCACAAATGCATTGCCAGACCCTAGCCTCTGATGTCTGGAGTCTCCCCAATACACCTGGTTTCTTCTGAACTCTAAGTCACTCTGACCATGAACTGGGTAGCAACAGACAGGGGGAAGATTATATGGCCACCATTTGGCTTGTCCTTTACTCTCTATACTTTTTTTTGTTGGTGGTAGTGTTGTGTTTTGTTTTGTTTAAGACAGGACCTTGCTGTGTAGTGTAGGCTGATCTTGAACTCATGACAGTCTTCCTGCCTCAGCCTCCTAATTGCTGGGATTATAGATATATCCAACCACATCTCGCTTCCCCTATGCTTTCTTGTAGTTGCAGACAGTCTACTCTGAATTAGATGAGACCAAGCTGGAGCTAAAGTCAGCTCAGAAGGACTTACAAAATGCTGACAAGGAAATCACGGTGAGGGGTGTCCCTGGCTTGAGAATAGGGATGAGAATAAGGGATGGCGTATGTGCTTCAAAGAGTAAGGCTTGGATAGCTGGTTTGGTGACACATGCCTGAAATCCCAGGATTTGGGAGGCTGAGGCAGGAGGAATAGTGCAAATTTGAGGCCAACCTGAACTCCAAAGTAAATTCAAGGCTAATCTGAACTACATGGGGAGACTCTGCCTCATAAAAAAAAAAAAAAAAGAAAAGAATAGGGTTTGCCTGCTTCCTTCTGAGACTCTTATGTACTGGTCAGTGGTGGTTCTGAATTCCCAGGATCTTCCTGGGGCAAGGGGTGGGCCAGGGTGTGCACCTTGACCCCAGTCTGGTCTGCAACCTATACCTTTCCTCACAGCATGTCCTGTGCCTGCCTCCAAGGTCCTTGGTCACAGAGGAAGGACCCTCCCAGAGAGGCGTCCCGCAACCTGTGTGCACACCTCTCACATGCCGCTCATCCTCTATATTATGTCTGTACTCAGCCTTGTCTCACTCACTTTGCCTCCCGAAGAGCCTGAAAAAGAAGCTAACGATGTTACAGGAAACCTTGAACTTGCCACCAGTGACCAGTGAGACTGTCAACCGCCTGGTTTTAGAGAGGTTTGTTGATCCACTGGGGGTGGTGCAGGTTTGCATGCTGGGAGAGCTCCTTGAAAAGGAACACTTTTGGCTTTGGTGGTACCAGTGGCCCAAGGTTTCTGGACTCTTGAGAGCCAGCCGAGACGTAACTGAAAAGCAACTTTTGAGACAAATTCTGGGCTCTGGCAAGGAAGGCCAGAGAGAACCAAGAGGCAGTCTGTGCATGGGGCAGGAGCACGAGTGTCTCAGATGCTTATAGAGTAATTCACATGCTTCTATCTGCCCCTAATTCTGAAACCACTCATTCTAAAAATCCCTCTGGGACCCCAGGACTTTAAAGCTGCCAGCAGAGGGAGCCAAGAGACAGAGACTGGGTCCCTGCCAGGAGTGGGCCTCCATTCCTCCTCCTGGTGTTTTTTTTTAGAAAGTCCTACTGAGAACATCTCCTGCCTGCAGGAGGGCCCCAGCTGGGAAGCCAAACACTTTGACTTCTCTCCCTGAGCCAGTGCTTTCTTTGAACCAAGTGTGTCTATGTGAGAGATACTGGGGATTGAGCCCAGGGTCTCCCCACTGAGCTACATCCTTAGCCCTTTTAAAATTTTATTTTGTATGTTTTATTTTTTTTTGAGACAGGGTCTTATCATGTAATTCAGGCTCACCTTGAAATAGCTTATGTAGCCCAGGCTGGCCTCAAAATTATGGCAGTCTTCCTGCCTCAGCCTCCTGAGTGCTGGGATTACAGGTGTGTGCCACCCCACCCAGCTGGATTGGCATATTTCTTAAATCAGTTTGTAGAGCTGAAGGACTATTAGTCAAACAAAGAGGATGGCAAATGCAAAGGCCATGCTGGGTATGATAGAAGACTTGTGGCACTGACTTTTGTCTTACGGACTGTAGAAACCATTGCAGATACCTGAAAGAGATTGCTCTGAGGGGCTGGTGCATGCCTGATTTTTATCCCACTAGTTACTGATCATTGCTCACAGATTTCAACCCCAGGGATACCAGTCACCTACTATCTGGCTGCTTACCTAGACTTGTGCTTCAGTGTAGAGGAAGGCCCCATGAACCTGGGAATGGTGCTGTGTGTTTGTAGTTCCAACACTTGGAAAGCTGAGGCAGGAGGATTTCTTGGGTCCAGGAGTTTGAGTCTAGCCTGCGCATAGTAAGAAACTATTTCAAGGAAAAAAACAAAAACAAAAGCTTCATGAGACCACATGAGGGTAATTTCAGGACTTTGATAGCTGCTTCTGGATACTTTCATAATTCTGTAACTTAAAATACTCGTTGGAATGCACTGGAAATATATTCGGTTTAGTTCACAGAGTCCACATTATTCCTCTTCGCATCTAAGAGGAGTCTGTAAGAATTTTTTTTTCAGTGCTGGAGACTGAGTCCACTTCCTCATGCATGCTACTGCAGAGTCACACTGTAGCCCAAGAAATTGTTTTTGATTCGCTTTTTTGTGATACTGGCAGTCACACCCAGGAGTGCTGTACCGCTAAGCCACATTTCCAGCCCTTTTAACTTTTTATTTTGAGACAAAGTCTTGCTCAGTTGCTCTGATTGACATTGAACATGCTATCCTCCCACTTCATCCTTTCAGGTACCAGTAGCTGGGATTACAGGCATGTGCCACCACACTTGGCAAAAATTTATTTAAGAAATTTGATGGACTTCTGGGCATGGTGGCACACACTTGTAATCCCAGTATTTGGGAGCCTAGGCAGGAGGATCACCATGAGTTTGAGGCTAGCCTGGTCTACATAGTAAAAACCTGTCTCAAGAAAAACACAAAAGGTGAGAAGGAAAGAAAGTAGACTCTTAGCAGGAAGGGAAAGAGACCTCCAGCTCATCAAGGAGGGAGGAGGTACTAGAACAGTTTTCAGATGACCATCATAGTGCAGAGAAGCACCTCTCTCTCCATTAGTTGACGGCAACATCTCTTACTCCTTGCACTGCAGACTGAGGAATGAAGCTGCATGGTCCAAGGGCAGTGATCTGTTGCTTACTTGCTTGGGTTTTGTTTGCCTCCTCCTGTCTTCCTGTTATTCGCTGTCTCGTGACTTTGCAAAAGGCTCAGCTGAGTCAGGAATGGGCTCTGAGCTACTGCATTGAACTGTCTACTATGCTTGAGGGGCTGTGGTCCCTCTGAGCTGCCACTGTGGTCATCTCTGCCTTCAGCCCAGCCCCCATGGAGATGTTAAACCTGAAGCTCTGCCGGCCATCCTGCCACAGCGTCGTTGACCTTGATGCTACCTTTGATGTGGATACCCCGCCAGCCCAGCCCTCTGGCTCCCAGCGTGGCTGCTTCAAGAAGCTCTGCCTGGAGAAAGCACAGTGAGTGACAGTCCCTGTCATTGTCCGCCACCCAGAGTGGGATAGCTAAGACATCTTGGTGGGTCCTGCCTGAGTGGCTCTGAGTGGTTGTTGGGACAGTGAGGGCTGTCTGGGCTTGGCCATTGCTTTGCTTCCTACTACCTCTTCTTCCCTGGCCTGAGAACTCAAATCTGTGCAAAGCTTTTCCCTTGTTATCTCAGTCCTCTTTGTCACCCTTCAGGGTAATGCACTGGGTCATGAGTTAACAGAGAATGCAGGGATCCCAGTAGGGACAGTGCTGGGCTGACAGTTTGGGCTTAAGTGCTTTCAATAGCTCAAATGCCTGCACTCCAGTGTTGAGCCAGGGACTCTAAACTTCTTCCACTACACACCTCTGAGGCTCATGCTTAAGGCAGAACCATTTCAAGCTGTGCAGCCCATGGCCCCACCACCCAGGGGAGTAGCCCAGAAAAGCCCTGGAGCTGTAAAGGACAGGTAGGACCTGTGATAGGGTACAGTGGGGCTGGGAAAAGGAAAGCAGTCTCCTCAGCTAGGTACACTAAGTGTGATTCATCACAGAGACAAGCATTGTGCCCCTCCATGCTGTAGGGGTGCGTGCTATTCAGGCAAGGGGAATCTGGAGCCCAGCAGGTTTCTTCTGAATTTAAGGTTGGGCATGAGACAAGGAAGTTGAGATGTTGGGCAATGGGGGTATAAGAGGGCAAGCCACCACTTGCCAGCCTCAAGCATGAGCATTCATGTCGTGTCACTTGGGCTTGGGAACAATGAGAACCAAACCCAGCACTTGTGGACTTCAGACAGGGCACCCCGCAGTGCTGGCTCTGTGTCCTGGCTGCCACCCATTGCCTCCTCTGCAGCTGTAAGGTTGAAGGTGAGTACCAGGGTCTTCAGGCTGCCAAGCAATTTACTGATACACCTACCATCATTGGGACCTGTAGGGAGAGTGAGGGAGCATGGAACATTCCTAACCCACTCAATTGCTCCAGAGCTAGACTCGTAGCAAGTAGAGAATCTTTCTAGGGATGTTATATGGCCTCATCAGAAGTTAAGGAGGTAGACAAGGAGGAATCCAGAGGCAACAGGCCCTGTTCCTGGCCTCCTCTTGTGACTTGAAGAGAAACAATATCAGCTGTGGGTCAGCAATTTCCTGCTCCCCTGGAGAAATACCAGGAGAGGGTATCTAGCTGCAAGGGTACCCAGGAATTAGATGGAAACAGTGCCTAGATCTGGGACTAGAAGTAGAAGGCCAGGCCGGGGCCCATCTCTCTTCTGCCTCAGACCCTCCCTGCACACATTCTGTAGGGTTGATGGACTAACCATGGGCCCTGAGTACTCTAAGTGGCTCACTTACTGAGGCTCTTGTGGAGGTTGTGCCCCATCTCTGTGTAGGCAGGATGAGGCCTGAGCTCATTGGATACCTTCTGACTATATTAGGGCATGACTGGACTCCTGTGGGTGATGAATTGCTTGGGTTCCCCAGCTGCATGTAGAGCCTGGAATATGATGAGTTACCCAGGGACTTGGGGGGCATTGCAATGAAGCCACAGGATTGGGACATGGTCCAGCCTGCTCTGACTCAGCTCTGTTCTGTCCAACTGTTCACAGACCAGTACTTAGGGTGGATAACGCTGCAACATTTCCCAGGGGCACCCATCCCAGGACACAGCTGACAGCAGCCGAGCTGCTTGCCACCTCCCTTACAGACATGTGCTGGCCCCCCTGTTTTGCTTACCCAGTCTTTGCCTTTATGTTTCACTCTTGTAGCTCTCCTGTTGAAGACATGTTCAGGAAGAAGCCCAAAGTTCCTAAACAGGTAAGAGCTTCCCAGCAGGAGGTACAGGTAGTGACCATCCAACCCTGAGAGGGCAGAGTTCTATCGGAAGCCCTCTCTCCTGGCCCAGGACTGAGACACTTTGGAGCCACCCCTGCAGCCCTATTTATTATCTTTCCTGCCTCCTAGTGAGGAACCAGAGATCATGACCTTATTCCGTCACCACTGCCCTCCTTACTTTGCTTCCATTTGGGTCTTCAAGTCTAGCTCTTGGGTTTCCCCCACAGGACTCCCAGGACACCCTGGGTGGCCAAAGTCACATAGAAGAGCCAGATGAGGAACTAGCTGGTGCCTTTCCTGTCTTCATCCGCAAGGGTGTCTTGGGTCAGAAACAGCCCAAGAGGGCCATGACCAACTCCTGTCATAGCACAGATGTGGTAAGTGACAGGTTGCAGCTATCTCAAAAGTAGTCAGCCCCTGGCCTGCCACCCTGCTCAACATCTGTTCCTTTTGCTGTAGGTAAGAATGGGCTTCGATGGCCTTGGGGGACGGACAAAATTCATCCAGTCTGTATCCTTGTCTTGTTGCAGTGGGCCAGGCTGAACCGTGGGGCCTCCACCACACATCACCCAGACCCCCAGACTACTGACACCTGCAGCCTCGGTGTGTGGAGCTGGACCCTGTTTAGGGTAGTAGTGCTGTGTACCCCAGGTCTGTGCTCAGTCCCCTGTCCAGGCCTCTTCCTTAACGTTTCCTCCAGACTGACACAACTGTCATCCGCCCACTACCAGTTAAGTCTAAGGCCAAGACCAAGCAGAGAGTAAGAGCAAAGACTGTGCAGCCTCCCTCTCAGACCAAGCTGGACACCTTCCTGTGGTAACAAGGACAGTCTGAGCAGTGGTCAGATACGCGCCTCCAATGAGTAACCAAGAACTGGCCAGGCAAGGGGTCTTTTAGGGGATGGCCTCTTTCAGGACCATCCTGGAGAGCAAGGTAAATGAGCAGGCAGAGCTGCCAGTGACACCAAGAGACTGTGCTTCCTGTGCTCACTGTGCCTTTCCCCACAACACTGGACTTACCATTAGGAGTCTGTATGGTTCCAATTGGCTTCTCATTTTAAGCTTCTGCTTATAGCAGTGACCAGTTGACTGAGTCCTGGTCCTGGAGACGAGGATCACTTGTTGATTGTGGGTGTGGACAAAAGCCCTTGAGGTTTCTCAGGCATCCCAGCCAGTGTATTCTCCTTTCCTGGCTTAATACTAGGGATGACTTGGGCCCAGCAGAGTAGAGGACAGAGTTGACAATGGTGTGAAGATGGGGGAAATTTTCTGTGTAAAGTAACAAATGATAGTCTTTCCTTCCTGGCTCTGGGAGTATAAATTTGCTGTGATTTTGGAAAATCGTTTGGGATGACTTTGTAAAGCAGGTACATCTCCTAGACCCAACAGCTTCATCTCTAAGCGCTGGCTCTCTTATAGGCCATGAGAGATTCTAGCAAGAATGAGACCACTGGTTGGCTATGGTGACACATACCTGTAATCCTAGCACTCAGGAGGCTGAAGCAGGACGATCACTGTAAGTTCAAAGCCAGTGTAGGGGGCCAGGGATATATCTCAGTGGCATAGCACCTGCCTGGTAAGCGCAAGGTCATGAGTTCAACTGCTGGTATCAAAACCAAAAAAGCTGGACACGTTGGCACATACCTGTAATCCCAGCACTCGAGAAGCTAAGGCAAGAGGATTGCTGTGAGTTTTGTGACCTGGCCTACAAAGTGAGTTCAAGGACAGCCTGAACTGTGTATCAAGACCCTATCTCAAAAAATCTAAAAAATAAAAAACCAAAGCCAGTTTGGGCTACAAAGAATTCAAAGCCAGCGTGGACTATATATTGAAACCCTGTCTCAAAAAAAAAAAAAAAAAAAAAAAAAAAATCACTACAGTTTTTCCCAGTCTCTCACCAGGGCATATCCCATAAGCCATGAGGAAAGTGGATAGGTAAACCAAAATCTGCCCATATAGAACATTCATAGCAAGCGCAACAAATTACCAGTGGCCAGATCGTGAGGCTTTGGATCTGGCTGGGACCCCTAAACCTTCCTCTCCCTTTAACAAGAGTTTACCCAGGGCCCGGATGAGAGGAACAAGGAGTGAGTGAGTACCTTAGGCCGAAAGTGCCCGGCTAACTTCTGGCAAATCTAGAGAAACATGGGGGATGTACAGAAAGGAGGTGATGCTCTTGGTTATGGGTATTGGGTGCTCTGAGGCTGACACGAGCTGAGGTGTACTGAGGGTCAGTCACTAGGTTGGCAGCTAGCACCCTCTACCCCTGCTGAGTGTTCTGTGTAAGTTCCCTAGAGTCTCTGCTTGATTTTCTTTATAAAATGGAGACTGCAGTGTCAACCTCACTGGAATGGGAGTCTAATGAATCAGGATATTGGCTAAGAATGTATGACAGGGCTGGAGATTTAGTTCAGTGGCATAAGCGCCTGCCTTGTAAATGCTCAGTCATGAGTTCAATTCCCAAAAAAAAAAAAAAAAAAAAAAAATATGACTGCCGGGGATTTAGCTCAGCGGCATAAGCACCTGCCTGGCAAGCATGAGGTCATGAATTCGATTGCCAATTCAAAAAAAAAAAAGTTTGACAATTAAATAAACAAGATACAAAAGGACTACTGTGCAATTCTACTTATATGAAGTATTTAGAATGGGCAAGTTCATAGAGACTGAAATAAAATAGAGAATACCAAGAACTAGAGAGGGGTAAAATGAGAGTTTCTGTCTGGGATAATGAAAAAGGTTTACAAACAGATATGATGATTACCCTCCCTCCTAAAAAACCCTAAAAAACAAAACAGACCTAAATATATGGAAATGTTGCCAATTAGTTGAGGGTTCTTTGATTTAGATGGAGATCATGAGTTGACAAAGGACAGCTGTGCTCTCAATCCTGATGTCCCCAGGTGACACCAGTTAGTGATGGATGCCTTCAGTTGACACAGTCAGTCGCCATCACTGCTGCTGCTGCTGGTAGCAGGTGAGTTCTGCTGGTTGCTGGTGCTCTCTAGAGATCTGTGGTGGTAACGACTCTGAGTGTCTATTTGTCTTTCTTTGGAAACTTAGTCCATACTACCTGAGAAATGGGTCAAGAGCAGATTTACTGTGACAGCAAAGTCAGTGTTTTAACAGGGCTATGCTGTAGCATACTGGGGCTAGTACCCAAGAGCAGGCTCTTATAGGCCAAAACCAAAACAGATCGGAGGTGCTGTTTATGTCACACTTGCCAGCCTCTTTCAGTGAGGGTGAGCACTGAAATCAGGGAATCTTTCAGAAGGTTTGATGAGAATGTTGGGTATGCAAATAAGGGGCCCAGATCCCTTCCTGACCACTGCCACTCCACAATGCTTTTTCCTTCAAAACCCCAACAGTAAAGACGTGTGGTGGCACACACCTGAAATCCCAGCACTCAGGAGGCTGAGGCAGGAGGATCACCACAAGTGATTCTGGGCTACATAGTGAGTTCAAGGCCAGCCTGAACTATATAACAAGACCCTGTCTTTACAAAACCAAAACAAACAGCACCACTGGCAATATGGTCTGAAGTGATGGAAGTAGGAGAGGGGCACCACACTGCCTTCCTGGCTGCACCCATGCTGGAGTAGAGAATGGTGATTTGATAGCCAGGGAGGTTGCCAAATCCTTGGGGTACAAAGGGGAGGGAAAGGAAAGTGAGGGGCAAGGGCAGACAGCTGCTGGCCAAGCCACATTCCCCACCCTAGCTGACATAGGCTAAAATGAGATTTAGATGCTGCTTGCCTGTCTCAGAAAGACCTTCTGCTTTTGGATTTGAAGAATTTATTTTTTAATTTTTTTTATTTTAAGACAGGCTCATGTTCTGAGGTGAGCCTTAAACTTGTGATCCTCCTGTCTCAGCGTCCTAAGTAGCTGGTGAGACAGGATAGGGCATGGCTTAGACTGGCTGGGAAGGGAGGTGTGATCAGATCACAGACACGTGTTGCAAATAATTCTCAAGACCTTGAATACAGACTTCTCACGAGAACCCCGATGTGTGGAATGAATAACAGGAGATGATGCCATTGAAGGCATATCATCCTAGCTTTACTCATGGTAGCCTTCCCTCTGCCTCCAGGCTATACTTTATTTTGGTTTTTAGATTTTTTTCCTTTCTTTTATTCAGCCCAAGCTCACTCTACAGAGCTAGTGCCTCCACTACCTTACCTTTCACTTGCAATTTTTCAAATAATTGTGAAACTTTGCCATCATTTTTGTTTCACTTGACTTTTTGTTTGAAATGGAAAGAACCTGGAAACCACCTCCAGAAGGAGACTCCAGGCCTCCAAAATCCAGTGAAACTAGGATTACAAGCCTGTGCCAGCTAGGACTTAACATTGTTGAGATGATAATACTCCCACCAATCTGCCTACAAATTTGGTACAATCCCTTATCAAAATATCAATAACTTTTCCTTGTGGAAATTTTTTAAAAATCCCCCAAAGCCAAAACAATTAGAAGGGAAAAAGTGTTTCTCAAATTAAAAACTTAAAATATTATGATATTTGGTCATAATGATCAAATCACTGGAATATGGTCAGACATAATGGTGGGGTCCAAAGCTCCAGGGAAGTGGTGGCAAACCTTTTAGGGATGAGGGCCCAAAGTGCAACCCCAAACCCACTCAATGTATCACATAGTGCTGACACTGCAATTAACCCTGAATACTGAGGTTTTTAGAAAAACAACTCACCCATTCACAGCTTTCCTCTTACCATACACGCCATAGATTTACCACCACTGCTCTAGGAGCACCACCACTGCTCAATCAAAGCAACCACTGAGCTGGAATGACCAGTGATTGTAATCAACTGGAGAACTCTGAACCCTGATCAAACATTTAACAACAGAGGGTCTTGGATACAGGGGCAGACTGCGGATCAGTCAGCCACCATGGGATAGCAGCTGACTCAGACTAGCCACAGGCAGTGGGGACCTTGCCTTCTAAAACTTTGGGGTTGAACACTTCAGGGGGTCCAGCAGTAGCCTGAGATGTTTGCCTTGGTTTTAGTGCCTGTGGTGTACCCTTCATCTCTTAGAAGATCGACAGTGCCTTTCCCCCCAAAGTCTTTGTCAGGTCACCAGGTGACTACAGAGGTAAAAGAGAAACTTCAACCACATACAAGAACATACACTTAGCAAGATGATTTCTAAAATCACAATAGGAGGTGGCACACACCTGTAGTCCCTAGCACTCAGGAGGATTGCTGTGAGTCTGAGTCTAGCTTGAGCTACAGAGTAAGTTCAAGACCAGCCAGGACTGTATAGTAAGACCCTATCTAAAAAAAAAAAAAAAAAAATCCAAATATATAATGCCATTTATACTAGGACCAAAAGAAAATAATATTTAGCTATGATCTTTTTAAAATGTGCAAGATGGGGCTGGGGATATAGCTCAGTGGCACAGGGCCTGCCTAGTAAGCATGAGATTGTGAGTTTGATCCCTGGTACCCAAAGGAAACAAAAAAAAGAAAAAAATTTTTTAAATGTGCAAGATGTAGGTGGAGAAAACTGCAAAACTGATAAAGAAGTTAAAGAACTAAACACATGGAAAGTTGTTCCATGTACAGTGGATGAGAAAACAGTATTGTCAAGATGTCTGTTTTCACAACTTGCTCTACAAACTCACCACAATCCCAGCTAAAATTGCAGCAAGCTTTTATAGATATATATAGATAAGCTAATTCTAAAATTTATATGGAAAATCAAAAAGCAAAGAGTAGCCAACACAGTACTGAAGAAAAAGGACAGACACTACCCAACTTTAAGAGTTACTATAGGGGGCTGAGGATTTAGCTTAGCGGCATAAGTACCTGCCTTGCAAGCAGGCAGTCGTGAGTTCAATCCCTAGTACCAATAAAAACGAAAAAGACAAAAAAAAAAAAAAAAGTTACTATAAGGCTACTGTAACTAAGACAATATTGTTATTAGTAAAAGTCAATCAATGGAACAGAATAAAGCCCAGGAATAGATCTACACAAATACAGTCAACTGGTCTGACAGAGGAGCAAAGGCAATTCAACGAAGGTGCCAGAACAATTGGGTCATCTGTATGCCAAATAAATAAATAACACATCGTAGACCTTTCATGAAATTAACTCAAGATAGATCACTGATACAAGTATAAAGCAAAATTATGATATTCTTAGAAGATAATGGGAAAGGAGGATCTAGATGATCTTGGGTTTGCTCTAGATAAGTTTTTAGGCAAAATACTGAAATGACCCATGAGAGAAAACATAGACAGAAAATAATCCACAAGTGGCATGGTGGTACATTTCTATAATCCCAGCACTCTGCTGAGGCAAGAGGATTATGAGTTCAAGGCCAGCCTAGTCTATATAGCAAGAACTTGTCAAAAAAAACAACAGCAACAAAAGCTGAACATACCTCACCAGAATACACGTAGATGGCATGTAAGCGCATGAAGAGATGGTCAATATCTTAAGTCATCAGGAAACTGCAAATAAAACAAGATAGGACTACATATTACAATTGCAAAAATCCAAAATAGCATCAAATTCAGGCAAAAAATTCATATACTGTTGTTGGAATGAAAAATGCCGTAAATACTAATCAGCTGTCCTATTACTGGGACAAAATACACTTTTTTTTTTTTTTTTTTTTTTGGTACCAGAGATCAAACTCACAAACTCATGACTCATTCTTGCAAGGCAGGCACTTATGCTGCTGAGCCAAATCCCCGGCCCCCTACACCTGCAATTTAAAGGTGGAGTGATTTAATTTGCTGCATGGTTTGAGGGGTTCAGCACATGATCAGCTTGCTCCAAGGTAAGAACATTGTGATTGAAGGACATAATAAAGGGTCAGGGATATAGCTCAGCAGCACAGCATCTGCCTGGCAAATGTCAAGTTGTGAGTTCGATTCCCTGTACCAAAAAAAGAACATAGTGAAGGAAAGCTGCTCACCACATGACAGAGAGCAAAGGGAGGAGCCAGGAAAGAGTTACCCCCTCCAAAATCATGCCTTCAGCAACACTTCTTCCACATGGGCCCCATCTCCTGACAGCACATGCAGCTATGAACTCATTCATGGATTAACCCCCAGAGAGATATAGCACCTCCATTATCCACCCACCTTCCACAAGCCCCACCTCTGAACACCTGAGACTTTTGGGGGCACATTCTAGGTCAAACCATAGCAGTGTAGTTAAAGTAGAAACATACTTATGGGAAATGGATGCTAACAAGCTATACTCTAATTGAAATGGACTTATTTCTAGAAACAAACACAGAACTGACACAAGAAATAAAGGAATCTGAATAGATCTGTAACTAGTAAATATTGAATCATTAATCAAAAATCTCTGGAAAAAAAAAGCCAAGATCACTTCACTAGTGAGCCTAAAAAAATTTTGAAAGATGTTAACATCGTCTTCTTAAACTCTTCTAAAAAACTGAGTCAGGTATGGTAGCATATGCCTGTAATCCCAGCACACAGAAGGCTGAGATGGGAGGATTGCTGCAAGTTTAGGGCCACTTTGTGAGTCCAAGGCCAAGCTAACTGCATACTGAGACCCTATCTCAAAAAAAAAAAAAAATTTGAGAGAAGACTTCTTAACTCATTTTTTATAAGCCCAGTCTTACTCCAAAAGCAAAGTCAAAGACATTGTAAGAGGAGAAATCTAGATGCCAATACCCATTAGAAATAAAACTACAAAAATCCTTAGCAAAATACTAGCCATTGAATACAGGAGCCCCAAAACCAGGAGGTTTTCATCTTAAGAATGCAAAGGTGACTGTTCAACATAAGGAGAGCAATGAATGTCATTAATGAAATGAAAGAAAAAGACAGTTGACAGAAAAGAAATATTTGACAGAATTCAACACATGTCCATGACAAAAACAAAGAATAACATAGAAATTGTGACAATTTTCTGAACATAAAAAAAGTTAACTTTGAAAGAGTGTTTCTCTCTGTGTTTCTAGAAATAAGTCCATTTCACAATTGCCCTTCCAGCAAATTTACTTTTCGGCTTTTCGAGTCTGGTTTTTTGTGATTGTCCAGGCTGTGACTATGTTTGTTTGTTTGTTTTGTTTTGTTTTTGTCTTTTTCGTTTTTATCGGTACCAGGGATCAAACTCACGACTGCCTGCTTGGAAGGCAGGTGCTTATGCCGCTGAGCTAAATCCCCAGCCCCCCTGGCTGTGACTATGAACCAAGGGGCTTGCTCCTTGCTGCCTGGGTCTGTGTCCCATATCTGCACACACATAGCCCTGACAGTGTGGCAGGGACTCCTAAAGCTCTGGAGCATGGAATTCAAGATTTTATTCATGTGCGTGCCATGGAAGATTAATTCTTCCTCCTTGCCATGAAGGAAAAATGTGGTGCTCTTATCAGTACTATAGCTAACCAGCTGTGGGATCCAGCAGCAGAGACACTGTCCACAATCCAGAGTGTCCAGCTGGCCTTATATTATTTATGGACTCTCACAACACCCCTGCCATCCAGTCCTCTTAACTCTTCTTGCACTTTGATAGCTAGCAGAATGTTGTGCGAAGAGAAAAGATGGAGAGAACTGAGCATGATTTTAAGCTTTCAAATTACATACATTTGCTTCCAGGAGAAGCAAAACCTCTGGCCTCTAACATTGATGATATTGTTCAGTCTTCCAATATGCAGACAGTGATAGTGATAATGAGACATTGAAAGAAAGCTCAAGTTTTTCTGGGAACTGTAAGACAATGTGCTAAACCTGTGGTTTTGCACATAGAATGTCTTGATAATACATCTCAGAGAAATCCTATGTGAGGAAGTTTTGTTAAGAGTTAAAAGTGTTAGCACTCCAGAGGCTGAGGCAGAAGGATCTCTGTGAGTTCAAGGCCAGGCTGGGCTACATAGTGAACTAAGGTCAGCCTGGACTACACAGTGAGACCCTGACTTAAAAAAAAATTAAACTAAATTTTAAAAATACAAGGAGGAGGAGAAGGAATAGGAGGAGGAGGAGGAGAAGAATTTAAGGTGTTCTTTACTTTTCAAATGGCTGTTCAAAGATGTGTGGTACCAATCTGTTCAGATTGGAAAGCAGAGATGCTGGAATCAGCAGTGGCATCAACTAAGGTCAGGAAGGCTCAGCAGGTTGTGAAAGTGGGGAAGAGATGCTGGTCCCACCCCAAGATACTTGTGTGGAAGTGGAAGGAGAGCCCTGAGCTGCCTGACATTGCCTGAGGGTGACGTCTCACAAAGGAACTGTGCAAATCCGTGTCCCAGGTTGGCTCCCACCCCAAAGTGGAGCCAGCCAGCTGAGCAAGATGCAGGCTTGTCATCCAGATCATCTTACTGGTGACTTTGTCTTCAGTTTGGGGCTCAAGGCCTGTGCGAACTACAAAGGGCCAGTTTTCCACTATTGTGGTGAACTGAAAAGTGCAATTAGAGTTGCAGCTTTTACATCTTAGTGAACATTTTACCTCACTGTGTTGTACAAATAATAGAGGCTACAGGTGGAATTAATTTGCTTATAAAGTATTTTGGTTTTCCTTTAATTGCCTCACTTTAGTTTTTGAGACTGGGTCTTGCTGTGTAGTTCAGCCTGTCCTTAAACTCACTGTGTAGCCCAGGCTGGCCTTGAACTTACAGCAATCTTCCTGCTTCAGCCTCCTGAGTGCTGGGATTTTTAAAATTTTTATTTTATTATTTTTATAAAGAGAAAAACATTTTCAAAACACCACAGTCAGAGGGTAACAATGGTTAATACATTGTATATTGTTATCTTTAAATTACTCAGAGTACAAGATAATCTGTGTTTAATTGTCCAAAAAATATTAACACAAACCTTTCTTTTCAATGAGCTGAGAAATGAGTAGTATAGCTATCTTAACTCATATATATATATGTATGCATATAACATACATACATATATATATCATTTCTTTCAGCTTCTCACATTACAATACTTTGTTGAATGCTGGGATTAATTGCATCACTTTTTAAAAACAGAGTATGTGCAGCTTTATGTTTTATTTTATACAAACCAGGTGATTAGGAAAACATTTTCTCAAGCCTCAGGATTAATCTGAAAATAATTTTTTTTTTGGTTCAAGTTGTACATGAATTACTGAACATTTTTCTCTTCTTCATGAACAACTCATGCTTTGGTACTACTCACTTTTTTGTGCCTTTTTTATTTTTCCATGTTTACAGAAAGGACATGACTAATGAAGTTTTCAAATTGAAATATATTCCTCGGAACACAGTAGTTCTCTAAAAATACAACTGGATAAAAACTTTGCAATCTTATTTGTTACCTTAATGAGAGTGACATAAAACCAGCCAAGAAGAAGGAAACTTGTAGGGGCTAGGGATTTAGCTCAGTGGCATAAGCACCTGCCTTACAAGCAGGTGGTCATGAGTGTGAGTTCGATCCCCGGTACCGATAAGAAGGAAACATGTATAGCAGTAAGAAAGGATTTCTGAAACTATTTGGATGTGACTGAATGTGATGGCCTGAATTGTTTACTGCTCAATGTTTACGTCACCTTTTGAGATTTAAGGCCATCGTGCTATTGGGGGCAATTATAAATGTTCTCTGGCCTTAGGCTGAGATTACAGAACACCCCTTATAGGAAAAAACATAGTAAAGAACCAGCAAACTTGAAAAAGCCTGCAGTGCTGTGGTGCTGCTGTAGTAGAGTCTAACTTTAAAAAGTACATAGCTGGGGCTGGGGATTTAGCTCAGCAGAGATAAATGCCTGCCCTGCAATTGTGTGGTCATGAGTTTGATCCCCGGTACTGATAAAAAAGAAAAAGACAAAAAAAAAAAAAAAAAAAAGTGCAGTGCTGGACTGAACACTACTCAGTAGGTATTTGTTTGCATTACTTTTTGTGAGTTTATTACAAAAATGCTGCTGTCATATCAAATAGGGAATAAAGCAAATTATTGCTTATAAATAAATAAAGTCAGCATTGTTTCTCATATCCAGAAAAAAGAACTCTAGTCAGAGTAATATAAGTAAATATTTATAAATATATAGTGTAGGTAAGAGGTAGTGTTTGGATGTAGGTAATTACATGTATGTAATACTTTATTTTACAATGCTCTAAAATATTAGGCAAGTAAGGTTTTATTTGTGGAAGTCCAGCCATATCCAGATACATTTTAATGTTAACACAATTAAAGACAAATAGAAAGACACTAAAATTCATATTCATCACCATGTAGAGCTACTATTTTACTCCTTGGAGAAAGTGATGCAAAAATTGGATACTGGATGGTCTCCTTATGTTCTCACATCTTTTAGAGAAAATTTAAAACATCCAGTGTTATTGGAGAAAATCATAAAATACTGTCACTAATAAGTCTTGAGTTCCCTAACACTGGGATCTTTAGGAGGAAAAGGTATTGGAGGGAACTGAGAGCACTATTTTCTCAAAAAAAAAATTTTTTTTTCTCTTTTACTGGTACCAGGGGTCGAACTCACGACTGCACACTTGCAAGGCAGGTGCTTATGCCGCTGAGCTAAATCCCCAGCCCCGAGAGCACTATTTTCTGATGTGTCTGTGAGATGTCTCTTTCTGATCCAGGTGATACACACGAACAGAACATACATGAGTTTGCTGGGTGTGGTGGCACACACCTGTAATCCCAGCATTCAGGAGGCTGAGGCAGGGGAATCATTGAGAGTGTGAGGCCATCCTGGGCTACACAGTGAGACTGTTCAAGAAGATTATTATTTTTTTTTTTTTTGTCTTTTTCATTTTTATGGGTACCAGGGATGAAACCCACGACTGCCTGCTTGTAAGGCAGGTGCTTATGCCGCTGAGCTAAATCCCCAGCCCCCATAGTGAGACTGTTTAAAAAAAATTCAAACATGAGCTTTCAGGGCACATTTGCTTTATTTATTTGTTTACTTATTTTTTTTTTTTTTCTTTTCGTTTTCATTTTTACCGGTACCAGGGATTGAACTCATGACTGCCTGCTTACAAGGCAGGCACTTATGCCGCTGAGCTAAATCCCCAGCCCCGGCACATTTGCTTTAAATGCATAATACTACTTGCTGCCAAAACCAGAGGAGTTGAAAAAAGAGAACAATACCACTTATTTTCTATAACTATTAAAGCAAAGTTTTCTTTCTTTTTTTAGCAAGCTACTTTACCATGCACTGCTGCACATCTGCGTATTTCATAAACAACCCTTGGGTAGTAATGGTTTGCTACAAGTAGATATTCCAGCCTGATGTGTTTTGTGTACTTGGTGTCCTTTTATTCCAGGCCTTGCAGAGCAGTTAAGGCCATTGTAGTGCTACTTTTAAAAATATATTATAAAATAATAAAAGATAAAATAACTAAAATTGAATGAATATTAAAAAAGAAAAATCCACAACTAACATCATACACAATGGCTGCTCAGTCTTTTGGTTAAGACCAAGAGTGTAATAGGCCAAGAGTTGGGCCTGGTGGCTCACGCTTGTAATCTCAGGCTGAGGCAGGAGGATTTTTGCAAGTTTGAGACCAGCCTGGCTACAAAGTGAGCTCAATACTAGCCTAAATTGCATAGCAAGAGCCTGTCTCAAAATAAGGGGTAATGGGCCAGGGATATTAGCTCAGCAGCATAGCACCTGCCTGGTAAGTGCAAAGTCATGAGTTTTAATTCCTAGTACCAAAGGGGGAAAAAAAAGGATCAAGTGTAATATCATATGCAATGCTAAGAATGAAGAGATAAATCAATGATTTGTCACTATTCAGCATAGTTCTAGCTAGAAAAATTAGTCAAGAAAGGAGATAAAATCTACCCGAGTTGAAAAAAGTATTAAAATTATCTCTGCATATGACATGATCTTATATGTAAAAAACTCTATAAAAAGTTCACATCAGGGCCAGGGATTTAGCTCAGCAGTGTAAGTGCCTGCCAGTACCAAAATACAAAAAAACAAAAAACCACACCAAAAACATGGTGGCAAATACTGATAATCTCAGCACTCTTGAAGCTGAAGCAGGAGGATCACTGTGAATTTGAAGCCAGCCAGAACTCCATAGTGAGTTAAAGGTCAGCCTGAACCACATAGCAAGACTGTCTCAAAATACAAATAAAATAAAATCCACATTAAAATGTTACAGGATAGCCAGGCACGATGGCACATGCCTGTAATCCCAGCACCTAGGAGGCTGAGGCAGAAGGATCACCACAAGTTTGAGGCCAGCCTAGGCTTCATAGTGAACTCAAAGCTAGCCTGAGGAGAGAGGGAAGAACATGGCGGATAGATAGCTGCAGCCTCGGAGGCTCTCTGAGAAACCGCACTTGAAATCCAGGAATCGTGCCGGGCAGGAAGTCCTAGGCAAGGGGGAATATTCTTTTTTTTTTTTAATCAGTACCAGGGATTGAACTCAGGACTGTCCGTTTGCAAGGCAGGCGCTTATGCCATTGAGCTAAATCCCTAGCCCAAGGGGGGGGGGATATTCTTTGCCGACCCAGGAACGAACTAAATTAAGAGAAACCAACTAGAAACGCAATCCCGGTGATACAGCAGGAACAAATAAGGTCTCGGCACGGAAGCCGGACCTCGCGCCACTGGAAACTGCGATCTGAATTTCCTGCAGCCGCTGTTGCGTCCCGGTTGGCACAGCGGGGAGAGAGGCGAGAAAGCTCGAAAGTGGGAAGCGTTGAATGGAGTTAGGAGCAGGGCTGGCCAGGTGCCCTGTATCAACCTGCGGTGAATGAGCGGATCAGAACCCTTCGATAGAGAAGGAGGCTTCAGCGGAGGACATACTCGGACGGGCAGACTTCCCGGAACAAGATGCTGTAGTGACTTCAGTCACATATCCCCCTCTCAAGCGGAATTGGTGGGGAGTGCCTGGCCTGCGAGACGCCGCTGGCTGAGACCCAGTAGGCTAGCCCAACCCAGGTCCCAGCGCCTGGAGGTGCACCCTAGCGACGAAGCCTTCGGTAGGTTGATCTGAAGGGGCGGGCCCGGAATAGACTGCCCAGGTCTCTGTCTCCCTGGTGCGCTGCGCTGGGCGGGAACACCCAGCCGGCACAATTCAGACTGTGGCTGACAGGGAAGGAAGCCGGGCCTCCTATATACACTTATATATAAGGAACAAAGCCACCCCCACCTTGCAGTCCTGGGACTCATCCCACCCCCCAAAGACCCCATTCTGCCAGCTAAGAGCTTGATCTTTGGGCAGATGGGGAGCCAGGTTTCAGAACTGGCTAGTTTTGCTTTCACTTTTGATTCCTCTTGAAATGACAGAGGAACCAGGAAAGACCAGGGAAGTGTCCTTCTCTTCCTGGCGTGGGTGCTTGTCTGTAGCAGCTGCAACCTCTGCGGGTGCCTCTGTGTCCACAGAGCCAGAGCTGTGACCACGGCAGCTGCTGTCGAGCCCGGCCTTCAGGATGGCAGTCAAGGAGTCTTCCCAGCGGCTGGACAGAGAGCTGTACTCCAGGCAGCTGTGAGCCTTGTGGTGGGGGAGGAAGCCGGTGGTCTTCGGATTTCTGGGCTCAACTGCTTGCCCTTCTGCTGCCCATTCACAGGCCTGTGCTGGGTCTACCTGCTATGCAGAGAATTCAGGAAGCCAAGGTCCTGCTGTCAGGCCTACAGGGCCTGGGGGCTGAGGTGGCCAAGAACCTGGTTCTGATGGGTGTAGGCAGCCTCACCTTGCACGATCCCCAGCCCACCTGCTGGTCTGACCTGGCTGCTCAGGTAAGGGTCCTGGGTGGCTTCCATTTCTCAGATCAGAGTGGGGTCAGGACCAGGGGAGTCTGCTCAGGCCTTACTGGGTCTCTCTCTAGTTTTTGCTCTCAGAGAAGGACTTGGGAAAGAGCAGGGCTGAAGCCTCTCAAAAACATTTGGCTCAACTCAATGAAGCTGTCCAGGTCTTCGTCCATGCCAGTGACATTACCGAGGACCTACTGTTGAAGTTCCAGGTGCCTTCCCTGGTCCCAGCTCCAGGCCAGCTCCCTCTACACACACACACACACACACACACACACACACACACACCCGGTCTATGGCAGGGACTGCTAGGCAGTGGCTCTGGCCCCGCTAATTGTGATGTTCACCTAGGTGGTGGTACTGACCTCCTCAAAGCTGGAGGATCAGCTGACGATGGGTGCCTTATGCCACAAGCATGGAGTCTGCTTTATAATGGCTGACACTCGGGGCCTTGTAGGGTAAGCCTAGCTGCCTAGCCTAGCACATCTTAGCCAGCCTTTGTTCACATGCTGTCCACAGCTGTGAGTTTGATCCATTGCCCCCCTACCCAGCCTCAGGCCTGTCCCATTCTCCCTTCCAATTCTGGTCCCCAGTTCTACCCCTCCAATTCTGGTCCCCAGTTCTGCCCTTGAGTTCCTGCAGATCTGCTGTACTAAACCCCACCCCCAAACTGTAGTTTACAGTTCTCTCTCTCTTTTCTCTTTCAATTTGAGCCTACTGGTCCTGTCCTAGTGTTCCCTACCCTTAATCACAATCTATGAACCACCTCAGTGACCCCTGCCACTTCACACTAGGCAAGTGTTCTCTGACTTTGGTGATGAGTTTGTAGTAAATGACCCCACAGAGACGGAACCTCTGTCGCCTGACATCCAGCACATCACCCAGGTAGGTGTGAGGATATGGGAATTTACCTGCTGGCCAGAGAAGGGTTGCCAGGGTCTATGAAAGGTAGGTACGGGCACCCTAAGCCAAGGCATCTCTCACTCAGTGCTCCCCTGACATCCTCACTCTAAGAGAAGAAGACAAGGAGCTCTCTTTCTGTGACGGGGACTTGGTGACTTTCTCAGGCATTGAGGACATGGTTGAGCTCAATGGCTGTCCTTCCCAACCCATCCACGTACAGAGTAAGCTGATCCCTCTGTCCCCATGGGGGTGCACATGCCCAGTCCTTGGAGCTGGGTTCCCCTTCATCTTTGCCAGGGTGTAGCAAGGTGGAAGACAAATACTATGCAAGGCAGAATGGCACTGAAAACTACTCAGGTTCAGGGGTTGGATCTTTCCCAGAGGATCGGTCCTTGGAAGTTGAGGACACATCAACGTTTTCCCCCTACTTATGCGGCGGGACTGTCACCAAAGACAAGGGATCTGAGACTGTTAGACATGTGAGTTGGGTGCATCTAGAGGGGGAGCACTTACGCAGGAGAGGGCTGGGGGAAGGCAGGCAGGGTCTGGACCTGATTCTGAGCTGCCCTTGCAGAAGCCTCTGGACAGAGCCTTGCTGGAGCCCTGTGTTGTGGCTTCAAATGCCTGTGAAGTTCGCCGTGCTCTTTGCCTGCATCAAGCCTTCCGTGCGCTACACGAGTTCCAGCACCTCTATGGTCGGCCTCTGCAGCCCTGGGATCCTGTGAGTAACCATCGCACCACCTCCAGTCTGACTACCTCGGATCTCAGCTGCCAGATCTCACCTCTGTGACTGACCCTTCATTGGTCCACATTTATGCCCCAGAGGCAGTGCATCCACTCAGAAAAAGGACATGAAAAGCATTATCTTTTGTGGGGTACTGTAGTGGGGAACCAATCTAGGGTATTTAGGGTATTGTACTACATGCCAGGCAAGCACTTTTTCTCTCCTCCTCCTCCTCTTTTTTTTTGTCTTTTTTGAGATGGGGTCTTGCTATGCAGTTCAGGCTGGCCTTGAGCTCACTTTGTAGCCCAGGCTGGTCTCAAAGTCTCAATGATCCTCCTACCTCAGCCTCCTGAGTGCTGGGATTACAGGCGTGAGCCACCACACCTGGCTTCTTCTTCTTCTTTCTCTCTCCCCAATCTCTTTCTTTCTTTTTAGACAGGCTCTCACTACATAGCCCAGGCTGACCTCAAATTCTCAGTGATCCTCTTGCCTCAGCCTTTCTGAGTGCTGGGATTACAGGTGTATGCCACAGCTTTCTCTCTCTCTCTCTCTCTCTCTCTCTCTCTCTCTCTCTCTCTCTCTCTCTGTCTTTGTTTTTGTTTTGAGACAGGGTCTCAGTAAAGTTGCCCAGGCTGGCCTCAAACTTGCAATTCTCCTGCCTCAGCCTCCCAAGTAGTAACTGAGTTTATAGGCGTATGCTCCTATACCCAGCTGAAAATCACTATCTTTAGACTAGACACTAGGGCTATGAAAATGCCAGGCACACAGCTTTGATCTTAGTTCTGTCCTAATCAAGCCAGAAGCTGCACCCCAGACTGATATTCTTCTAGGCCTCTGTTTTGCACTGGTCATCTTCTGGTGGTGCCACCCAGGCTGGTTACTGTGCCAGGTCTTCTCTCATAGGCTTCTGCTTCCCATTCTGTAGAACAGGATGGCTGACTGCCTGAAGGCTTTGTGTGAGGGTGGAACTTAGGCTGGGGATGCTGTGCCTACAGAGACCCATCCCACAGGTGGATGCAGAGATCATGGTAACCCTTGCCCGGAACCTGGGACCACTGAAGGAGGCAGAAGAAGAGCCACTGGATGAAGCCCTGGTGCGGATGGTGGCCCTGAGTAGTGCTGGTGTCCTGAGCCCCATGGCAGCCATTCTGGGGGCAGTGGCTGCCCAGGAAGTCGTGAAGGTGGGCATGGATGGGGAAGGTCATGGGGTGGGGAGGCTTATGGGTCAGTGTGTGCCAGCCCTAGAGGGTTCACCAACCTAGATACAGGCTTCAGTTGGATCTGAGGGGCTTAGGTGTGGACAAACACCCTTACAATTGAAGTGTTGGCCCCTAGGCAATCTCCAAAAAGTTTATGCCCCTGGACCAGTGGCTATACTTCGATGCCCTCGACTGTCTTCCAGAAGATGAGAAATTCCTTCCCAATCCTGAGGACTGTGCCTTGGTGAGACTTGGGGTGGGGGTGCAAGCCTTGTCCAAAATCAGGGCTGGAGGAGAAGCATAAAGAATGGTCCTAAGTTACTGGGTTAACATCTCAGTACAACGAGGAGATGCAGCAAAAGCTGTCAATTGTCACAGACTCCTCTCTCTGTCCTCTAGAAAGATTGGCGCTATGATGGACAAATTGCAGTGTTTGGGGCTGGTTTTCAGGAGACACTCAGTTGCCAGCGCTACCTCCTGGTGAGCTGTGGGGTGAGGGTGAGCATATATTTGGGAGAGCCAATTCAGGCCCCTGATTAAGGCTGCTTCTCACAATAGGTGGGTGCTGGTGCCATTGGCTGTGAGCTACTCAAAGGCTTTGCATTAATGGGCCTGGGAGCTGGAACTAGTGGAAGCGTGACTGTTGTAGACATGGACCACATAGAGTACTCCAACCTCAGCCGTCAGTTCCTCTTCAGGCCCTGGGACATTGGTGTAAGTGCCAGCCCCTCTTTCACTTATATCCTAGACTGCCCTCCCGTCATGCCCCTGTACCAAACATCTTTTTCCCTTTTTTTCCAGAAATCCAAGGCAGAAGTGGCTGCTGCGGCTACCCAAGATCTGAATCCAGACTTAGAGGTCACAGCTTACACCCGAATCCTGGATCACACCACTGAGGACATCTACGCAGACAACTTCTTTTCCCATGTAGATGGAGTGGTTGCTGCCGTGGACACTTTCAAGGCCCGTGAGTGTTTAACTCAGCTTAGCACTTACCCAAGTCTGTGCCAGTCCCACTCTGAGCCTCTGCCCTCTTGCCAGGGTACTACCTGTCTGCTCGCTGCATCCACTACCTGAAGCCACTGCTAGAGGCAGGCACACTGGGCACTAAGGGCAGTGCTTCAGTGTTCGTGCCACATGTAACTGAGGTTTATAAAGGACCTGTGGAAGCTTCTGAAGGTGCCCCCGCCCCTGTCTGCACCTTGCGGTACTTCCCTGGCACATACGAGCACACCCTGCAGGTAAGCACATGCCATGCCACCCAGCTCAGCACTGGGTTGCAGGCCCATGCCTTCTCTGATAGCTCATGGTCCTTCTTCCCCCACAGTGGGCTCAGAATGAATTTGAGGAACTCTTTCGACTGCCTGCAGAGACCATCAACCGCTACCAACAGTAAGGGCCCCAAGAGAGATGGAGGGAGGTCCAGGGCTCTGAGCCCAGTGCTCAGCCTGCAGCTCTCCCGTCTCTCAGCAGGGCAGCTACTTCCTTGGAAGATGTGAGTGGGCTACAGATGCTAACCTCACTGCAACTGCTGCTAGGTGTCCTGCGAGTGCGCCCACAGACCTGGCAAGACTGTGTGGAGTGGGCCCTTGGCCACTGGCGACTACGCTTCTGTGATGACATCATACGGCTGCTGAGGCTCTTCCCACCTTATAAAGTGGGTGGTTAGGAGTTGAGCAGCTGAGGACTTGGGGGAACTAGACTGAACTTAGCAACCTGTGTGTCCCTAGGTGCATGAGGATGGAGCTCCGTTCTGGTCAGGTCCCAAACAGTGCCCCCAGCCCCTGGAATTTGACATCAGCCAAGTGAGTGGGGGTTCCCTGGAGAGACTTTCATGCAGATGTACAGATGGTGAGAGAGAGCCATGTTCGCTCACATATGGGTGTCCATATGTGAAGCGAATACTCAGCAGACCCACAGATGGGCCGTGGGCCCCACTCCATCTCTCATTCGTGGTCCTTCATACCCATGTATCTGCTTCTGCTCTGCTCTGGCTGCAGGACATGCACTTCCTCTACATACTGGCAGCTGCCAACCTGTATGCCCAGATGCACGGGCTACCTGGCTCATTAGATCAGCCTGCACTCAGGGTACTGCTGAAGTTGCTGCTACAGACTGACCCCCCGCATGTGGCCTCCATCTTCCATAGGGAAACAGCTAAATCTGGTGAGATTCCTGGCCCTTCCCCCATCCTGGCACTCAAAGGCTGATCCTATCTTCAGCCCGCACTGCAGAAAGAAGATAGGCTCGGGCTGGGGATTTAGCTTAGCGGCATAAGCACCTGCCTTGCAAGTGTGTGGTCGTGAGTTTGATCCCTGGTACTGGTAAAAAAGAAAAAGACAAAAAACAAACAAACAAAAAGAAGATAGGGTCTTGGGTCCCTACAACCAACTTGCTACCTCTCAGGCCCTCTTACCTCACTTCTCTCTCTAGCCCCCTCTTCTGGCCCCAGCAGCAGCTCTTCTCCCTGCTGCCTATTGCATATTCCGGTTCTCTTGGGAAAATGGTGTAGTTGTGGACAGCCACATGGGTATGAGCGTATGCACAGACCCAGAAAGGCTGTAGCATCAATTGGTGGGCTCCTTGGGCATGATCAAGAAGCAGTGATGGTCTTGGCAGACACCAAGAATAGGTACAAAGTTCCAGGAAGAACACAGGAGACAAAGGACACTCAGCATCTACTCCCCTAACAGACCCTGAACAGCTGAAAGAACTACAGGAATCCCTGGAAGTCTGGACCAAGGGCCCTGCCCTGAAGCCCCTGGTGTTTGGCAAGGTAGGATTCTAAGTGGAGGTGGTAGGTATTTGGGCTGGGGAGATTGTAAAGGAAAGTGAGGAGCAGAAGAGTAGACGCAATTCTCCTCCCAGGGGCCCCCTCCAAACAGCCCACTCTCCTTGAGCCTCAGCCTCATCATGTGGTGAAGGAGAAATGGTGAACAACCACCTACAGACCTGTTAGGAGACCTAGCTGAGGCACACAGTGGCCATGGTGAGGGCCGCTGCTGCGGTGTTCACTCTACTGTCATTTGGGTCTTAAAGAATGAAGACAGCCACTTCCACGTGGACTTTGTGAGAGCAGCAGCTAGCCTGAGATCTCAGAACTACGGGATCTCAGAACCAGCAGACTATGCTCAGGTAACCCCAGCCCTTGGGGCTTAGGCCTGGAAATAGGGGCCAAACCCTAGTGCTACACTGTAGGCAAGCCCAGATTTCCTGTTCTTGTCAGAGCAAGAGAATCATGAGTCAGATCATCCCAGCCATTGCCACCACCACAGCAGCAGTGGCAGGCCTGCTGGGCCTAGAGATGTACAAAGTGGTGGGCAGCCCACGACCTGTTGGTGCCTTTCGTCATACCTACCTGGACCTGGCTGGAAACCGCCTCGAACGCTCTGTACCTTCTGCCCCAGCCATCCAGAACGTAAGCCCTTGACACCTTACCCCTACTACCCCTACACTTGGGTTTTCTCTGAACCCACCCAAACAGGCCCCACTCTAAACCTGGTGTGGTGGCACATACCTGTCATCTCAACCACTAAGGAGGGCTGAGGCAAGAGGATCTCAAAATCAAGGCTAGCCTGAGCAACTTAGTGAGAGCCTTTCCAAAATAAAAAGGGCTGGCAGAAGCTCTGGCTTCAATTTCCAGTACAAAAACAAAAACAAAAACAAGCACAGGCCCACTCTAGCTTTCTGGCACTCTCTAGAACCCAGACAGTGGGGGAGTCCTCAAGCTTCCCTCTGGCCCCCTTCCTGCTAGGAAGCCAGGCTGGGACCTGTCAGACACAGGAAGCAGCCATCAGCCACTCCCCCACTCACATACATACTCCCACCCCCACTCCCACCACAAACAAAGAGTCCAGGGTCTGGGGGAGCTGCAGCTTTAACTCATTAGTGGAGCCAGACATCCCTACAGCCCCCTCCTTCCCAGGAACATCTGAGGGGGGAGATGTTAGCAAGCAGGAGGAGGTAGGAAAGGGGGACCAGGGCCGCAGCCCTGGAAAGAGTCCAGATTCTCCCTGCAGGGCCCTGGCCTGTGTCCCCTCAAGGCTGAGTTAAAAGGCACCAGGCTGGCCACAAGGTGTGAGGGTCTGCAGTCCCACAGGAATGTGTTCTTGGGTCACAGGCGTAAGTTTGCCAGAATCTGGGCATCTCTGGTGTGTGGGCATGGAGGTAACAAGCTTGCACATTTGTGTGCCAGATAGATGTGCAGGGCTCTTCCTCAGTGTGGATATGCATGGATGTGCCTGTGGGTACACACGTGGGTGTTCCTGGGCTAGCACTCATGTGTGCTCCTATGAGTACAGGGCTGGGAACGCCTCTGATTGTGTGTACAGGCTCTGGTGTAGCTGCCATTTCCTCCAGGGAAAGGGGGCAGAGGGAATGCCAAGGGGAGAGGGCAGAGGTCACTGGTCAACACTGGGGTTTGCTGGGTAGCTCTGGGGTCCCTCTGGACACAGGACACAGAGCCCCTTTATGAAGTGCTCCACCTCTAAGCAGCACACAAGCTGCCTTTGTCCATAGAACAAAGGCAGAGGGAGCCCCCATCTTGCATCTAGCCCAGTCTCAGTTCACCCCCAATGTGTTGTCTAAGGGGCTGGCAAGACCTTCTTGTCCTGGATTCTGGCTGCTGCCACCCTTCTGTCCTCAGCTCTGGACACCAGAACCTTGTAACTCTTAAAAAAGAGAAGGAAATATGATAGGAAGCAGAGGCCTCTGTGACAGATGTGTCCTTACTAGGATCTCTGAGACAGAAGGGCCCTCGTGATCACTATGCCCTTGGCCCCAATGTATACAGGAATAGTCGAAGGCCCTATAAGGGTGGGCAAATAGGATGTGTCCCCAGCCCTCAGCGTTGCATTTGAGGAACACACAGCTTTATCAGAGACTGCAGCAGCCTGGCTCTTGTTTCCTCAGGAAGCACCACCCCCTCGCCCCCACCCCCAGCAACTGGCCTGCGTGATGGATCATCTGTTTCCCTGTGTGGGCCCCATAGCCCCATTTCCTGTGCTGGCCCCAGCCTGGGCCCAGATTCCACCTTTCACCCCCCACTCCCTGGCTCAGCTTCCTGCCTATAGTCCAGCTCCTCCCCTAATAAAGGCTGCTAGGAACTGGGACACGGGGTTGCAACTTGGATGAGCAGTCTCTCATTCCTCCCCACGTCTTCCCCCAGTTCCATCACCTGCAGTGGACCCATTGGGACCGCCTGAAGGTACATGCTGGGCATCCCGAGATGACACTGGAATCGTTGCTGGCCCATCTCCAGGTGTGCCCTTTCTCCACTCTATCTCAGCTCTGCCCAGCCTGGCTCAGCAGGCATCTGACTCATGTCTTTCTAGGAGCATCATGGGCTGAAGGTGACAATGCTGCTGTATGACAATGCCCTTCTCTATTCAGCCCAAGATTCTGCTGAATGTCAGGCTCAGCGCCTGCCCCTCAGGTGAGCCTGCATCTGGTTAATGCCCTGCCTGCCTCTGGAAGTTTAAGAGTGGGGGACACACAGCCATTCTTTTTCCTGACCCCACTCTGGGCCCCTTACACCTTCTTGAAGCATTCTTTGACCAAATGGAGCTAACAAATGGACTGGGGGTGGGGCAGGACTGAAGGCCTGAGGAGGGGCTGCTTTAGGGGCTGCCTGCTGGGCCTCCCCCACTGGCTCCGCATACCCTGCTCAGCCCCCTTTCATGGCCCACTCCCAGGGGACCTACAACTTCCTGCCTCCTGCCTGCCAGCCAACTGCTCCTAAAATAGTTTCAGATGTTTCCTGTCTTGAGCTACTCCTGCTCCTGGTTTGAGCTCCAGAGGGCCACTAGCACCCCCAAGCTCATGCCAGGCTGGCTGTTTTCCTCTATTCACCTCAGTTCATACCATACCAGGGTGACAGAACTGGTTCAGCAGGTGACAGGCTGGGTGCCTGAGCCTGAACGACAGCGGGTGCTGGTGCTGGAGCTGAGCTGTGAGGGTGAAGAGGACGACACAGCCTTCCCACCTCTGCACTATGAGCTGTTGTAAAGAACCCTGCACTCAGCTTCGTGCAGCCCTGGGCAGAGCCCTGAATCCTGAGGCCACAGCAGGCACTCAATAAAACCTGTTGAAGAAAGCCATGAATGGAGAAGATGGACATAGGGCGGTGGAACACATGGGAGTGACATGACCCTGGAGGGAAAGCAGAGACTTCACATTTGCCCACCTGGACTGTGCTTTGAGGGGCTGGAGCTGCCTCCAGGAGCCTCAGGGGTATGGAATCAACAGTGTATAAAAAGGCTTTTATTGATGCAGGCTGGAGGGCAGGATCAGAGGTAGCTGACATCATTGCATATGATGGGTTGGCGGCTGCGGCAGTTCATGAGGGCTGCAAATCGTGAGACATCTGCAGGCAGTTCAGGATCTGGTTGAGGTGGGCATGAGAGCCGCTTCCCTGCCATAGCAGCTCGCCGAGCCCTGGCCAGCTGGCGCCGCAGCTGCTCAGAGAGACCAAGCAAGAACTGAGGGGGGCGAGGACGAGCTCGGGGTGCACCTCCATCACCTCCCTCGCCTGCTGCCTCAGGCAGCTCCATCCAGTTGTGAACTAAGTCAGCAAAGCAGTTATCCCCTAGCACCAGAGGCTGGCGACTGCGACCCCTGTTCAGCAGGGCTGCTGTCCAGTCCTCTGCTTCCAGTCCCTGCCAATGCTCCAAGCAGGCATCTGGGGTGGACTTGGGCCGTGGACGGTGTGCAGATGGGGTGCTGTTCACAGGTGCCATGTTGGACAGTGGAAGGCCACTGACTGAGAGCCGCTGACTCTGAAGGGGCCGTCCCTGACGTGCTTGGCGCTGGAGTACAGGCAGCTCTTCTTCTTGCCATGTGCTGCCTGATACCTCTGAGAAGCCTGAGTCCCAGTCTAGACTGTGCTCTCTGTGACCCCCCAAGCCCGCACCCCTGTTTTCTGTCACCAAGGCTTCTTCCTCCTCTTCCCCCACACAGCAAACAGAGTCTTCCAGGAAATCTGAGGCCCCAAGCTGGTGGCTGGGCTGCATACCTGGGTCAGTTTTGGGGGGTGGCTGCAGGGGACCAGGCAATGGGGATGAGCCTGTGTGCCGGTTACACAACTGAAGGGGAAGAGAGAGCAGAAGTTGAAGGGGTATTTCTTGTCACCCCTGTGTGCCTGGCCAGATCAGCTCTGAGAACAGAGGGTCCAGAGAACTTTAAAGGACTGCTGGCTGGGGCAGTGGGGTGGAAAGTGAGCACAGGGCAGGGACGGGGGCCTTGGCAGTGAAGCAGACCTGGTGGCAGTGCAGCAGGCTGCAGCATGCAGAGCCAGGCAAGTCGGCACCCGCCACCAGGGCTTGCACTGAGAAATAAGTCCTGCCTGGGTTTGGGAGGGGTGTCCTGTGCCTCTTGGGGGCTGTATATCCTCAAAGCCCAAAGTGTCTTTCAGAAAGAGAGAGAGAGCGCGCTTGCTAGGTGACTGATAGGGGAAGGAGGCAGGAAGGTTGAGGTAAGCAGCGTCCACAGCAGCGCCAAGCCTCTTTAGGTCCTTGGCACACCCAGCATCGGCCCAAAAGAAGTCCCCTCGGACTACCCTCCTCCCGCACGGACCGGCAGCATGGCCGCCTGGGCGGCTGTTACCTGATGCCCAGAGCAGCTCACTCAGCTGTCTAAAACCTCGGGCCATCTGGCCGCCCCGCCCCCTCCCGACTCGGGTGGGCACCCAAGTTGAGCGGCACCGAGCACCCCACAGGCATACTCCGTGCCACACCCACTCCCACGCCTCACCATTTCCCGGCGGAGCTGGCTCAGGAAGCCGTCCAGCCGCGCGCTGTGCATGTTGGTGCCAGAGCGCCCGCTGGGCCTGCCAGCTCCTCCTCGACCCAGAGGATCGGCGCAAACACGGCCCGGCTGGCGGGTCTGGCGCCCTCGCTCTCCGCCTGAGTCCAAGAAGCTCCAGCCGCCGCCGCCCCAACATCTGGCAGCCGTGCCCCGCCCCCTACGCCGCAGCCAATGGGGGTGGGGCAAGTCTGCAGGATCACCGCCCCTTGAGCACCGCCCCTCCAGCTCTTCGGGGTGGGTGATTTGGGCGTCCCACGCACACTTGGCGCTGGATCTGTGTCGAAGGGCTGGGTGGCAGATGGATGCCAGCTGAGATTCAGCCTAGGATCCCCTAGCATCCGGTGACGCGAGACCCTTCGCTTTCCCGCGGGCCTCAGCTTTCCCATTTGTCCTACGATGGAATAGCGGTCCCTCCCATTAGGACTCCGTGCTACGCCCACGTGTGTGCACAGAGATAGTGATCGTAGGACCCAGTGAAATTATGGTTCACTCGAGGACTGGCCTGTTCATGAAACTGGCCTCAGCATAGAAATGATAGGATTGGAGTTCGGAGAGTGCAGAATCTCGGGGTGTTAGGGTACCGGCCTTGGCGAAATCTCAGCAGGCGCCTTCTGGTGCCGCATCTGCTCCAAGTTGGGCTGGACCGCCCTCTAGCGGGAACCCGTCGAAGCACTGCCACCTGCTTCCCTTCTGACAGAGCACGGAGTAAGGGTCACTTGTGAGCTAACTCGAATGTTATTGACTGTCTGGTGAGGTCGCTCCAGAATCAGAGACTAAGTTCAAGGGTACAGTCTACCAAGAGACAGAACTGATCTATTAGCAGACAGGAAAATATGGGAGGATAAAGAGTAATGAGCTAGGGGGCTGGGGATTTAGCTCAGCGGCATAAGCGCCTTCCTTGCAAGCAGGCAGTCGTGAGTTCAATCCCTGGTACCGATAAAAAGGAAAAAGACAAAAAAAAAAAAAAAAAAGTAATGAGCTGGTTTGAAAGAGATTCTTCAGAAGAGGTGACATTGGAATACAATTTGATTAAGCCATCTCGAGAAGACCAGGAAGAGGCATTCTCAAGTGGACACCCAGCTTATTTCAGTGACGTTTCTATGTAAAGATCAGGGTGACGATATTAGCTTGATATTTGAGGGTCTGGGATCAGCTGCCTTCAAATTCTCACTTGGTTTTTAATACCTTTGCCAATTTAAGCATCGTGTGCACTTTAGAATTAAGGGACTAAGAATTATCTCATAACTCCACGTTAGGCCTTGAGGATCATACCTGGTTAGACCCTTAACTGAACAACGGGAGAAAGATTTTGAAAACTGGAGCTATTAGACACTGAACCATAAATAGTTGTTTTTTAGAAGGAAGTTTATAGTTAGTCTCTTTTATGAGGGCAGGAGTTAGTCACATACTAATACGAAATGTGTATCTGTACTAGTTGGGGAAGTCAATGAGTTTGCAGTCATGTACTAATACGAAATGTGTATCTGTACTAATTGGGGAAGTCAATGAGTTTGCTATGTATATGAATGTTTGAAAGTTAATATTATCTTGGCTCAATTGATGAATTTAGATTTACTTAATTGAAAGACTATACAACATATACCACTGTATAGTATCTAATAAAATGTTTGAAAAAAAAAGAAGAGGGATGTTCTACCCAGGCACATGGTCCACACATGTAGTTCCAGTGACTGGAAAGACTGAGACTGGAAGATCCCGGGTTCAAATCCTGCCTATACAATTTAATGATATCCTATCTCAAAATAAAAAATGAAAAGGGCTAGAGATAGAACCCAGTGAATGGGCACCCCTTGTTTAATCACCAGTACCAGGAAAAAGGAAAGAAACAAAGATGGGAGGGAAGGAGGTAGAAAGGAAGGAAAAATAAAAAAAAAAGAGGGGCATTCTAGGAAAAGGGATACACTGGTATAAAGACCTAAGGTGCTGGAGCTGGGCCAGGCCAAACATAAAAAGGCCCAGTGTACAGGGAGCAAAGAGGTCACCAAAATGAGGCTCCCAGTAGTCTTACAGAATATGGGTTTTGTTCTTTGTTGTTGTTGTTTTGAAACAGTCTTGCTATGTAATGCAAGCTGGCCTTGAACTACAAATTCTCCTGCCTCAGCCTTCCAAATTCTTGGATTACAAGCATGCATTGCCATGTCCAGCCTGGGTTTTTTTTTTTTTTTCAGTAGCTTGCACTTGCCAGGCAGGTGCTGCACCATTGAGTTGTATCCCTGGCCCTTGGGTTTTGCTCTTGATTCAACAAGAAGCATAAACCTCTTGGCAGGGAATAATCCGGCCTGGTTAAACAGTCCCAGTTGCCTTGGGAGAATGATTCTAATCAGACAAGGGATACAAAGGCCTGGGCCTGCCTGAGCAGGTACACAGAGGGTGACTACTCTGGTTATGCTTTGTAGTTGAAATCAAGTCTTGATGTGGATAGGGAAGGGACATTAAGCATGACTTCTGCACCTCCGGGCTGAACAGTGAATTGGACAAAATTGCCATAAATTGACCTGGGGACAAGTGTAGAAGAGTAGGTTTGGGAGGGAAATCAAATGATCATGTGTGAACATGTGATTCTAGAGGAGATGCAGGATCGGCCATGAGGTGTACGACATGCATTCAGGAGCAATGTCAGCACTGGAGCCTTATGGGAATGCAGGCAAAGCCACTGAATGTACTTCCGTCATGGACCTGGATGAGATAGGAGGTGAGTGTAGACAGAAAGCACAGCAGTGGGGCAGAGTCCTACATACTCCACAAGACAGAAGCAGTGGAGGGGAAGCTGAACCACCAACGAAGCTGGGCAAGAGCAGTCTGGGAGGTGGGAGAATATGGGGATTTAGGAACCAAGGAAGCAAATGTCAAATTCTGGGTTAAGAATAACATTTTGGCTTCAGATATGGGCAGAGTGTAACACCTATAGTTGCAGTTACTTCAGAGGCTGACGCAGGAAGATCCCTCAACCCTTCGAGTTCAAGGCCACCACAGAACAAAACAAAACTGCTGGCTACAGCAGTTTGCTGGTCACTGAGGTCCCTGGCAAAGGAAATTTTGTGGAGAGAGAAACAACCCTGACTGCAATAGGTAGAGAAGAGCATAAGACATAAAGAGCTAGGGATCAAGGGAAGAAAACTTTTTAAAACTGGCAAAACAGCTAGGTGTTTTGCCACATGCCTGTAATACCAGCACTTGGGAGGCTGAGGCAAGAGGAATTCAAATTCAAGCCCAGTCTGGGCAACTTAGCCATTTAGTGAGACCCTGTGATGTAGCTCAGTAAGAAGGTCTTGAGTTCAATTTCCAATACTGCAAAATACTGCCATATAATTAGAATAAATGGATAAATATCAAACATACAGTTCAATAATTGTTAAAAACCATGTATACCTGTGCAGTTGTAACCCAGATGAAGAAACAGTACATCCTCAGCCACTCCAAGAAGTCACCTTGTTCCCTGTCATCCATATTTCTCTAAAAATAAGATCAAGTCTTATCTTAATTTTGCTTCAAAAAACAAGATAGGGCTTATTTTCAGGGAAAATCTTATTTTTTAATGTACAACAATCTACATTTTTTTTTTGTCTTTTTGAGACAGGGTCGCACCATGAAGTTCAGGCAGGCCTTGAGCTTACTTTGTAGTCCAGGCTGGACTCAAACTTGCAGTGATCCTCCTGCCTCAGCCTCCCAAGTGCTGAAATTTTAGGCAAGTGCAGCCATGCCCAGCAACAATCTATATTTATTGTCTAAAAGAACTGCATGGGGGGGGGGCTAGAGATTTAGCTCAGTGGCATAAGCGCCTGCCTTACAAGCAGGTAGTAGTGAGTTCGATCCCTGGTACCGATAAAAAGGAAAAAGACAAAAAAAAAAAAAAAAAACTGCATTGGGGGCTGGGGATTTAGCTCAGCGGCATAAGCGCCTGTCTTGCAAGCAGGCAGTCGTGAGTTCGATCCCTGGTACCGATAAAAAGGAAAAAGACAAAAAAAAAAAAAAAAAAGAATTGCATTGATTCAAATACAGTCATGTCATCTTCTGAGACATCATAATGCTCCAAACCTCAAATTCCAGCCTGAATTTCTTATGACTCCACTTCCTATAGAACCATTGACCCCAATCTTTCATATCCAGCAACAGAATTTTCCATACATGAGAACTTCTTGTCTGTATAGCCTGCTCCTAGTGTGTTGTTACAATGCATGACATATTGAATTATGAAGATTCATAATAGACACAACCACATCCATTCATTATCAAGTGGGCATATTATTTGTGCATTGTGTGCTCTTCAGCAATCAGTCTTGAGTTCATTTTTTTTGTTTTGTTTTGTTTTGTTTTGTTTTTGTCTTTTTTGAGACAGAGTTTCACTACTCAGTTCAGGATAGCCTTCAATTCACTTTATAGGCTAGGATGGCCTTGAACTTGCAGCACCCTCCTACCTCAGCCTCCCAAGTGCTGGGATTACAGCCATGTGCCACCATACCAGATTTCAATTTGTCTGCTTGCATAAGCCTTTAACTGTTGTCCAAAGGCACCCATTTGGGTATTTATAAATACTTAATTATGTCATATTAACACTTATTTTAAGTATTATTACCAATAATATTTATTTATCAATATTATTATTTTATAATTCAATACATCCATGGTGTGTTGCGAGGGACATATCAAATGCATCTGTCTGGCTGACAGTCTTAACTGGGGTTTATTTTAGGGGTATGAGCATCCTGAAAAAATATGCTAGGGTTTATTTTCTGGTCAGGTCTTATTTTGGGGGAAATATGGTAGTCTGTAGCTTGGTCCTTCTCTCCTCACATCTCCTAGAGGTGTGGTCATGAATGAGTGTCCTCTTCCATGGAAGACAAGATTTTCCAGACCTCTGAAGGTCTGCCAGGGTTCAGCACGCAGTCACAGAGGGTTGGGCGGAGCCAGCTATGTTTAAGCAACTGACCTGGCAACCAGTGGCCCTGACAAACAGCCTCCTCTGCCATCTCTTCAGGCCACCATGGTTCCACTCAGGCTCCTGGTGATTCTTTTGGCTCTGGCTGTCTCTGGTGAGGAGCTGGTGGGTAGGGGAGCCCCAGTTTCCCTCACAGTCATGGCCCTTCAATGGGCTTCCATGCAGAGAAGTCGGAGGGAAAGCAGCAGGTGTCTGAATCCCTGAGCCTTGTTCCTTAGCTTGGCTGCTTCTTCACCCAAGTTCTTTCTCTCCGTCTGTGAGATGTCAGACATACAGACAAGGAAGGAGCTTGGTGACTTGGCCGGAGACATGGCCGAGTCCTGTGGCACAGGGTGGGGCTGCACTTGCACAGGTGGTTCTTTGAACATGGGGGCCTCCAGCCTGAGTGTCTGCTTCTCACAGACCTCCACAGCCTGCCCTGGTTTGTAAATGTCTCTGAGAGCCAGGGCCCCGGCACTGTCCTGCAAATGTTCATCTTCACCTGCTCCTTCCACACCCCCACCCTGGAGTTGCTCCGTGTGCAGCCGCCCAGCACTTTCTTCAACACACCCAGCCTTGCTGGGAGTGGGGGCATCTATTTGGCAAAGGTAGGGTCATGAGTATGCTTGGGCACTATGGGGGCACCAGGACAGACTTGAAATTTCAGAAGCCAGAGGTGTCATAGGGACATAGCCTAGACACCGCATGCCACTGCTCACCCCCTACAGGTGACTTTGAGCAGCTCAGCTCGGCTGGATGCCCTAGCAGTGAACCACTATGAGCTGCAGCTGAAATACACATGTGGCAACTACGTGAACGAAGCATCACTCTATTTGGATGTGCAGCGAGATTCCCGCCGTATCCAGTGTTTTGGTAGATTTGTTAGCCCAGGTGAGGCTGGGACAGTAGGCAGGGTTGGGCTGGCATGGCTTGGAAGGAGCTTCCCTGACCTCCCCTCTGGGCAGCTGGGGAAATCATTCAAGTGCCGGAGACAGTAAGCCCTGGAGCCCTGCTGTACACGCTGCTGCTCCCAGGCCTGGATGTCCAGGGAGCACAGGTAAGCCCAACATGCGTGACAGGCTGAGGTATGGGAAAGATGGAGGACAAGCATAGCCTCTTCCTGGTCAGGCGCACCGTACAGAAGGACCCTATGGCACACAGCTGAGCCTCTGCAGGATGCATGTTCTGGGAGAAAGCCACTCAGGGACACTGACCACTCCCAGGAACCATGGCTGATCCCACAGGGACATCTTAGGGGCTGAGCTCTCCTTTCCCGTGCTCCTATGTGCTCTGAGTTATCCTTGATGATTTTGTACTCCAAAAAAGAAAATAGTTTTTAAAAACAATTAATTTTAAAACAGAGAATTGAAGATCAGGGTAGGGTTCAGGGTGGAGGGCAGAAATCAGTGGCCAGGCATGAAAGGATCAGGTGTGCAGGTACTTGCTGAGTTGCTGAAGGACGTTGACAGTGGTGCTTTGGGCGCTGAGGACTGCGTGGAGCTGCTAAATTCTCTGTCCTATCAGGTGAATATTACCAGTGCCCAGGACCCCCCATACTTTCCTGGATCTTTCACTATCAATAAAAAGGGTTTGCTGCGGGCACCATCCCAGGGCCTCAAAGGCCAGGCTCCAAAGGTGAGCAAGACCTGGCATCTGGGGATATCTGTGGGTTGGCAGATCCACCACTCTTTGACAATTTGTATGCTGTTGGCTCCCTTGCCCTCTGAACTAATGCTGAGTCTCACAGACCTATCACCTTCTGACTGCCCTTTCACTTAGGCTGGGGTCTGTGCTGGACTCTGAAGTTTTAGAAAGAGGAATGGTCCCTGGCCCTGGGGGCCCACAGGCCTTCAACCAGAAAGCAGAGTGTTTCAGGGCAATCACACATTAAGAGAAAGTTCTAAGTAAAGTGGCCACTGAGGAATTAGAGAAGTTCCCTCTTCAACACTTCCACCTTTTTTTTTTTTTTTTTTTTTTTTTTTTGTCCTTTTGAGACAGGGTGTCCCTATGCAGTTCAGGCTGGCCTTAAGCTCACTTTGTAGCGCAGGCTGGTCTTGAACTTGTAATGATCCTCCTGCCAGAGCCTCCCAAGGGCTGGGATTACAGGTGTGCGCCACAACACCTGTTCTGGCTAATAGTTCTGCCTCTTAGTAACTGACTCTTAGTAACTCAGATCTAACAATTCAGTCGTGAATGACTGAGATATTACTCTTTCTTGAGATATTTGCAACCTAATAGGTGAATTTATGCTCAGAAGTATAGTGTTTACAGGAACAGTGAGACTTCCAGTGGGACACGTTGCAGGGGAGGAATGAATCCTGGGGTCCTTGTGGAGGATGCCAGGGGAGGACTGAGTGTAAACATAGAGGTTGGGCTGGAGATTTAGCTCAGCGGCATAAGGGCCTGCCTGGCAAGGGCAAGGTCGTGAGTTTGATCCCTGGTATCAAATAAATATATAAATAAACATAGAGGTTAACACATCCCATGACCCTCTTTTCTACATGGCATGTACTTTAGGCTTTCCAGCTGCAGATCTCCGTGATGTTTGGACAAGGACAAAGCTGCAAAGGGATGCTGACGGTGAAGGTTTTGCCTGCTCCTTCCAGCCAGGTCTCTTTCAAGTAAGAGTACCCTGCCCTGGACAATAGGGGAGGCAGGGCCTTGCCCTAGGGAATCAGGAGTAGTGACAGGGTACTGGGTTTCTGGAGCATCCTGGCTCTAATGGGAAGGGAGCCCCAGGAAAGGATTACAGAGACTCCATCAGAATGTACAGGAGCAGGTAGGAGTCAGGCCTCCACTTCCGGTCCAGAATGAAGACCCAGAATATCATCATACCTGAGAACCTTGTCCCTGGGAGTAAAGTGACTCAGGTGCAGGCTACTGGCTTTGACTTGCGCTATGAAATCTGCTCCCCAGTCCCCAGCCCACTCTACACCATTGGACGTGGTAAGGTGCTCGGCAGGGCATATGGGTACCCAGAGGGCTCTATCACTACCTCACCCTCCTAAGCCAGTTGGGGGCCCTGGCCTTGGAAGAGGAGGTGGGAGAGTTAGGTCAGTGGCTTTGTCAGCAGGAACCATTGGGATGGGGGTGGCCTGAGCTGGGGTGGGACTGACTCTGCCTCCCATCGAGCTCAGCAGACGGTGTAGTCCGGACCACTGCACCCCTGGAACTGGCAGGAGCCCTGGGCATTGGCGCAGCAAACGTGAGTCTTCATGTGAAGGCCTTTGAGAGGCTGCAACCATGGACCAGTGCCGAGCTTGTCCTCACTGTGAATGTGCAGCCGGTCAACCGCTGGCCCCCACGCTGCCACCCTGCACTCCTGGTGTGAGTATATGGGAGCCTTGCCCTGGCTGCTGGGAAACATCCCACAATCCCACATCTTACTGCTGAGCAAGCCTCCTGCTCTGCCTCACCACCAGGACTGAAGTCCCTGAGGCCACACCTGTGGGTACCGTGTTAAGGACCTTCACATGTGCTGACCCAGACTCTCCTGATACCAACCTCCACTACCAGCTGCAGCTTCATAGCCCTTCCAACCCTGCCAGCCTCTGCCTTCATGACAGAGACCTTGAGGTGCCACTAGCCCTCACCCCATTGGTAGGATGTCTGTGGCAGGAAGGGGTGGGTGGGCCAAGGATCCATGGGCACTGAGGTAGGAGTAGGGGGTGTGCTGTTGAGCTCACCTGCTTTGTAGTCTATAGGACAGGATTAGAGTCAGGCTGCCCTGGTCTAGGGCAGCCCAATATGGCTTGAGGCTCTTTTAGACCTGGAATGAGCCCTCCTCTGCCTCCTCTGGCCAGGTGAACACCACATTGGACTGTGACACTGTTGGAGCCTGCTTCCATCTTGCAGCTTCCGTCCTGGTGCATGACAATGGTCAGCCCCAGATGACTAGTACGTAATCCTACTTAGTGCAGGACTTTCAGAATCAAGCTAGGCTTTCCACTCTCCCACTCAAGGGACTGTTTTCCTTGCTAAGAAACTCAGCTCCCCTTATACCGAGGATTGTCACAATTGCCTTCTTTTCTCTAGCCCTCTCCCTCCTTACTGGCCCAGGGCAAGGGACTCCTCCTTCCTCAGAACCCCATGGCAAGGCTAGGCACCAGCCATCTCATTGACTCCCAAATGTCCCCAGCTGAGGTGCCAGTACTGGTGATGGTGACCCCGGTGAATGAGTTTTCCCCAGCCTGTGCTGCGCATACATTCCGGCTTCGTGAGGATGCACGGCCCCACACCCTGCTGGGCTCTGTGGTGGGGACAGATATGGACTACCCTCGACACAGCATTGAATACCACACCTCTGGTGAACCTACCATCTTTGCTGTAGACCGTCTCTCTGGTACTTGGCGCCCAGGGCTGGGAGAAGGGGAGGAGCCAAAGTTGGATCTTTGGGTGGAAGCTGTTGCCATCCTCTCCAGGGGAAATTCGCCTTCTGGGGCCTTTGGACTATGAACAGCAGAGGCTGCACAGGCTCACTGTCCTGGTGATCGACCATGGCCAAGACTGGAACCCCACCCACCGCCATTCGGGCTCCTGTACTATTACCATTGAGGTTGAGGTGACTAAACCTGAGGCCTTGGGAAAACTGGAAAGACAAAAAAAGTTTTTTTTTTTTTTTGGTCTTTTTTGAGACAGGGTCTCCCTATGCAGTTCAGGCTGGCCTTGAACTCACTTTGTAGCCCAGGCTGGTCTCGAACTCGCAATGATCCTCCCACTTCAGCCTCCCAAGTGCTGGCATTACAGGCGTGAGCTACCACGCCCAGCAAGACAAAAGTTTGAATGGGACCCTGGCCTTTGGTTTTCTGTGCTGTGCCTTAGCTTCTTCTGCTGGTTGGTTGGTGGGGCCTCTCTGTGCTAAGTGTTAAGAGTCTGTTGCCTGGTTTGCCTGGTGCAGGAAGGTGACAGGCTGAACTTGGGTTGCACGTAATTCTAACCTGGTGGCCTATCTTCAGGATGTGAACGATCATGCCCCCGAGTGTGAGCCTCCATTTCAAGAACTCACCATCTCCACTCCCCTGGGCCATAACATGGAGGTGGCCAAGGTGTCCTGCCACATCCTCCAGGAGCCACAGCGCCTGGCCTTCTCCTACAGCATTGTGGGAGGTATGGGTTGTGGGAGACATGGGGTTGTAAATGAGGATCAGGCCAAGGCCAACAGTTGTCTCCATCTGCTGCCATTCTGCTTTCAGGGAATAGTCAGAGCCGATTCAGACTGCAAGGGGACGTCCTGGTACACAATACCCCTACTCTGGGACCTCCTTGGCCACAGCAGGCCTGTACCTATGAGTTATTGATCCGTGTGGCTGATGCCGGCTCCTCCATTCCCCACCTCAGCACCACGGCCACCATCATTGTGCATCTGCTTCCCTGGAGGGCCAGCACAATGGCCACCAGCACTCACAGGGCTATAGTGAGGGGAACTCAAGCCCTTGGCAGGTGGGGAGGGAGGAACTTGGTGAGGAGACCCAGTCTTTCAGGTGGAATGGTAGGGAAGGTGTTCTGAAGGAGACTGCCTTGGTGCAAAGAGACTGGGAATCCAGCAGTACAAATCTGGGGTGTGGGACAGCTCAGCCCATGGGAAGGTTTGAAGTCTGGATGGTCAGGCATCTTTGCAGGGCTGTGGTAAGGTGGTGTTCTCCATTTCAGGTCCCTTCAACGATGATACCCCGGCTTGTGACAGACACAGAAATTTTCTGGCAGCCAGAGCCCTGGTTTGTGGTGGTACTGACAGTGACTAGCATTCTTCTCCTCTTCGCTCTGGGATGGCTTCTTGGCAAGCTGCTCTGGGGGTAGGGTTCCTTTTTCTGTGCTCTCTGCTTCCTCTACCCACCTCCTACCGTGGACCCTGGTTAGCACAGATTATCTCATCCAGGATTTGATGACAAGGCCCAAGCTAACAGGAAGGGCTCTGCTGTCCTTCAGAGGTCTTCAAATTGGAGTCAGAGAGACACTAGGAGAAAGTGGCATCTTTCATTGGTAGAGCCCAGTTTTGAAGTGGAATGGGTATGGATGGCCCAGGCCTTGAGATTTTTGGGCCATTTATACCTATTCATGACCTCTGCCCTCCACTTAAAACCTGCCCTGCTCCTGTACACAGAAGTTCTTTTTCTTTTTTTTGGTACCGGGGATTGAACTCATGACTTTGCACTTGCCAAGCAGGTGTTTATGCCACTGAGCTAAATCCCCAGCCCATAGACAGAAGTTCTTGTGGGCACAGGGCTGAGCTGAGGGGAAGGGGAATAACAATGCAGACATCATTCCAAACATTGGATGTCCCCAATGTAAAAGGACAGATGAATGATACAAGTTCCTGATACCAGTAGGCCGGTTTTCACTGCTTGGTTCCTCCTTTTGTCATTTTAGGTTGGCCCAGGTGCTGCAGGCACCAAGGAAGCCAGGGAAGGCTCTGGTGCTAAACAGGTCAGTCTCTTTTGCACAGAGTGCACCTCTTTTATTTTCTTGCAGTCCTAGGGAATAAACCCAGGGCCTCTGCACTTAGCTACAAACCCAGTGCTTTTAATTTTCTTTTATTTTAAGACTGAGTCTTAATAAATCATTAAGTTGTCCAGACTGGGCTTGAACTTGTGGTTCTCCTGCCTCAAACTTTCAGAGTGCTGAGATTATAGGGCTGTACCATGACACCTAGCTAGGGAATCCACTTCAGGCTGGGCCAAGGCCTTATACTGTCCTCTTGCTCTGACTTTTCAACATTCAAAGAAAAGATCCATCGAGGGGTTCATGGAGACATTGAGAACAGAGATGTCCCAGGCACCTAGCACTGTCTTAAGCTTCATATATCAACTCCCTGGCCCTGCCAAACCTGTCCCTTAGCTATGAAAGTGGGAGTGCCACTGGGAGAGGCAGCCAGGCTCTTTGCATACAGGGCAGTTCTCTGCTCTCTGTAAGCAAGCTTCACTTCATTCTGGCATATTGCTTTCTTCTCAGCAGCATTTTGATGGCAAAGCACAGGGTGCTCATGAGTACCTCTTTCCCCAAGCCATTCTCTACCTGGGCCCTCACCTCACCCCAGAATGTCCTCTATTACCAAGAAGCCACTATCTACATATCTACAGCCATATCTACTGATGGATTGAATCTCGCCCTCATTTACCCTTGATGCAATCTTTGTCAAAAAGTGATGGGGCCAGAAGATGACTCAGATTTGGTCTGGTCCTTGCTCCCAGGGGAGGGGAAAAGGTGATGAAGTGAGCTTGCCACATAATCCAGTGTCACAGTGAATTACGGCAGAGTAATCTGGCAAGCTGGCCATAGGGAAACTGGTGTCCAGTTTTACATAATCTTTCTGTGCATTTGAGTCAGACCTCAGGGAATTTTCTGAGAAGGGAAGGGACATGTTGGATTCCAGCAGAAAGGGAGCCACACTGAGTGGGGTGGAGTATTCCCATACCCTTAGGGGAGGGAGGAAGTTCTGCTAAAACCACTCTTCCCCTTTGCTCTCCCCTTTTTTTTTGTCTCTCTCTACCTCTTTCTCTTTCTATCTGTCTCTCTCACCACCTATGTCACTCTGTCTGTCTTTCTCTTCTGGTCATCTGGGCCCAGGTACAGGCAGAGATTACCTGTTTGACACATGCACGGGAACCCAGTGCTGACTCTGAGGCCAAACAACTGCTTCACTATACACAGGACTTTTTCATCATGTGATCATGAGCTTTTTTTCAGGTTGATTTAATAATAAAATTAAAAACAGAAAAGTCTCAGCCTTGTAATCAATGTGTAGGAGAAGCTCTGACAACTGATCTGCCTTGTTCCTGCTTGGAAGAAACACTACCTTGTAGTTATATCCTAGGAAGCAGTAAGGTACTCCCCCCTCCCCGCCATACAGGACTGAACCCAGAGCCTTTCCACTGAATTACATACCCAGCTCCCCCTTTTTTGTTTTGAGGCAGGGTCTCCTTAAGTTACTAAATTGTTCATGCTGGGCCTCAAACTTGCAGTCTTTTTGCCTCAGCCTCCCACAAGTTCTTGACTCCATGCCTGGCTAGGTTGTCTTTGAAGGTGAATTGTATGATGCTTTGTTTGACTGCAGAGGTAAGAGTCTCTTATCTTTGTCAGTGACTGAGAGACCCTTTAGTTATCTGATCTCCTCACACCACCAGCTTCCTTTTCCTATCAATAGGAGGCCACTGTTGCTTTTTAGGGTTCCACCAACCTCAGGGAAGCTTACCAACTAATATGTATAGTGATTTTCTGGGGAAGAGAAGCATTTGAAGAATTTGGATTGTATTGACTGGAGGTGCAGGTTCTCAAAATCTGTGGATGGCTGGTGCTGAAGGACTGATGGAGGGCCCTTTCTGGGGGGGTGTCTGAATATCTTCCTGATCTGTGTGTTCTGATTTCTTAGCCCTCACCTCTTTCTATGTTGGGCTGAGCTCTGGTATGTAGCCAAATGGACTACAGCAACCTGTAGGAGGACAGGTCTTGCTAGGTATAATCCCTTTCCTCAGCCCAGCCTGGCATCAGATTTCAGGGTGCCATTCCTCCATGAGAATCTGTTATCTGGTTGGAGGTCCTCTTTTCTATGATATCCCCAAGTCACTTTCTTTCCCTTCTATCAAGTTACAGGCCTGAAACTCCCAAAGTCCTGGACAATCTTCCTTCCTCAGCCAGTCACGGTGTATATCAAGTCCAGAAAGAAGCTGAGTGCCTACTGTAAAACAAACTTTTTTTTTTTTTTGGTCTTTTTCCTTTTTATTGGTACCAGGGATCGAACTCACGACCGCCTGCTTGCAAGGGAGGTGCTTATGCCGCTGAGCTAAATCCCCAGCCCCTAAAACAAACTTTCTTAATGGAGTACCCACCAAAGTGAAAGTGGTTGTAGATGGCTTTTTCTTGAGTACAGTATTTAGCCTGCCCCAAAGACCTATTAAATCTGCATCCGACAAGTTTGATTTTTATCCTCATTTTACAAAGGCCCATAAGTCATCGAGATAGCTAGCTAATTGGGGTCTTGGGATGTGGGACCAGGCCCTGTGCCTCTACTTGGATTCCTGACCTTGAAGCCCATTTCAAGGTTAGGATAACCATCTTAATGGGACTCACAGTCTGCCTTGGAAGCAGGTAGTGGGCAAAAGATGCTGTCATAGTCAAGACAGGCTGCTTCAGGGCAGAGGAGGAAATGCCCAGTGCGGGCCAGAACCTGCGCTGGGGCCTTAGTCCATGGGCAATGGGCCAGATGCTGTCGAGGCAACACAGAAGGCTGCATCTTGGGCCTAGTGAGGGGCGAAGCTCGGGAAGCCTCTGGGGAGAGGCTCGCTATACTCTAGAGGAAGTAGGTGGTAGAGTCACAGCCTCCAATTTCAGAAGTGGCACGACCTTGGGCCGGCCTCCTCCTGAAGCCTCAGTTTCCTTACTAATGAACCGAGGTCGGGACTCTCCTCACCGTCCCACTCCATTACGAAGAAAGCAACAACACATGGCTGACGTCTTCTTAGCATGCGCGTGAGTAAACAAGATGCTGTCAGATCGACAAGCAGGGCCAGCGCAAGTAATGACGCCAAGCCAAGGGCGCCCTGCTCCGGGGTACCCAACTAAAGCTCCGCCGCTGACTACTCTAAGAATGGTCCGCATGCGCCAACTAATGCCGTCACAGTCACGTGCTCTAGGCGTTCTGCATCAGGCGTGAGAGGCAGGTTCTGCCTGGCGGGCCAACCGACCAGTCAGCGGGAAGCGCTCCTCCGATCGTTGAGCGAAGAGGCTGCTGGTTGGCGAAAATTTCAGTTGGGGGTGGGATTTTTGCCGTTTTGGTTACTATGACGCCCGGCCTCCGCCCCCTCGGCTGGCCGCCATCTTGTTGTTGATCCGTACCCAGTGGGCAGCGCTGGGAGCTGGACCCAGCGGCCTGTGCGGGGCCGCTGCTGCGGGGCTCAGCACCTGCGCCGCCTACCAGGGGGCGGGCCGAAACCTGGAGGCCCAGGGGGCTCAGCTCCCTTGGGGAGCCTTGGGCACCTGCAGCCCGGGCCGGGCGGGTGAGTGACAGGAGCCGGGCCGAAAGACCTGCCTGACGCCCGAGGGGAGGGTGGTGTCGGGCGCTGGCTTGAAGAGGGCGCGCGCGCGGGGCTGGGGGTTAGGCCGAGCACCGCTGGAGCATCCTGACATCCTCCGCCGAGACTTCCAAGTGCTGGCGCGGATGCTGGGGGAACCGCCGGGATTGAGGTCGGGGAGCCCGGTAACCTTGGGCTGGCGGTGGATAGCGGGAAACGAGTCTGTCTGACCCAACCCATGGGCTGCGCCGGCCCGGGGCGCTGAAACGTGCCTAGTGCTAGCCTGAAGCTCCCGGGGAGCAGCGTTGCGCGGGTTTTCAGGCTGCTCGACACTTAACGCCGGACGAGGTAGGCCAAAGTCCCGGTAAGCCGGGAGGGCCGGTGGCTTGGCCTTGAGAGCCTGGCAGGGCAGAGCTGCTTCGCCGGGCTCTTTCCTGCTGAGACCCCCCTGGGAGCTTCGTGAGCTCCTCGAAGTCACCATTTGCTTCTTTCTGAAGGGTCTGGTTAAATGTCTGTAATTGTATTTTGGAGTGTAATTTATTTGGTGCTCGGTCACCACCACTGTTTATGTGGTTTAGGAGAAAGTGAATCCTATGGTGACGACTCAGTTTTCTCTACTGAAGAGATACTCTGATCAGGAGGCAGGAAAGTAGGAGTGTGTTACAACTGGAAAAAAAGAAATGAAACTTGTTTTTGTTATTGTGGAACTGCCAAACTAACTTTTTCTTGACTTTTGAGCCTGGCCTTAACTTTTCAAGCCAGGTCTGAATTCCTTTTGTAGCTCAGGCTGACCTCAGATTCAAAAATCCTTCTGCCTCAGCCTCCCAAGTGCTGGAATTACAGTCCATGCCACCAGGCCTAGCTTTCAAATTAATTTTTAACCGTGCTATTTGTATGCCTCGATGAAAACAGACTGTCAGATCCCTTTCCTGATGTGAGGGAGAGAGATGCCAGGCAGTGTATGCAGGTCAAGAAAGAGTTCTCACTAAACCACATCTCTCTCTATTCAGGTACCTTAGCCACTTCATACAAGTGTCTTTTTCTTTTCTTTTCTTCTTTTTTTTTTGGTAATTGAACTTGGGGCCTTCTCACAGAACTACACAGCTTTTTTTTTTTCTTCCTGAAATGGGATTTTGCTAAGTAAGTAAATTGCTCAGGCTGGGTTTGAACTTGCAGTCCTTCTGTCCTTGCCTCCCACAGTGTTGGGATTACAAGTGTGTACTACCATGCCTAGATCCATATAGGTGTCTTAAAGCCTGCATAAGATGACTAAGAAATAAGCAACAGTATTTTAGGATCATGTCATCTCTGAATGTTTAATTTTGAAAGAAGCCAGCTCCGTGGTCAGGAGATCCTTTTGCAAGGCAGATGCTGAAACCAGAGGAAGCAGACAACTTGTTGATGTTTGCTTGATACTAGAGAGAAGAGAGGAATATTCTTTATTTCATTGTCCCCTGTTAGGGCCATTGTTTGTTTTTGTTTTGAGACAGGGTTTCCTTGTGTACTGTAGGCAAAACTGATTTCACTGTGTACTGCAGACTGACCTGATCTCTCTGTGTAGCCCAGGCTGGCCTTGAACTCCTAGCAATCCTCCTGCCTCAGCTTTCCAAATATAGGTTTATGCCATCATTTCTAGATTAGGACCATTTTTTGAATCTTTTAATAAATTTTGAGGTTGGTAAGACAATTCTTTGGATAGTTACCGAAAAGGATAGGAGATAAATAAAATATTAGGAGAGTCTCAAAATTGTCCCAGTCCAAGCCCTATTGATTTCTTTTAGAAAGTTGAAACAGCCACAGGGTTAAATTTCTTCTCTCTGTTAAAGTAACAGTAACCCTAAGTTAGGCTCCTATTCTGTTTCAAATATTGGGACTCTCTGAGGTACAAATTCTCTTTTGTCAAGTTCTCAACACTGATTTTTTTTTTTTTAACTTTTTCACATTTTTGCTAAGAATTGAACCCAGGGCCTCAGGTGTGTTTATAAAAGTGTTGTATTATTGAGCTACACACCAACCTTTTTAAAATTTCACTTTGAGCTGGGTTTCTAAATTGCCCAGGCTGGCATTGAATTTATAATCCTTTTGCTTCTGTTTTTCTGCTACCTGGGATTACAAACGTGTATCACCATATTGACTCGACAGTAACTTCTGCATAATTTTAGGGGATTCAGGGACCCATTAAAGTTTATCCTTGGTCTAGCCCTGTATTAGAAATCGGTTCCAAGGAAATCAGAGAATTTCAGAGAACTTGTGTGTCTTTTGTTTAATGCTTTTGCTGCCTCATGACCATGCACGAGTAGTGTGTATGTACTGTTGAAGCGAGTGTCTTCTATGTGTGAGTAGCAGATGCTGCTCGATCCAACACATTTACCCAAAGGTGGTGTATAGCAATATTTTTATGCTTGGGGTTTTTAATTACAAGTAAAACTCATAATAGCATGCCCTCTGATTTGTCTTTGCAAAATTCATCTGTAAACTTTAGTACAGCTGGTATGGGGATAAACTTTACAGGCTAGAGGTTCTGTTATACACAGCTGAGTTAGGTAGAAATATAGGTGGTCAAAGAGGACTAGGACCACAACTCAATACAAAAGGTGAAAACACATTACAGCTATATGGAAGCACATCTGTTGGAGGCCAGGGCTCAAGATAAAGATGGAATGAGGAGACCTACATACCTCCCCAAGGGATGAGATAAATGGTAACACCTGGTCCAATGAAGTCTAGATAGTCACCTCAGTGGTGACCAAAACCCCTGGGTCCGCCCCATCTTGAAAAGTTCTCTGTGTTTTTGTATATACTTCCTATGTTACTTGCTTTCCCAGTGGATCAACATTACATAAGCAACTGCACGAGTAACCTTATTGATTGATCATAGTTTTGTCCCATGTTTTACCCACTTTGTGATTTTGCTCTATAAAACATCATTTGAAAATTGGGTTCATTGACCACCTACGTGGGCCCCTCCTATTTCAGAAGCTATTTGTCAATAAAATTTTCTACTCTTTTTGTTGTTTTGGGTCTTTGGGGTCTTGTTTTCGGTGTTGTTGAGGGTCTTGGTATGTAGTTCAAGTTGGCCTGGAACTGTAGTCCGGCTTGACCTGGCATTGAACTTGGAGAAATCCTTGTGCCTCAGCCTCTCGAGTGGTGGGTTTACAGGCATGCATCACCACACTGGGCAGATTTCCTACTCTTAACCTCTCTTGTTCCTTGGAACTTATTCTTTGATTTTGTGCAATGCAAACTTGGTATATCTGACAGCTAGCACTTTGAGAGTTATATTATTTTTCCATATGTAATCTGAAATTTCTCTATCAATCTTACACTGAAGTTGATCTTCAGTGAGCTGAGGGGATGATACTGATGTCCTGATGTGGCATTCAAGTAGCTGTTGCCTAACTGTTCTCATCCCACCTCCAGACTTGTTCTTATCTCCATGAATGTTATATATGCTTCTCTCCACACATTTCCTCTCACCCACTGAATCCCATGATTTTTGTCTCTGTTTGGGATGCCCTGTTTCCTCACTTTCATCTTCCATCTCCAGAATCCAGTTCAGGTCCTTTTTTAGTTTTGGGTGTGTGTGTGTGTGTGTGTGCGAAATAGAGGAATTGAACCAAGGGTCTTTGCACTGAGTTGCATCCCTAACTGTAGTCCCCCTTTTGAGACAGAATTGCTAATTTGTTAAGTTATCCAGGGTGTGATCAATCCGTGGGGTATACCTGGAGGGGGAACGGGGATAAAAAAAACAGGGTGGGAGACAGAGATTGGGACAAGTTTAGGAGTCCAATCAAGTCTCGTTTATTCAGGAAGCGGTCACATCCTTTATGGGCCAAGGGCGGGCTGGTGGGACTGGAAGAGGCTGTGGGGTGGTTTCTGATGGGTCATCGTCACGTCCGGGTATGTGACATAAGCAGGAGAGGATTATGGGTAATGTAGGCAGGCGCATTATGTGCCCATAGGAGAGAGAGGCGGGGAGGCAGCAATGGGGCTGTCATGTCACTCCCTACATCTCCTCCCTTTCTATATTATTTAATCAGGAGTATGGCAGGCCCTGTGAGGACAGCGCTTGTCTTAGGTCAAGGACCTCATTACATGAACCCAACGGGGCCTTACCCATCATGGGCTTGCAGGATAGCAGTTGGTTCTGTGCCTGTCTTAGGTGGCCTGTGGTATAACATGGCCGGTGGTATGTCCTAGTTGCCCGTCTCTGGATACCTATCCATTGCCCCAGGGAGGTTAGGCTGCGTTGTCATATGGGCCACTTGTGGGAATTCCTTCCTGGTAGGTTTGTTGATCTGCCATCTCCAGCTGGTGATAGTGTACCTGAATGGGCTTTGCCATAAACGCATCTATCCAGTTACTAATGAGCATCATAACCCTCTGAAAAATACAAGGACCCACAGAGAGGAGAAGCAACAGGGCAGCTAGGGGACACAAAAGGGGCACAGGTAAGGGAAAAGTCCCCCCCACATCGAGGAGAAGGGGTTAGCAGCCATTTGTTGTCGTCACTATTGAAGTCTTTCTTCTGTTTCTTGGAGCTTGCCTCGCACAACACCAGACTGATTGACATAGAAGCAACATTTTTCCTGTAAGGCAAGACAGATTTCCCCCTGCTCTGCTGTGAGCAGGTCTAGCCCTCATCTGTTTTGTAAGATGACCTCTGCCAGTGAGTCTAATAGGTTTTGGAGAGTTTTTATCGTAAAGGATAAGGCTTGAACATCTTCAGACAACTGGTTGGACAGGACACTATATTTATCTAAGGCAACGGCGAGGCCAGCAACACCCGTGGCTACAGCACCTGTGAGGCCCATTCCCACCAAAAGCGGGATCAGTGTTACCGCTTGTTTTTGGTGGCCAGCAATGTAATCAAATGTTGGCACTGGGATAGGTTGGTCACCTGAGACAATATCTACGTCAGGCAGGAGGGAGGCAGTTATGCATGTACCTGTCCAGTTGGCTGGAATATAGGTATAGGCCCTATT